TATAACTGATATACAATGCTTGAATGTATGTGAACCTATTAGATTATTTTAGATAGTATTTTGGAGTTTTCAGTGTTTGGAGTGTTTTTGTTGAATCAGAACCAGTATTGTTTATATGAAATAACAGGTGTATGTTTATTAATTCCGTATACCTTTTTGAGTAAATCAACATTGACTAAAGGTGAGTCAGGTGGCATGAAATTGTATTATAAATAAATAAGTTGACTGAAACAGATCAGTTTTTACCTTATCGTGCAGCCTGAGCCGAGAGGAAAATTAAATCTCAGAGGTTTGTGATGCACTTGCAAACAAGCCAGCCTGTTAAACTTGGCCAGCTTGTGCTGTATCCACAATGCCTGCAGGAAAGGGAAGCTTGCTTAGCTACATTTTCTTAGCCTATTTTATTGTGTGGTCAGGCATAGTTATGTAAACTTGCCACCGTAGGAACAGTGGTTGCATAACCTGCGAAACGTGCCACAACATAACCATGCGTAATGATACAAATAGCACTACATCTCTGCCAGCTGCTGTCAATCGAACCCAGACCTGCATAGCCATTGGCTCACAAATAAATTCAAGATTTTCTCTTATTGGGCTGCTGTTTACTTACTCTACTGTAGACAAAGCTCAATAAAAGCTCAATAAAAATGACACTGAAAGTTAATTTACCATACCATCTAATAATCAATATCCCCATGTGAGCAGGAAATAACTGTGTTGTTCTACACCATGTGTGAGTCTTTATTATAGATTGTTATAGGACACCTCCTGCTACTGAAATAAGGTGTGATAAATTCACCAGATGAATCTGAGATGATAATTAAAACCACCTCATTTTAATTATACAATATCATATCGCTTTCATTCAAATGCAAATTCCACTCCTCAATATTGTTTCACTGAGAGATTTGCATCTCTCAAACACAAATGACAGGATTACATTATTATCAAACAGTAACAGCTTTGTTGCAGTGAATACAAAGACAGGAGCCTGGCATTTGCAGACGTCTATGTCCAATCTTCATTAAAACTCACATTTTAATTGTCCACCTTTCTCTTGCACAGTGTGGAGAAAAACATGATGTCTTTTATTAAGAGTAGATGTGCTGGATTTGGCTGTAGCCTGACTAAAAAGCCCTTTGTGAAGAGACATTTTGCTTTGGAAGGTTCCTAACTGAGTAAAAGAACCTGGAAGCATTTCAGTGGCAGCCATGATAAGAGCTGTTTGAATTCTCTAAATGCTAAGGAAATGAGCTTCAGTTGTTCCTTTTTTATCTCCTTTAGCAGGGGATACTATGGACCATCCTTTAGATACGAAAGGAGATAATGTCATCCCACAATTTCTTGCAGCAGCAACATTTAAATAGCCGCCCATCCACGAACGCAAACAACCAAAATGGCCGACAAAGGACACAGATCCACTTGCTCGTGCCATAACTTGCTAATATGCTTATATGTTTTGAACTTTCTACAATATGTTAAACCCATAGGTCAACTCTGAACGTGACAGTTGCAAAATCTAATTGTTGAAGTTGTCATCCTGTGTTAAATACTTTGTAAGTATAGTATAAATAAATATTATTATATTAAAACAATCAAAGTATTAGTCATTCCTCATACTGGGTTTTGTTATATTGCAGCCTTTAGGAATATTTTAATTGTTCTTCAGTCACAGATGCTGAATCTTAACAAGGACCAGATTCAGAATGAGTTTTAAGTTTTCACATAAAAGGACAATAACAGACAAAATGTACAATATGGCTGTAAATTGTTTTTTTGTTGTGTGTGCAGCAATGTTCAAAAGATCACAGTATAAAGGATATTTGCAATGCGCAGTAGAAGATTATGATATGTATAGTTGCAGATTTGTATGACTGGTAGCCTGTACATGAATCAACAAGGTACAAATGTAGAGTCTAAGTATCTAAAAAGCACTTTTTGTAGTCCATCTTCAGAACGTTGTAGTTCCATCACAGCAGACACACATCATCAACATTTGCCATCGCGTAATTACGTAGCGTAGCAAAGTGCAGTCGGATTCACTCAGCACCGTGGTTGTCTTTTCCTGAGTCCTTAAGAATTCTTCTTTATGTCTTTACTTGACCTCAGGACGTTTCCCATTGAGATCAAGGAAACATGTGTAGAATAGGACATAGGACCTACTTTTTTTGACAATTCAAACAGACCCTTGGATTTGTGTTTCCACCATCTTTGCCAGTTACTTAAGCTACAAAATCTTAATTTTGGCAAAGGGGTGAAGCCTTTGGAGCAGAGGTGCTACTGGTGGTGGTGATGCTTCAGCATTTTTTTTTTTTCAGCTTTTGGCTACGGTGGTGGCTGCCAGATACACACACATACACACACACAGAGTGATAGCATCAGTAAAAGGTCTCTTAGGGGAAACAGAATGGCTTTTAGTTTCCCCTTTAAAAACAGAATCAGCTTGTCCTTGTTTCCCTGTACTGTACCCATTACGCACGTGTCTGCTGTGTGTGCTTTGATGTGTGTGTGTGTGTGTGTGTGTGTGTAAGGGAGGGGAGGTTGTCATCTTCCTACAGGATCATTGGATCCTCTCCCTCTCTGTGTCTACCGCTGCAGAAATCCTCCCATCTGTCGCTCCTAATCAGCAGAAAGCAGCTTGCATGTTCACAGGGTCTTATAGTGCGATGACATCTCTCTCTCTCCCTCTCTCTCACTCTCTCTCCAACACACACACAGATTACTAACACTGACACAGCAAAGCAAACTGCAGCATCACATGCCCTTCTGGCTGTTAGCAAACCCAACACCATGCTTTTCTTTCTATGTTCAAATCTTTTTAAGGCAAGAGCTCTTTTAAAGCTGCGCTAATCTTTTTTTATTAACTTTTTTATGGGTTATGTAAAAGGTGTCACTCTTAGTGACAAACCCACAGAGAATTATCCCCCAACTCTGCAGTTCTATGCATGTTGTATTGTCTTTAAGCTTATTGTTTTGGATTTGCAACCCCCAGCTTTACTGTTTTGGTTCAGGTTGGTTCTGCATTTAGCAGCTAAAGAGCCAATTATTTCCCTCACGACATTAATTCCAGAAACACAACTCTCTGTAAATAGACAATGTTTGATAGCATGTTAGCTATTGTCAACTTAGACAAAGCTGATAATATGCTAGTATTGTGTTTACAGCTTGTTATGCTGCTCCCAAGTGGCCAAAGAAATGTATTAACACAGATTTAAAGAGGTAAACAACTAGTTTTCACAACTGAAATCTAGTGTAACACAGTATGTGTCTGAAAGGTTTAATTTGTTTTTGTAAATGTGGGTTGATCTTCAGATCAATAATTTCATTTAAAAAGAACAACATGCATGGTGCTTCCTCCTGCAATAAGTTTCTATCAGGTAACTGTTATCAACTTTATCAATCTGCCATTAATCAGAACAAACACTTCCTTGCAATTCAAGTAAAATATGGTTTCTTTTTGGATAGCAGTCTAATCATCTGGTATTTTGATGCAACATAATGTCTTATACTGGCCCAGAAATCCCAGCTGCTGGCCAAATGCTTGCTGAGTCATCAGCATTGATCAATAACCCTGCCCGCCAGCTGCAGATATCATATGGTCATCATGTGCTGCACGGCAGAAATAAACCATACTTATTTTCCATTTGAGTAAGATCCTTTGTGAGATGTTTTGTGCAACTAGCGATGCAGTCGGTTTACATGAGATTTCCTGAGAGCCTAAAAAAATCCCTGCAGCACAAATCTAACAATAGCTGCAGTATCACGAGACCTCTCTGAGGTATTTGCGTATTGTAGCATGGGGAAGATAAAAATAGCACTTTCTGTCTCTTCCTCTCCTCATCTCTCTGTATCCATCCATCCAGTGTAACTGTTAATCTCATCCTCCCGGCATAAATAACAGACACTCTGGACCAAGTTTGACAAGAGAGTGGAGAGACAGGCGAGAGAAGACAGGAAAAACAACGTGTGGGACAGAGAAGTAGAAAGAGGCAGACAGAGACAAAGGGTCAGTTAGAAATAAGTATTGGGACAGAGTTAAAAGAGTTTAAAATATCCAATAGCTACAATGGAGTCTGGTAGAAGTAAACAGGCTTATTTCAAGAGGAGCCATAATCCACCAATGGTCAACAATCATACACAGTCCTAGCCTGAGAACCACACAAATCTGCCGAGCTCATGATGCGTCATGTGTTGTGGTAGATTCGTGAAGTAGTCTGGTTAACACATTCCAGGAGAGAATGGCAGTTTTTTGACAAAGGAGAGTGATTTTTGCTATTTCTAGAGTGAATCCGACAACTTATTACAAGTAAAAATCCATTTTCTGTGGTTTCTTAGAAGAGAACCTGGGAAATGTTGAAAGTACACACTACTGGAAGTGTTTCTGATGGAGTGAAACAGTTTGAAATTTGCTCTATATTGAGCAGTAAATTGAGATTTCTTATATATCTTACATATAAATCACAATTTTGCATCATAAATAACAGCTGCAGAATGGTAATTTTCACACTCACACTATTAAATGCAACACATTTCATTGTGGGATTGTTAGCAAATATCTGATATTTTTTAGGGCAATATATAGAGCATAAATCTGACACTCAGAATTCAGACTAATTAATAAAATGGCAGACTGCAAATATAGTGCACTATATCAGTGGTTCCCAAGGTAAGATTTTGTTACCTTTTGGCAGAGCCAGGCTAGCTGTTTCCCCTTGTTTCCAGTCTTTGTGCTAAGCTAAGCTAACTGACTGCTGGCTCCAGCTTCATATTTACTCCACACTGAGTGGTATCAATCTTCTCATCTGACTCTTAGCAAGACAGCAAATAGGCATATTTCCTAAAATGACGTACTCTACAACCTCTACTCATTATATTTTCATAACCACCGATTAGCTCTCACGAATCAAAACCACCAACCTTCCTTATTTATGTCCTCAGCTCTCACAAGTTGTTTCGTCGATCAGTGAAGTGACCATCTGCTTTGCCTCCTATCTTCTCAGGTCTGTCCTGCGTCCCTGTCCTGCCACCACGCCGGGGTTCTTTCTACGTGGAGAGCGGCACAGGCGTGTCAATCGGCAGCGTGTTGGCCTTCTGGTGCAGAGAGGGATACCAGCTGGTTGGCAGCGACAAAATCTACTGCAATGTCAGGAACGGCAAACCGCAGTGGAGTAACTACCTGCCTGTGTGTGAAGGTAAGCAGGTTTAAGCAGGTTTATCTAGGGAAATCAAGCTGATTTTCAGCTTCTCTTTACAATTACCCATGTTCCAAATGAGCAATCTTCTTCAGCGAGTAAGTTAGTTCACAGCAACCGTTGTGGTTTCCTGCATTCGGGATGAACTACTCCTGCAATGGTTGAACAAGTTCTCATTTCTCACGTCTGGTTATGCGTGAAATCTGGTTGCAGCTCGCATGTAAAGCCTCACTGGGGAACTTGCACAGCACCTTTTCATGCTCAGGGAACATGTCAACCCTTTTCCTCTAGTCTAATCAACTTCTCGCTGACTGGAAAGAGGGAATAGGACAGAACCGTTAGTACATTCGAAACGTACTGCACGAGGAAGATCACCTTTATCAATCGAGGAGAGTATAAAATAAAAAATACACAAATGGTTGCTATTTCGATTCCTTTTCCTGGAACATTTAGTGTTTGTCCAGTGGTTAAATTTGTAATCATGTATTTACTGTTTATTGTTCTGAACTTGTGCCATGTACTGCCAAACAGAGCCTTGTACTTAGTGGATAAATATACACCTTTTGTGTTTAATCATCCTCCAGGACCAGAGTACCAAATATTAAAAGGTGGTGGTTGACAACATTTACAGGCCACTACTAAACACTGACATGTAAGTTTTTATTCAAATAAATCTTTAAATCATTTAATTTTTACCCCCCTACAGCGATCCCCAGACCTGAGGACCGAGGCCTGAGAGTGGCTGTGTTGGCTTCAGTGGTGAGTGGCATTGTCATCCTCGCCATGTCCCTGTCCTTCCTCATCTGCTGCCTGCAGGAACGATCCAGTCGGGACAGAGCCAAGAAGGAGGGACGGAGCAGGTAGGGCAGGAGAGAGCGGTGCCCTCAATACCCCCTGTTCTCAAACCCCCCCCGGTGTATGAGGACTACTGAGCTGATAAGGCTCTCTTCATTTTAGGCGCAGAGAGAAACGCTCGGCCCGTCGCAGCGAGTGTTGGCTGGAGAGAGAAGAGGGTGAGTGGGAATCTTTTCCCCCTCCCAAGATCTTCCATCTCTCCCAGAGGATGAACCCCCGGCTGGCTCCTGACAGCCCCCTCTACCTGACTGGAGGACTCGGTGGATATGAGAACAGAGGATACCAGAGGTAAACATCAGAGAGAACCAAATATATCATGAAGGTTGGCACTTTGTGTTGAGAAATATAGTAAAAAATAGACCAATGCTGAACAGCTGTGCAGCCCACTGTTATCCTAAACACATTTGGCATTTATTGCTAAAAATCTTAATAATGCTATGCCTGTTTGGTGCACCACCTATACCAAATGCTTAAATCCATCCAGTTTACTAAGTTTCATTAAAAAATACCATGATAGGTGTTGCAGCTTTGACAAAAACAATAGATAAAGAAGGTTTGGCCTCTAGACACCATCACAGCAAATGGATGACACAAGCTGACCCGTCACCTTATAATGGGACCAAATAGAGGACACCTGTGCTTATGTCACGTACACATGGGATATGCAGTCCAATACATTTCCATTGTAAACCCCTGACGTATAGAATATCACAACATGTGAGCATAAAACAGGCAATCAGCATACCAATAAAACAAATAATTATAATAAACAATAGATAAAGAAATAATGGATAGATTCCAGGAAAACTGTCAGAAAATGGGTGTTTAGTAACAGCTCCAGATCCATGTTCATGGCTTATTGCATCAGCAGTTTGAGAACTCGTGCCTCCTCTACTGTGATTGGTCGTTTTATGAAAAGTTAGACTGACAAGTGCAGAACCTCAAAGCTACCTTGAGCTGACTGAAATGTTGCATTTTTCTGTCAACAAATCCCTTGAAAAGCAGGAAAGCACTGAATTGATCTTACCAGCAAGTATTGCCTCTGAAGCCAAAGCCTGATATATCTGTCACTGGCTGACAGGTTCCTCCACTACCATGAACACACCGTAGTTTTGAGTCAGCCCCCCACACACTGTCCTGCTGACACTCAGTAGCACATCAGAACTGCATGAATCCACTGCAGATAATAGCCCCGAAAAAATGTTTTCTATGAAACTACGTATTTGACACAAGATTCACGTCTTCAACTTTTAAAGCCTTTGTAAGGGGGCATCTTGTTCAATATAGCTCTCGATTTGAAAAAGCGGAGAGGGATAAATTACAGAAACTAGAGCAGGATATCAAGGAACTTGAGAAACAACATATGCAGCACCCTGAGCGGGAAATATGGAACAAGTTAATTAAGTTAAAATATGAGCTGAACAATAATCTACAGAAAAAAGTTGAATAAGTAGTATTCCAATCAAAAGTATTTTGAACAAGGTGAGAGAGCAGGTAAGGTTTTAGCACATAGGGTAAAACAGATGCAAACCTCTAACTTAATTCCATCAATATTTGATCACAATAACAAGCTGATAACAGATAAAAAAGCGATTAATGAAGTATTTCAAATATTTTATCAAAAACTATATACATCGCAAGGAAACATTGAAGAACGGAAATTGACGGATTTCTTTTCGTCCATTAAAATTCCAACTGTAACGGAGGAACAAAAAAAAAGTTATTAGAAGGAGAAAAATTCTGTCAATTCACAGTCTCCGGTTAGGAAAAGCTCCTGGCAATGATGGATTTCCGTCTGATTTTTATAAGAAATTTGTGGAAGATCTTGCCCCAAGATTGTTAGCTGTCTACCAGGATGCATTGCGGAAGGATAAACTCCCAGCTAGTATGAGATCAGCTGTTATCACTTTACTCCATAAAAAAGGGAAAGACCCACAATATTGGAGAAACTATCGTCCAATCTCGTTAATTAACGTTGATGAAAAAATAATCTCCAAGGTGCTTTCCAATCTGGTACATGCTGATCAGATGGGTTTGTTAAAAATAGGTGCTCAGCTGACAATCTCCGCAGAATATTACACATAGTGTGGAAAAGCAGGAATGATATAGACCCCGTAGTTGCCTTCTCCCTAGATGCAGAGAAGGCTTTTGATAAAGTTGAATTTGCTTTCCTCTTTCATACATTGGAGAAATTCGGGTTCGGTCCATCCTTTATGCAGTGGTTACAGCTAGTATATACAGAGCCGATGGCTAAAGTAATTACTTATGGTGTGATGTCACTTTCATTCAAACTTAGTCGTGGCACTAGACAGGGTTTACCCCTGTCGCCGCTGATATTTGCCTTATTTCTGGAACCACTGGCAATTGCATTGCGGGAAAGTAAAGACATTAAAGGGCATCAAATGGGCCATGAAGTACATAAGCTTTTTTTGTACGCTGATGACATTCTTTTGATTACAAGTAACCCAAACACAGCAGTATCCAAGATCTCTTCCATTATTGACATATTTTCAGAAATCTCTGGCTACACAATTAATTGGACTAAGTCAGAGGCCATGCCTATCTCTACAATATGTCCTCCGGCCATTAGGGAATCATGGCAGTATAAGTGCCTGACCTATCTCGGGATCAAGCTGACAATCTAACATTTCTCCGGTTATTCAGGCTATTCAGCTCTCTTACAAAACTGGGCTAAATTGAATATATTTTGTTAGGTAGGATTAACTTGGTCAAGATGATCATCTCCCCTAAAATCCAATATATTCTGTACATGCTACCATTAAGTTTTCCTCCTAGCCTCTTGAAACTATACAATACTGTCATGAAGAGTTATATGTGGGCAGGCAAAAAACCAAGCTTTAACCGATCAAAATTATATGCAGCCAAAGAAAGTGGAGGCTTATCATTGTCTAAAATAGAGTGGTATCATTATGCATTTTCACTCTCCCAGTTAGCTAAGATAAATAATTTGCGGAAGCAGGTGCCTTCCTGGGTTAAAATAGAAGAGGAACTGGTGGCTCCAACCTCCCTTGAGGCGTTTTTTACTCAGATGGGAAGACCGGTACCCTTTAAGGACCCAGTTTTGACCTTTGTACAAGAAACCTGAATGAGTGCTTATCAACATATAAAATGTAGCCCTCATCTTGCCCCTAAATCTTCTATTTGGTATAACAAAAAAATATTAATTGGCAAAAAAACACCTGTGGGAGAAATGGGCAAAAGCTGGAATAAACTTGCTTTGTGACTTGCTTAGCGAAAATGGATTGAGGTCATTTGATGAAATTAAGCAAGAATATAACCTTACACAAGAGGATTTTTGGAAATTCCTACAAATTGGGCACTGCATTAAAGCTACTCGGGGGAAGAACCCTGATCCCATGACCAGGATTCAGGAGTTAGTCCAGGTAACTAAACACCAAAAATGTGGAGCCTCTAAATTTTATGAAGTTTTCAGGGAGGCACGACCACCCCACCTGGAAGGGTTGAGACTATGTTGAGAGAAAGATGTGGGCGAACAGATTTCAGCTGATAGATGGATGAAGTTGGTTGCATACTGGCATAACTGTTCTCGTGAAGCACAATCTCAGTTTATTCAGTACAAATTGTTTAACAGAAATCACTGGACCCCCAGTACAATGGCCAAACTAAAACTTAAGGACAGTAACACGTGTTGGAGGTGTGAGAAGGAAGTGGTTACTCTGGTACACATGTTGTATTCTTGTGAAAAAAAATGCACATTTGTGGTAAAAGGGTTGTTACCCTCTTAAATGATCTATTCGGATTACAACTCACCAAGACCCCAGCTCTGTGTATTCTGGGTCTGCTGCCAGACAATAACACTTTGACTGGAAGACAAAGACTATGGATACGTTTGGCTACTACAACAGGATGTAGAATAATTCTGAGACACTGGAAGTCATCTACTCCATGCTGCTTTAGGGAATGGACTGAACAAATGACAAGAATGGCTAGATATGAGCGAGTCACTTACAGAGTAATGGGGAGAGAGGTTATCTTTAATCAAGTCTGGGGCTCCTTCTTGATGTCAATAGAGGGGTTGTCTGTCTGAATATAAGGCACTGGATCTGATCCAATCCGATATAGCGTTTGAGTGGTAGAATGAGAGGACAAATGTTAAACATAGGTGTAAGGCACATGTCGTTGTTGTTTTTTCTTTTTCTTCTTTCTTTAATTTTAAAACGGGACAGTGGATGATGTATATGTCTTGCAATTTGTGATGGTGACATATGTTGTACTGTCTGTCAAAAATATTGATAAAAAAAATAAAATAAAAAAAAGACTCACGTCTTCAGTAGGAACCAATGAGCCAATGCAACGGATGTAATGAGCGATGGACTAAAATATTGTTAGTTTTTGGCCTTTTCATATTCTTGTTGACAATAAAGACAATATAGAATGACACCAGCCATATCCTTTCACATGGTGTATGCGTAGGACTCATTGTAGAAAATATATGCTGGTGGTTCTAGGAGGCCGATGCATACTATTGACAACTATGTTAAAGAAGAAAATTATTTTCTATATAAGTTACAACTTTGGGTCTTACTTTCTCACCCCTCATTTCTTGCTCTCTTGCTCTGTCTTTCATACAGGAGTCAGGAGAGCTTGCTGAAGGCCTCCATGCCCGGGCTGTACCGCTCCGACTCTCAGCTTTACCCACACGTTGTGCTGCAGAGGGTCCCAACTCCGACTGCGCCCTCCGCCCCATCCGCTCCGTCTGCCCCCCTCTACCTCCACCTCCCTTCCTCCTCCTCCGCTGCCTCCTCGCCCGCCCACAACCAGCCTCACATCATGGCGCAGTATCCCACCCCGACGTACCCGCCAAACCCCAACACAGCTGTTCCCGCCTACCCACACCCGGCGCCTATCTACCCCAACCCCAACCCGACACCACAGCGGCCATGGCAGTAGCGACGTCTTTCACTTTCTCTGTTCTAAAGCAGACATGAAAAGAAGGTGTAAAAATGGAGAGGCAGCCAGTGTAGAAGTCCCCCCTTTGTGCTGCATGCTTGCTGAACTTGTCCTGCATTTTGGACTCAACAGGAACTTAACACAGATTTTCTTTTTCCTTAATTCTTACTGAACTGCTGCTGCACTTCCTGCAAGAGGAGTTCTCTGGAGGAGGTCCTGCTTTATTTTAGCCGTCGGAAATTACGAGAAAGCTTCAAGTAGCCCGTCGACAAGGGAACGCAGGAAGCTTTAATTTAAGGAGTGACGTTTATGAAAGAATAACCTGCAATGAAGGATCATAAAAGACTTCGACTGTGGCCGCCACTGTTCAGGCAGCTCAAACCTATCAGCAGTGTTCATTTTTTAAATAGTTTATTGTTATGAAAAGGATCCCTATCAGCCTTCATGAGGTCCACATTCTCTAACCTAGACAGATATATATATATATTTTTTTTTTGCTTTAAAACTAAAGACTTAACATGAACTTTGGAAATCTCATGTGTAATGTAATGAAAGGTTTCGGGTCACTTTACAGTTCTTGTTAATATGTCCAAGTAGTTTCCCTCACTTTGGAGTAAATAGACTGCCAGTAGGGATTTATGGGTAGCAAACACACTGTGATTAAAATGCAGCTGTTGCTGCAACTACTGAATGCAGCCAATTTTGTGCTGTTTGTATGGATTTAATGATACAGTGATCGTTTTCAATTGATCCTTCCTTTCTCACTGAAATTGTTAACAAAATGTAATTTTTTTTCTGTCTTTGTTTATTTTTCTCTCCTTGTACTGCCGCAACTCACTTAACACATAATTATTTATGACAAAGCTAATTTTATGGTTGGCAGTTGGACTAGTGAAGTCATCTAGGGCCCCTGATGGATTAGGAACATGTAGAATATACATGACTAAAATACTGACTGGGAATCAGTCCTGGGTCAGATAATAAGTGCAAATTAATTAATTTGCTTGATGTAATTTCAAGGTCCAGTGTGCAGGATTTAGTGGCATCTAGTGGTGTAGTTGCAGATCTGTCGTTTCCCCATCCCCTTCCAAGTGTGAAGGAGAGACTACGGTGGCTCTTAAACATGCGAAAAACACAAACACCCCTATCTAGAGCCAGTGTTTGGTTCTGGGCTACTGTAGAAACATGCCGGTTCAACATGGCGGACTCCATGGAAGGCGACCCGCGGTGTCTGTAGATAAAAACAGCTCATTATAAGACAACAAAAACACAAACAGGTTCACAACACTCTTTAAACACTAATGAAAACATACCTATTAATATTGTTTTCCATTTCCAATAGCTCCTCTGAAATGATACACACTGGACCTTTAAGTCTGATTTGAGCCTCAGATAGGTTCAGACAATACTTTGTTAATTGCAGAAAATTATGCAAAATTGATTTTCAATTTCAAGAAAAGCTCTTGTGTGACATAACAAAGGTTCTCTATGTAAGTTATAGCAAACATAAGGCAGTCAGACACACTGCGAGACTGCTGTTTTGTCCCTGACGCACCGGAAACTGCACAGAAATGCACTGATATGTAAAGTTTGAGTGGAGAGGTGGAGAAACTTCTGAACCATGTCGACCTATGAACTCTGAATCACTTGAATTCTCTGAACTTAGGCTGCAGTTGTGCAGCAAATGTGGATTTTGTTCCTAATTTCATTGTTTTTAAATGAATAATTAACCTTAAACCTTTATTATTTCCTTGGTCTATGTACAGCTTTTTAATCATAAACTGTCTAAGAGGCCCTTTACTGTTGCTTTAGTCAGTCCATACTCCAGCTGTGGGGCATTCTTTATTTTTAGAAGTAGCCACACTAACAAATCTGCACTTTACATTTTTTGAAGGGGGGGGTTTAAACAGAATATTTCTCTTACTGTAAACTATTTGTTGCATAATACTAAGACTGCCATAAAAGCTGAATAAAGATACTTTTGTTTAGTTGAACAGTTCATAGCATGTGCTATCAATGTATGCCAGAAGAAAGGAAGAAGAGAAAAACAGATGAAAGCAGAGAGAAAGGAGAGAAAAGTGAGACCTAATTCATCATAGTGTCGTGGCTGTTGAAAATGAGGAGATGACCTCATTTGCCTACAGAGCGACACAGACACATGAGGAAGATGGAGTGGTTTGACTTGTCTGCCATGTGACACTACTACTATGTTGGTGAGAAAGTTGATGTAGCAGCAAGTAGATCATTTGATCAAGGATGCTGGCTTTAGGGTACTGAACAAACCATTGATACGATTCAATAAGCACAGAGCAAACTAATGAGGCTCATCCAACCCTTTAATCTTAATGTCTGAATTATTTTACCAGGTATTTTCCGTTTGTTGCCTGAATATGAGGGCCAGTGCATTTAACCTGAAACAACTCAATCTAAAAAGCAAAGTATTGAGAGGTACATTTCTCTAGGTCAGATTCAAATCTGCCCTTTCCCTGAATAGTTTTAAAAAACAACTGAAAAAAATGGATGCAAAGTAAGTAAGCATAGCAAAAGAATTGTTTTAGGATGAGTGTCTGAACTGATTATTATTGCCATGATTATTTTCAGGATTGTATTGTTTTAATGTTTTAATTAGGTGTATTAGTGTAAAAGCCTAGACCTCAGTACCACAATGGAAATAAGTCATGTGACTTAACTGCGACATCCTGATTAATTTTAGTACTGTATGCACATCTGTGTATTTGGTAGACACATAAACATCTCTGTAAAATCAAGCTACTGATAAGAGGGTGGATCAGTCTAAAGCATGCTGTACTTCAACAGTCTGCTAGTAAAGTTGAAATATATAACCTGGCTTCAGTGGTGACATTTAGTGAAAGGAAGACAGTTTTGGTAGATTTTCATACAGATGCAGTTTAAGAAAAAACATAGACCGAAAAAACATCAAATCAGGGTTGGAGAAATGAATCTGAAAAATCATTCTCATTTGTTTAAATAATAAATACATGTTGCAAACAGTAAATAAATACATGAAATTGAATTTAAGTGTTAAAAGTTTTACAGCCTTTGATTTAAAAAAAAGCACATACAGCTGACTTAAAGAAGTTACTTTTGAACTTTGATAATGAGAATTGTCCCCATGTAGACAGACAGACAGACAGAAAGAAAGAAAGAAAGAAAGAAAGAAAGAAAGAAAGAAAGACAGTGGGCTGCTGTTTTGGTCATGGGTGAGTACTAATTACAGTGGGAGACCACAGGCACGGTCTGTGTGCAAAGGAAAACTGGTAGGAAAATCAGGCAGTAAACAGACTCCAAGCAATGGAAATCACCTGTACTGCAAAGGTATACATGCAACATACCTTTTTGCATGTAAGGGTGGAAAATCAGCACCTGCTCATTTGTTTTTTTTCTGCCATGAAAATAGTTTTGTTTGAGTGTTTTGGGGGTTGAAGGGGCTTTCAGCTGCAGGTAAGCAAAAACTGACTAAAGACTGCAAGAGAGACAAGAGGAGAAAGAAGGCATACAAAGAGGTAAGGTGGAGTTTGGTGTTTAGCTTTAGCTTTTTACACCTTAATAATACAAACAGAACTATGGATCAGTTTGTGCACTTAAAATATAATGGCTTTAAGGAAAAACTGAACCCTCCAAACTTGACCAGAAAAATAACACAGTAAAAGTCACAGAGAGGTGAATGTATTCTAATTTAAATTTTATTTTCTAATAGCCTAAATAACTGACTTTCAAAATGTAGACCTGAAGAAGTTCAATGTCTATCGACATCCTACATGTTACATGTACAAATGTAACTAAAATGACTTACATGGAGTTCAGCATATGTAGAATTTTAAAGCAATATACCTGTGTTTAGTACTTAGAAGGATCTGTTTGCCCAAATAACAGCACATATTTCACCACTTACTTGTAGTTAAGCCATGCAGATGGTTTTGGTTTTAACAGATATCACCGTCCACACCAAAACAACTGAATTAAATTTGTATTGCTTACAGCTATGAGAAATTAGATTTTAAAGTATTGAACAGCTACACCTCTTGTTACAGAAACAGTTACACTTATTTTACCTTTGTAGTGCCAAATGAGGCACTGACAGCATCTGGTCAGAGTCTGGAAATAACCTTTTTTGCTTTTATTGCCTTTAATTATCTATGTGTACCTCTATGTGTTCAAGAGCCTAATGCAATACAGAAAGAAACAATAGTCTGAGTACTATTTAAGAACATGTGATGCATCTATGACAAAGGAACTTTTCTCGTCTTACATTATACATTATATGAAGTGTCTGACACAGGATGAAGTGAAATGTTCATAATCATTCTCTTTGATTTGACAGGATTTGTTTAGATATCTGTATCAGAGATCGCCAGCAATCCAGGGTGCTCTCCTGAGATTTTCATCATTATGGCCAAAGGGTCAATTGAGGGGGTCTTAATGCAGTGTCGTGGACATGGTTTGAGTGACTTCTGGTTTGGCGCTGACATTTCAGTCCTGATCATAGGAGTGTTGGCTAACGGTGCCCTGCTTTGGCTATTTCTGAGAGAAAGGAAATCACTGTCTGCCTCACAGGTAGGTACACTGCTCCCAACACGCTCTGAGGTATTTTTATTTAATGTCATATAACAGTTAGTTTTAGCCCGTTGTTTAACTGAGTTTAAAATCTCTGATCTTGTCAAGTTCTCAAAAGTTAATGAAATTTCAGATAGAGAATTTTTCTATAACAAGAACACAATGTGACACCTCAGAATCACTGAACTGCTCTGTTAGCCTAGTTTCCATCACTTTTGACAGATACATTTCCAGTTGACTGGTGTGGAAAGACTAAAAATACAACATTGTTAACTGTATTTTTACAGTAATATTATGACTGGTAACTGTAGAAACACAATATATTACTGGGATTTTCATCTATATTAGTGTAAAATAATAACACTATACTACTGTGAATTTACTGCTATTAGCCCGTAATTTACTGTAAAAGTACAATAATATATTTTACCCTGAGCCGTAAAATTCACTATTCAATACAATTCACGATACTGAGTTCATGATGCAATTTTCTTGCAGTTTCTTTTAACAAAATGAAATTGAAGGCAAATTATGACTGAAGATTTCCTCAGACAAATCGACAAAATGTATTTTCTCTTATATTTTCTTTATCAAATAAATAATATTTCCTTTAGTGAAGTTAAACTAATGTGTTTGCCTTGATACTACAATTGATATCATAATTCATTTTTAGCTCACCAGTTTAAATGCTCACTTTTTTAAATTAAACTATCTAGTGATATATCTTTACATTCCTACAACACATCATTATTTTCTTAAATTTTAACCTATTTAAGCTAACCCAGTGTCTAAACCTTAATCTTTCAGGTTCTAGGTGTGAATCTTGTTGCAATGGATCTTGTCTACCTGTCTATATTGCCTGTCAGCTTGCTTCTTAACTTTGATAAATCAGGCAACAGTTCAGGTAAACACCGCCAGAGACTGTATTTTCTATGTGTTCTATATGTGTGCTTTTGGTGTAGATTCTTGTCCTTCTACTTTTTGTTTCTAACTTCCTGTGTAAAATGTGACTTTTGTGTGAAAATGGAAAACAGGCCAGAGTTCCAGCAGGCAGAATCAAAAAGGGTGGAAAGCTATAGAGGATGTAAAATAGACTGGTAGAGTACTAGAACAAAACCTGTACATATATAGGTGGCCTGATTGGGGGAAATAAGAAGCAGGTGAGTGAGTGGGTGCGGAAGGTCAGGTGGTAGAAACAGCGGGAAAGGGGTTAGGACAGGAGGGAGTAAACAGAATGAATGTTATGGCTTTGTCTTGTATCCAATTGGCTAAATGCTGTCTACAATGATGAGATAAATGTTTCAGTTCTGGACTCACGTTTGACTGCAAAAGGCAAGTGCTAACACTGTAACTGTTTATTCACCAGACTTTACAGACATTAACTGGGAAATTCCCAACAATCCAGATCCATTGTATTTGGCAAGAGATGTCTTCAGTATGTTCAACCTGATTGGCTGTCCCCTGCTGCTGACTTGCATGTGTATTGAGCGCTACCTGGCGGTGACTAGACCTGTGCTGTACCTGAGAGTGAGGAAGTGGGAGTACAAAATGGCTGTTTCTGCTGTGGTGTGGTGTGTCACCTTTATCTTCTGTCTGGCAATGGGTAAGTGATGGGTGAGTTCTGCTTAGAAAATCTGTCTCCAAGCAACAGCAGCCAACATGGCATCATCAGCCAGGCAACAAAAATACAAATATTAGAAGTAACTCCAACAACAAAAGACATTAACCACTGAATATTTGGCCTTCAGAAATGCCTGGCCACCAGGTGTTTAATGTTTCCTCCGCGTTAGTTCTCAAAGTGGAATTTAATGTTTTGAAACTGACATTTTGATGTCCTTGTCTTTTACAGGTTTAGTGGGCAATAGTAGTATCATTATGATCCCCGTTTCCATCATCATTTCCAGCCTCTTCTTCCTAATGCTTGCCTGCCTTGTGGGTGTGGTCCAGTCACTGCGGCAGCAAAGCCCTGCCCACACCACATATGGTAACAAAGTCCACTCTAAGACACCCCTAAAGAGACGGGCGGTCAATAATGTGTTGGTTGTGGTGGTGCCTGCAGTGATATCTTACGTCCCAGTCCTGATAATGCTTCCCCTGACTATATACATATATTATGCGAATAGGTCTTTGTTTGATACCATATGTGTTGCTGTTGAAATATTCATCTCATTCCCCAGGTTTGGTGTGCTCATAGGTCCTTTGTTCTATCTCTCCAAGGCAAGACAAACGTGCTGCCATAGTGAAATAAATTGAATGAATAGAGACATAGTGCAGCAATAACAGTAAACAGTCAACGGGTGACTTACTGTTTTATCTTTTTGAAAGCAGTTATATTGTAAACAATCATTATATGCACAAATAAAAACGCAATCACATTCTCAGATCTCAGTAGTTATTGCTAAATTGTTTGTAGTCTTAGGCAAGAGGACCTTTTTAGACTAACAATAAAGGATCTTTTTATATAATGATATTAATGGTAAAACCAAATAAAGAAAATGCTGTCAACAATCTTTCGATCACCCAGAAATTAAAGTTAAAGGCTATGTTTTCTATGGATGTGTGAGCAGGTGGTAGCATCATGTTTTGTGTTGTAAACTTCATACTTGCATGTGTAAAGCTTTTAAAAACATTTTTATTAGATTGAAAAATATTATTACTAGTGGGTACAACCTTTAGGGAAAGCATAGTACATTTGGATCGGTCAAATTAATACCCGAAAACGTCCCATATGTTTTTCTAATATTTAATATATTAGGTTTGGAGCATTTTAAATCTTCGGAAAATAGTACATCATCAGCATAATGTGAAATTTTAGTCTCAAAAACATGTATCTCGACACCTACTACATTTTATTTATTCCTAATTCCTAATTCACAATTTTTCTATTGTAAGTACAACTATTAGAAATTTGAGATCGATTAAGAGACTATATTGTTGGCAATGAATCCACAATTTAAGATCTCAGAGGCACAAGGCAATATTGTAGAACAGCATGCAAGATGATGCTATGCTTATGAAGTCATTGAGTTCTTTTACAGATTTGCCTATTTTTTATCACATGTTCTGATCTTGTTTTGTTGCCTTCATTTTCTGAGTACAAGAGGTATGTAAATGAAGTATGACTCTTCATATTTATTCCAGGATATAACACAGGTGATACCAATATGAATGGGCAGCCATGTTTCGTAAAGCACTTTATTATCTAAAGTTCTATAAGTGATCATGACAGTGATTTTAATTTCCTGCATGTTTGACTTGTACTGCATTTTGTAAAGGCCAACAACTGTAAAATAAAATGATGTGTGTTGTGTAATGATGTGTCAAATCTTTCCTTTAAAATGTCATAGATTAAACCTTTATTTACAATCTACATCCCTCTACCTAGTTTGCCCCCTATATCTCAGCATTGTTTCAATGAGGAAAGACTTTCTTAAAAGTGCAGTTACTTACAGGTCTGCCTATTTTTAAAATATGAGATTGAAGTATAGTTTGGAAATGAGAAGTTATGAATGAGATTCCTGCCTCTTGCAAAAATAACATCTACTCATGATGATATGACAAAATTGAAATTATGGTACATACAAAATAGAATTCAGACAATTTCTGAAAAAATTTACTTTCAATGACTTCAACCTCCATTCCTAGTTACAGCAGATACATCAACAACAATTTGCACATACAAATATCAGACATTTTGTCCTTTGATAGCAGGGCATGTTCAATATGCTTAAGTGCCCATTTCAAATGGCACGGATGGCAACATAAAATATTATCCAGTACCAACAGTTTTGCTTTTAAAACCAAAGAGAGCGCATAACAGTTGTTTTACAATTGAACCTTGTCAAGGCAACACAATCACATTATGCTTTCAAGATTAGAGGAACCAGTGATACAACCAGAGATACATGTACTGTATGAAGGCCTGTCACTGAGTTTAAGGGTAAAATCCACCCTCACATACACTGTTCATATATGTCTAAAGTACATTCAGGGGTGATAAAATGCAATTTACTTTAGGTAAAGCCCCAGATGACTAGTTGTTAGGTCATAAGAAAATAAATAGCTTCATATGTGATTATTTCTTGATTGTGGCCATACTCCTTGCTCAGACCTCAACTAATGCAGCTGTTAAAATTAGTTTCTCCATTCCACTGATGAGTTTTCATTTGGCTCTTTGATTTATGTCACCAAAACCTGATGATTACTGTAAATGTTTTAAATCACCAAATCATGTTGTGCTATTAAACTCCATTGTACTTCTGGGATTATATAGCCAGTTTGTTCTGGTACAAACAACTAAATTGATCCAGAGTAGTTGTTTTTTTAAAACAATGTTGAGATGCTTCGAGGTGGAGTTTCCTTTAACAAGACGCAGTTGTGGTCATGGGACATTCAGAAATAGATAAACTGCAACATTACTGTCTCCCTAGCAACATAAATACTGTAGTTAATTTATGTGCAGTGATACTGCAGTTGACAGGAAGGGTAACAAGCAGGGGGATAAAAGACACGACACAACAGTATTCAAATCTGTCCAAAAAACATGTTGGCTTGTCCCTTGGAAAATATTCTCCCATCAATAGTGGACCTTCCATATTTTCCCAGGAGTTCAGTGTACAGTAAATTACCTTTGCAGAACTGTCTGGAGTACAGTAAATACGTGATATGTGAACACACACAGTATAGGCATTCTAGGGCTCAGTCCTTTAGTGCACATTCAATAAGAAAACAGACACTTTACAAACTCTATGGAGAAACACTCCATGTAAATACCCCCTCCACTTAATGAGGTTTTCTCTATGGATACTTTTGGGACTTTTAGTTAAGGGGTGTGGTTTTTAAATTTGAGATGTCTACATATTTAGCATGATTTGTGACATCACAACTGGTAGCCAATTGTGCAAATTACACAAGTGCAAAATGAGAAAAAAAAAACTGACTTTTCTGTAAAAGCTGCATTGAGTGGTTAAAGTGGTTTCAGCTTCCTGTTTATTTGTAAGTTTTGCTAAAAAGTTGAGTTATCCTGGGACCAAAAATGTAAACAGGAGTCAATATTTAAGTATTTATTACTTAGTAAAAACAGTCCCAAAGTAAAGCTTTCTCCATGTAACCAATTTTCTCTGTAGTTTTTGTTAGTATTAATAGCTAACTAGCTTGTAAAAGTGGACATTGTGTGTTGATGGTGCCAGATGTTGGCCACAATATTTTTTTAATGGTTCAAAGTGAAGTAATTCTTTAATAATCAGTTCGGAACGTGCGCACACCCCGCACATATTGTAAGACTCAGCTAGGTTTATGTGTTCTGATCATTGGTTCTGATCATATGATGATTCTGCACCAGTGTATTGATTGATTGGACAGTTTAGTTAAAGTTCTACATCATGGTTGTATTGTACTGACAAAATCAGACATGCTTTCTGAATAATTTCTTGACATAAATAAGTGTTTTGAATTATCTGGTCTAAATGATAGAGTACATGTGGTTTGTGTGGATGTGCTAAAATCTTCCAAATGGAAAATAGCTGGATCAGTTGTGGTGGTGGTGGTGGTGGGTGGTTTGGGGGGGTGCGAGGCCTGACGTATCTCCATATTTGCATATACAATGAGTCGTTAATTCTCAATAAATGGGAGAAGGGGTAGATGATCTTTTTAGCCTTCTTCAAAACTTACAGGACACAATCAGACAAACACGACTCAGCAGAGTATTTTTTACAGGACTTAAAATGTGTCTGAAAGGGGATCTTTAAAAAAAAAGTTTTTAAAAAAATTGAACAATCAGACCATGTTATGAAAAAGATGTCATCACTGGGTACCGAATGGTTTAGCAAATGTCAAAGGTTTGACGGGTTTCTCTAGCAGCACTGCACGTGGCAGGAGTCTGATTCTCCTCCAGACCTTGGTCAGTCATTGGGGGCAAGCAGAGCGAGTAGATGGATCATTCTGCTGTGGAAAGTCTGGGTTTTAACCCCAGTTGATGATGCTGAGGTGTCAATGAGGAAGACACTGAAAAACCACAGGCTCCATGAACACTTTAACCTCACTTTCCTTCAGGCAAGAGAGGACCAACATGGTAATCACAGTCTTAATAATTCCTATTAATTTAGTCTTCTATTTGTTAAGCTTCCTCGGGTGCGACATGTTGCTTTGGTACAAGTCCAGTGGGTTCAGTTGTGCAAGGCCAGATCAGTCGGTCACAAAATGAACAACTGAGTGCCAAAGTTCTCGGCAAATGGCAAGGAAACGGCACAAAAGAATGTGAGAGGGGCTTAAAGTCTGTGCGCCCTCTAAAAAGGCCAGTGTAAGTCCTCGAAGTCCCCCGATTGACCCATGTTTACATCCGTCTCCAGCAAGCTCATGATGACCGCCATGGCTGCCTCATCGCTGCTGAAGCTGCTCAGCCCTGGCACCACCATGCTGTCCAAGTCCAGCTGGGACGGCTCACCTGAATGAAAACAAAGCCAAGAAAAAGACTTGACGTAATGGAATATGATCCATCTGCAATGATCAATGTTTTCTATTATCTGGTGATAAACAAATTTCTACAAACACTTCTACTTCAACTGCTACAAAAAACATCCAACTGCAGACCCCAGATCTGTGAGATGTGATCAGATCATTTTCTTTTCTGCCACAAAATTATGAAAGCAAATTCACTCTTATGTTAACGTTTTTTCACACCTAGAGAGAAGGTATCAGGACTGTAACTTATGTGAGAAAAATATGCTAAAAGTGAAATAAAATCCAATCTATAGGAGGGCATTTATAGCATTTTAACATTATAGTTAAAGTACAAAAATTATTATAGAAAAATTATAGATTAAAGAGTGTTTTCAGAGCATCTTCTGACATTTTTGTGTTTCTGTGATGTTTGCAGTGCATTTACACTGATCAGCCATAACATTCTGACCACCTGGTGGTCATAATGTTCTGACCCAGTCCTCTAGCCATCACAATTTGGCCCTTGTCAAAGTCCCTCAAATCCTCACGCTGCCCATTTTTCCTGCTTCTAACACATCGACTTTGAGGACAAAATGTTCACTTTCTGCCATGATAACCAGATGATCAGTGTTATTCAATTCACCGGTCAGTGCTCACAATGTTATGGCTGATCGGTGTATAGCTTGCATAAAAACAATAAAAATGTTGCTTTACAAGAATTATGATGGATTTAGGTGTTGCATTTTGTTTGTATCTCCTAACTGGATCACTTGACAATTAGGTAAAAATGTCCAAAGCATTATTGGAACCTTTCGGACCACTTTTCATTATCGTGCTGACAGTACCTGTACTTTCAGAAGCTGCGCTGCTAGTGCCCGCTGCTGTCCCCGAGTCAGACTGGGACTGCGACGAACTGCCTGCTGCCTCCTCTCTGCTGGACGCCTGCAACAAGTCATGTTACGTTCAAACACCGCACAGGACCTAATGTTTCACCTTTCTCCACTGAAGTGTGTGATTAAACTAGAAGCATAGAAGAGGCTGCTGTCTTACTGTACACACTTTTCTCCATATATATTAAGTTTTAGTGCGTGTTATATTTGACAGGACATGTGAGCATAAAATCTAAACTTTAATGAGGAACTTTCATTTTGTGTTGATTCCGGACAGAATCCGACCCGGTGGCAGGCATTAAGAATAATCAGCCAATCTTCTCACTAATGGTCTCATGTGCATATATAGGTCATAAAGAGGCATCAGTATTACATTCAGACAGTTTCATAACCAGTTAAAAACTCCCTGTAGTAGGTTTAAGTAAAGTATAAGTACATGGGATAATTATATTACAAGCAACAGTACCTCCATGTATTATTGTTACATGAGGTTGCAAACTCAATCAATTGTCAGGTTGACCTGTACGAGCTGCTTCCAGATTATGTGTCTACATCACCGGAACTCCCCATGTCACCATTAATTTGCTTGAAAATATAAAATGTATGAAAGACCATTTTACATTTGCATATAAATACCACTCCACCAAAATTAGCATAAAATGACATGTCAATAAACATTTGCATAATGAAATCTACCAGAATGTCAAAACACATTTCCATATAAACTCCCTAGCCATGCATTTGAATTAAACCTCCTTATGCTACTAAAATTGACAGTAAAACAAGAAAACACAAATGATGCCTCTTTAATGTTTAATGAGGAAGAAGTCTGAAGTCTCAAAAAAAGTCACGATGAAGAGGTCACTCACACTCTTGCTGGTCTGAGGGGAAACCAGTGGACATCTCTCCTGGGCCGGGCCAAACGGACTGGAAGCTCCGCTTAATGGAGAGGAGTTCATCCTGCTCAAAGACAAGAACACAGCAGAGGAAATTATTTTTTGAAAAAGTCTATTTATTATAAATATTTCCTACATATGTACATACAGTGTATATCATATGTATATCCTACTCTCCTGCATGCCAGTGTGTTTACTCATGTCCATGCCAACTTTTAACCCATTTTTTCCTAAAATGTGATTCTCATTCTCTTCAGTTGTACCATTCTGTACAGATATACACACAATCCACCTGTAGGAGTCGATGAGCTCATTAGCTATTTGGGTTCCTATGCTGCCTGCGTAGATCATTGTGCCAACACCGCTGGAAAGGCTGGGAATTATGGGTATTTGCTTTGTGTCTTCTGTGGAAGAAGAACAGTAAAATCAACCTTTACATTAAAAACTGACTCACACACAAGAGATAAATCCATTTATGAATGTAGGGGATGTGTTTCTTACCCTGAAGTGCTTTCGAGCTGGCTGCTTCTTCATCTTTTGTGTGACCAGGCCCCCTGTTGGTGCAAAGGAGTATTTATGCTGCTGTATCATACATAAGCTGTATGTTAAAGCTGTTATGATCGGAAAAAAATAAGTTTTTGGACAATCAGTGTCAGTGTCAGACACGAGTGAAAATGACACTGTCTCTCAACATTTAACCACATCTTCATAAATGAACCAGTACTTACGAGATAACCCTGTTTAAAGACGTGATAAACTCAACTTCTTTGGTCCATGGATTTGTGAAACTAAACCACTGACTTTGGAGTGAAACATAGGAGCCATATTTTGTTTTAAACTTGTAACACGCCGTCTCAATCTTCTCCTTGCTTCGAAGAGCTGCCAAGAGATTGGACACAAGTGTTATCACAAAGCACAGTGTTGCTGCAAGCCCCCTGGTCAGGAGTTCATTAGAACAGGTAATTTTGTTTAACTTGAACACATAAGGGTGGCATTCTTGTAAAATAAATTTTTCACAGCAGCCATTTTGACATGAAATAGTAGGGTAAACACAGGTAATACCAATAATTCTAACTAGGGTTCTGCTCCATTTCGTGTAGCAGAGCGGACATGCACCTTGACTCCGTTTGACCTTACAGAACCTATTAGTGTCATTGGTAACACTGTGTTTACACTACTATTCCATGTCAAAATGGCTGCTGTGAAAAAGGACTATTATCTCAACTAAGTTCTAAAGTGAATCTGATATATTTAAGTTGCCAGCTGTGGTTGGTCTGCTCCATCACCTTGCCTGTGTTTCTCTGCGAGTTGCTGCAGGTCGTCCTGGTGGAAGTACTCATAACACGACGTGCCAAGAACTTCCTGCGGCAGGTAACCGATAACTGTCGTGGCTCTGGTAAAGAGGGAGGATAAGAGTTTATTTAGTCTGGCTTTCACGGTCTCTCTCGTTGTCTCTCTGGATAGTGTCGGTTAAAAAGCAGCGCAGAGGGAAAATGGAATGAATGTGAATACTGTGTAAGTGAGCCTCTCCACATGTAACATTCAGCAGTCACACATATGGGAAATTTGATAAAATGAGTCACTATACTTGTGGTATGAAATTACTTCCCAAAAAATGAGAAGAGAGTTTCATGTGATGCCATCAAGATGCACAGCTCCTTCTAAAAAAAAATAACGGCAAAGAGAAAGGATTATCTCTGACAGTTGAACTGACAAAACTCATGCTGTTGGCTCAGAGGCCTCCTCACCACAACACGCCTTCTGCCATTTCTTTCTCAGCGGAACCATGTGCTCAGAACAAATCCATGACTCACAAGAGGGAGCTAATTGGCAACTTGTGCGAATGGACGTAGTCAAACTCGTGAAAACTCACCGTTGGTCTACAAAAGTGAACTTGCCGTCAATCGCGCAGCGGGTGACGAACTCAGCGGGCTTGACGTTGATGTCTTTGGAAGGCTGGTGGGACACGTGAGGGAGGAGGCGGCACACCGTCACCAGGCAGGTCAGGTTTGAGGTTTCCTTCTCGCTGTCACCTTCTGAGTCCAGCTGGCTGCTCGGCCAGCTCCGCATGTATCCAGTGCAGTGGAGGGTACAGTATCTGTAAGTGTCTGTGGGCACAAGAACAAGTAGCTTGTAAAATGTATGAATGAAATATTATTTAAAAAGTTGTGATTATTGCCTGAAAATTTGTAAATATAGCGGTTCATAGTATAACAAAATGGCAAGTTTTCAGCTGTTTGTATACACGCATTTATGATCAACTGATGTGTAGTCAAGGCACTGTTAAAATCTGATTTTATGTTAACTCTTAAACTCTATTAACTTGTTGGAATATTACTGGCATTACTTTACATTTTACCTAGTGTAAACAAATCAACCAACAATGTCTGAGTCCACCTCTCTTAGCCCAGAACCCATTCACTCCTACTGATAATAGAAATCTTTAACAATGGGCCCTGTAGTTTTTAGCAAATATGACACAAATGGGAGTAAACTGTGCTTTTGTTGGGAGCTATTTCCAGGTATGGATTAATACACATTTGGTTCTTTTAGACATAGCCATACAGCCCAATCGAAAGAGCTCATGTACCACCTTCATCGACACCCACCGTCCTGTTTCTGTGCTCATTTAAACTATTTAACATATAAGTGGATATTGCTACATCATTAGCATCCCTAAGTCTTGTTTTTATATAAGACATAGTGGTCCTGAAAATTAGTATGTTTAGACTTTGTTTCTTTCTTTTTTCACAAGGTTGGTCAAGTTTGCATTTGTACTACAAATCACCATCTACCCTTGGCTTTACAGAGCTGTACAGCTAATTTCAGCTCATTGTTTAGCTGTGCAGTCGGTAAATTTGCTGTTTTGGTTCACTCTCACCGTTCTTCTAGTGTCATTTCTGCAGCAGGCTATGTTTTCAGCAAAAAAACCCACTGTACTCAGCACCAAACAGCAGACAGACACAGTTAGCAACTAGCTGTTGAACAAAGTGGAGCATTTAGCAGCTAAAGAGCCAGATATTTCCCTCAGGAGTTGGTAGAGACCAAACACAGAGCTAAAAGAGAGTGAATTTTGGACTTATGTTCATCAGGTGGTCAGAAACACCACTCCAAATGCTGCTGGATGTGTTAATAAGCAATTGTTCATTGGTAAATTTATCATATCAACATAAAAGCTGCTCATATGTCAATATTGTGCTCTCAACTTTAACCTATTACAGTATATAAAGACCATTTTAACTAGATGACCTTTATGTGATTTGCAAAACAACAAATACATAACTAGATGTACTTTTTTATTTAATGAAGCCATTCAAATTATATAATTTTCATGTAGTCACTATAAGAATATTATGGGACCTAGGAGATTATAGTTTAAAAATCATTGTTTCCTGTCTTTATGAAATGCAGTGCAGTTGCTGAGCTTGGCCACTGAGTGGCACCACAGCTCCAGTTTCTGTCACCACAGTTAGGTTTACAGTAAGTGGGGTTTGGGGTTTGGACCTTCTTTTTTGTTTGTGGTTATACAAGGCTGTAACACTGACCTACTTCCTGTGCAGGACTTTGTTTTTTACATTGTGGCATCTATTTGGGAAAAAAGTCTCAATCAAACACTGAATTCTTTCCACCAAGGAATGACATTAGGAAAAGACAAATTTGTGTGGCACAGACAGTGCTAATTCTTTTGAATGTCTGTTTTTTTTTTTTTTTACAATACTCAAGTGATTAGGTTGATCTGACTTTTCACTGGTTTAATTTAGAGATGCAAAAATTTTGACAGACTCAGAAAATACTGGGAAAACAATTAACTTATGATAAATAAATAAATATTATTTCCATGGAAATTGAGGTCACACCTTGCCACAGAAAGGAAGGTTTAGGCTCACCTACTACCTACTTGCTTACCTACTACCCCCAGAAAACTTAAGCTAACAGGTGGAGGGACCCACTCATTTCCAACTCTCCACCAGATCTAGATCAGATAATTTCTTTATTCCCTGTTAGGCAGGCTAGGCAGGGCACTTTTTCCATTGTATTAGTTTGTTTTTCACTGGTTGCCCGAACACTGACCTCATTCCCTAGAAACACATTTAATTATCTTATTAATCTTTTGGTACACATCCTCCCTATCTGTTTGTGCCAAACCCTGCAGGTTTGTTGAACATTATCGTATATACAAAGCTGAATAGCTCCAATCTTTTCAAGAAATAACTCAGTCTGGCAGTTCCTCTCATCTGAATCCCCTCAAGTGCTCTCAAGAGAGCGAGGTAACAGAAACGAAATGATCCAAAACATCAGAGAGAGTGTTTTTTTATTCTGTCCTGCTCTGTTGTACATGAAACCTCTCTTTGAGATGGTCAAAATGGCTTTGAAGATAACAGACCTGGCTCCAGCAGTTATTTAGGAACCATTTCTGAGATTACATTTCATCCTAGGTAGCAGATGAGTGGAGTTGGCTGCATAGAACCCATTCAGTAGTGCCAGCTTAGTTATCAAGGGTTCAATCAGTATGAGATTGTGACTATAATACTTTCATGCCAGAATACCATGAAAAGTATTTCCTGCATAATTGAGTTCTTTAGAGAATAAAAAAAGCCTCTGAAATACAGCACAAAATAAATAAAAATCATTTCACAAACACACTTGTATCAAACAGAATTCAGTTAATTTTTTCTGGCATGTGTTGTGTCTTCCTTTTACAACAGAACTTTGATGACGATTAGAAGAGCCATCTTCATTTTGACTGTGCCTTGAGCAGCACATCCCATCCATCCAGTATTTCAAAGTGAGAACCATTTGGAAGTACTTACTTTAAAATAGGACACCACATAGAGGAGAACCAGAATAGAACCAGATCAGTGCACCAAGCGGTCATATGAACCGAAGGGAAGTCAAGGTTTTGTCTCTACCTGTGCGTACGTATCTAAAATAGAGCTTTACTTTATAATTAAATGATTGAAGAGTAGCACTGAGCTAGGTCAGACAGAACACAGAACAACGAGCAATCCTGTTCATGTACGTGTACGGACATTAGAACAGCTCTTTCCACCACCCCAACCGTACCTTATGTGCTATAGTTTTGGTCTTTGATATATGTGTTTCCTTGACCCAAGTGTCTCTGATTGAGCTAATACTAACATTTCCCGTGTGGCGCTCTCGTTGTGACATCATAAAATGTGTGGGTGTTTGGTAGCCCTCCCACCTGGAGTCCAGTCTAAACCCACCTTTCTTTTTGGAAATACCGGGCAGCAAGTGTTTGTCCTCGTGCTTCCCCGCAACCCGACTGTGCTTCATCCGGCAGAAGAAGGACCTCCGGGCTCCAGTGGTCAAGTGGGAAGGTCTGACGGGGGTATCTGTCTGGACCTGAACTCCCGCTGCACACAAAAAGACCAGCATTTGTGGCGATGACATATAATGCTAATTGTCAGCTTCAGCTAGCTGCAGTGTGGATTCCACATTAGGTTACAGTGTCCATTTTACATGGCAACAGACTTACTTGCAGCATCAATGAGGCGTTGGCGAGGGTATAACTCCGAAGAGGCCAACTGTTCCTTCACCTTGTTGATGTCTTTGTGGTGGATGAAATTGAACAAGCTCTGCCCGGTCAGCTCCAACTGTGAACCCAAATGATATACATGCATTAGTTCAACTTTTTACTGTCTATGTTTTACTTAATTGGCTTTGTTCATTTTGTACAATGAGACTTAAAAACTATTTTTTTTTGTGCATTTCCAACTAATCTGCTCCAAGTTGCTTGTTCAGTTGCATGAACATATAATTTACAAGAAAAAGAGAACCGCTGCAGCATGAATCCTGTCATGGTTTACTGGTAAGCCCCCAAATAACACATGCTGCCCTGCAGACATGGAGTCAGATTTCTTTAGAAGCTTTTCTCTTGCATCCCTCCTTATCTCCATTCCTCTCTGCTTGCTTACAGTCTGTATAAAGCTGAAAAATGTGGCCAAGAATGTAGAGCATGTGTGGTTAACATTCTGCCTGCCAAACGCTATAAACTGACTTTCAAAACATGTATAAAAGCTCAGATTGCTAGCCCTGCAGAAAAATAAAAAACAAGATTGAACTTGATTATTCAGTTTTACTTGCAGTATGATCAGGCCCCCATCAGAGCTTTAATTAAATGTGTTTTGGTTTTCTCACAACAGACTCACACAATTTGTGTCCACAAGGGCAATTTATGTGAACACTGAGTTCTAAAGATCGATGAATTATGTGGCAATAAGATGCAGATGCTGAGAGCAGATGATGGAGACTTTTATATAGAGTCAAACAAGGTTATCAGACTAGTCAAAAATATGAATTATGCTTCATATTTATCCATATTCATCCCATAACCATGTAGTAAGAAAAGTATATAGCTTTATATTTATTTCCTTTAGCAGAAAGTGCTGACAGTTCTGTGGCTCCATACTTTTATGCCATTTTTGCTTCATTTTGATAAAAGAGATCCAAAGAGAGGAAAAGTAGCACAAAAAAAGGGGCCAGCTGAACCAGCAGGATGGTTGCCCTCTGTTTTTTAGATTTAGCTAATTAAAATTAGTGTGTGATGTAGAAGTGCAACGCACCCGGCTAAAGTTGAGGATCTTGGAGACGGACTCGGAGATGAACAGGATTTTCGCCCGGTCACAACTTACAACTAACAGGAAACCGTCTGCAGCCTGATAGATATACAGATAGACAGACTGACATATAGATATACAGACAGATGTATAATCTAACAGGACTGGTTGGGGTCGTAAACATGAGCACCTACCCTGAGCAGAAGGTGCCTGAGGTCATCATGAGGCAGGATGGAAGGCTTGTAGGTGGTGTTTGTAAAGGCGCTGCTTGTCCCAGCTGAAAACACAGGAGACACAAACTCTTAGATGGAACAGAACAGACATTACTAATGTTGTAAATTACTAGATGGGTTAAGAGGTACCTTTGAGGGCTTTCAGGTGTTGCACGGCCTTCCGCAGCACAGTGAGTTTGTCGAGTTTTCGAGCCATGGGCTGACAGGCAGGGATCATGGCGGAGAGCTCGTCAATGAGGGTGTTCATTTTATCCCTCCGCCGCTTCTCAATCTGGCTGTGAGGCTCCCTGTAGGTGCAGTCAGAAATCAGTCAGTGCCACCGAACGCCCTAACGACTGTATCTATTTTTGGGGGAAACAATTATCTGGAGTTCCTAATGCAATTATATTAAAACTGTGAAAGTCATTATGGTTTTAAAATACCTGCTCACATTAGACACTCAATGAGACTAATCAAAGCCACGAAGGCTTCTCGAGACACAGCTGGCACAGTAATTTGATGTAAAAATAGAATTACCTGAAGCATTTCATTTTGACTTGCTGATCCTCTTCTTCAGACCTGCAAATAAACGGATCAAAATTAGAATTTTTTGCCAGTATTCTCTCATAAGACAGTGTGTGAACAAAGCCAAGACGTCAGCGTACCTGCTGAGGTCATCCTCCATTTGGAAGTCGAGGCTTTGCCTGTAAGATCGAACGGACACATTGCGAGTCGTTACATATTTAAGAACAGTGAACATATTTACTACAGAGAACAAAGAGTAAAATTACACTGAATTTGTAATTTCTCTTCACAAATAACATAGCATAACATAAGCTCTTACTGTACATGGGTGTCTGACCTCTCCTCCACATCTCCCTTTCGTTTCCTTGGCAGCTCGACAGCTGGCAGCGAGGAGCCTGCTTGGCTTGGGCCTTCTTCCTCTACAGTGGGATCTGATACATGAAAACAACCATCGCAGTGATGTGAGGGACCGCGAATGCATCAACCTTAAGACTGGCTTGTCAGGTGTTCTATTAATAATTCACCCGAATGAATGAATGAATGAATGAGACTTGCTCTGCCACGAGGGTTTGTGCACATATGGAGCAGCGAATGAAAAGAATTCATCAAGAAGAGTGAAGCTGATGTGCAAACGCCTTTAACTAAATTTAAACAGGTGTTTTACTTTAACACAATAAAATTAATATTCATACAAATGAATAAGTAAATACAAACCCACACCTTGTTTGGATAACAGAATGCTTGTGTGTAAACTGTGTGACAACAACCGAGTCAATGCACCTTCAGGCTATCTAAGCTGAGCTAATTACTGGCAGCGACCAAGGCTGCACCTGGACCTGTGTTCAACAGATCATTATCATATTCAAACCTTTATAACTGATCAGCTACGGATTACTGGTGCATGCACAACTGTGGCATCCGGCAAGAATAGAGCTATGTTCTTATCTGTTATCACAATTAAGTCAATTGTTGCACAGTGATTGTTTGAAATATTCATTAATATTTATAACTAAGCATAGTACTGTTATGCACAATGTGTTTGATGTTTTTATTAATATTTATAAGTCATCATAGAATTGTTACAGCCTGTTTGGTTTATGTATTTATAAATATTTATAAGTCATCATAGGAGTATATTGTCAGTGCTACATTACTTTAATAAACAATGGTATCATGCCAAAGTGTGTAATACACTCGCCAGCTCACCGTGCCAGTGTCATATATTGCCTTGGCTAGGCGCCTAGGCCAAGTTAGCAGTTATAAATATGCAACATTCAATTACACTTTCAAAATAAAGCTTGCTGAGGTTGCATTTAGGTTAAGTTTAGGCACCAAAACTACTTGGTTAGTTTTAGGAAAAGAGTGTACCTGACGTAAGCTAACTTACCTAATGTACGTAAAGGTCCAGTGTGTTGGATTTAGTGGCATCTAGTGGTAGAGTTGCATATTACAACTCACTTGTTTCACCCTCCCTTTCCAAAAGGGAGAAACTATGGTCAATAGATCCTCCTAAATGTTATACGCTAGACCTTTAACTTAAGTAATGTTGACTTTTGGTTTCAGGATTTAGATTTCACTATTTACAATCAACTTGTTTTTTTTTATTTATTTAAGTAACATTGACCAAACGATTACTAATTATTATGGCCTTTCTTTTTTTTCCTGAAAGTCCTACAAAGCATACAGTAGATCCGTATTTGCCAATCACAAAGTAGCCTATCACGGCTATGATTTTTTACACGTATTTTGAAAATAAGGTCATTTTAGCACCAATGTTTGAAAATATTTTTTGTCCTCAAAAGCCCAACTTTTTTGTGCGCAGACAATCAGGATGACTCATAAATGTGTTTGCAGTGGTGGGTGGCGATTATTTTTAAGAGGCTGATATCTCACTCAGGAATGTTTATCTCACTGTGGAAAAAGGCATATGCCTCTTTAAAAGCTGAAGTGTGCCTGCCAAAAGCACGACTGCCAGAATTCTTCTCTTTCGTCTATTTAGTCTCTTGCCAAACCAACACTCTCTACCACACACACACACACACACACACACACACACACACACACACACACACACACACACACATTTAAAATGCCTTGGCTTAGTCTGCTCTGCAGTCATCTGTTTCTAGGCGAAGTATCGGTGCACTGGCTGACGGTTGCCATTGAATGGCGCCAAACAGCCAGCTATGATCTGCATTTTGTCAGTTTAAAAGGCACGTGAGAGTAAATGGGGTTTGGGCTATGTCTTACCTAACACTTATATAATGCTGTAACAGTGACCTACTTCACTCTCTCATATTTTAAATTGTGACATCCATTTTGTACAACAAAAAAAAGTGCTGATAAAAGTGAACAAAGCTTGTCAACGTGACCGTGACTGACCCACATTCTCCTGGTGTCTCACTAAAGGAGGAAAAGTAATTGATAATAATGGCAAACTTCTCATAATGAACCCATATTTCTCAGCTGGTTTTATAATATAAGCTTGGGCGCCTAAAGCGTTTGCACACTTTATGGAAAGAGTCCTAAAAGGAAAAACCTAGAAACAAACCGTCAAGGGAAGCGTATCTGAGTGGTCATAGCGACCCTTTCCTCAGGTAGAAAAGTCAAACCTCACAAACAAACACAGCAAGCTTTGACAAACAGGCACAGCTTTTACAATTCAATCAGCAGTGGAGTGAACTTCAGTGATATTGACTACATTTCCTTTAATCCTTCCAGAGGAGTTTAGTGGGTCATTACTGACGCATTTGTGGTACGTGGGAGCAGGCGCTTGCCGGCTCTCCCTTCCACCCACCACAGCACACACCGCCTCCAACGTCACACAGTTTTTCCTGTTTCCTTATTAGTCAGGAATTCTTTCCCTGGGTACCTATGTACCGGCCCTGCCAGCTGACTGGCTAAAACGTGCCATCTAGGAAGGTACAGGGCCTGCTTTGTGCTGTGCCGAGAGCATGTATAGACCGCCACGCTCTGAGTCACACCCCGAGCCAAAAGGCTCCGGTCGTGACGAGAGTGCTGACGAGAGGCCAAGCCTGCAGGGCAGCACATGACATACCATATTACTCAAACACAGAAACACAGACCACCACCCATGGGAGAGATGCAGATGAGTGTGAGAAACTCAGTGTGAGGAAGAGTACATGACCTACACATGCGGTTCTTTACGGCTGTACATTCTCTAATAAGTGCACATTTCATCCCACTTGAATAACTTCAAGGTATTTGGTTGTGGAAAGTAGAGTATAGATGACCTGATTTGAATTATAGACACGATGTATTGCCAGTATAAATCCACTAGAACACAAGTAAATGCAGTAACTTCATTTAATACAGTACAAATAAGCGAATTCAATAATAAAAACACAAATACTGGAATTCTAACAAAAAAGCAAGACCAGCTAGATGGACAATAACTTCCATATGGAGCCACAACTGCACAGTTGAAAGCCAGTAAATCTGAAGCACGTGCCAATCTCTAACTAGCTTTTGACATACGTTTAGGATATAAACAATGCTATATTTATGCAGACAGCTCATTTCAGTCCTTTGTTCGAGCTCAATAAGTCCACAAAAGCAGAGCTCGTCCTATGTTTCCTCCAACACAGACCCGAGTTACAGTAAAAGCACACAATAACAGGTCGTGAAAGGTTAGCAGGGAATGTTCAGCGTGTGTCCAAACAGCATAAATTACAGTACTGTGCTAAACAGCCAGAGCAAGGATCTGAATACAAGCTGGGTTTAAGGTTTGACTACACGTGTGCAAATATTTTTTAATAAAAACACTGAGACAAAAGAATTCCAAGTTAAATATGTATGAAGGTACGAGAGTTACATCTGTGTTTACTTGATTCTGCAACTAAACACCGGAGTTTGGTTTTCAAAATATTTAGTACATTTGAAAATTTTGGTGTCACAGGGCTACATGGAAAAAGTTAACCCAGTAGAGAAAGAAATGTACTGTTAGTCATAAAATATTATAGACAATGAATACATTCATGAACAATACATTAACAATAATTAGGAGTATTTATGGTTTACATGGCTTACTTTTTTGTAAATACATTCACAAACATTCCCTTCTACAAATTACAAATGCATATGAGGAGCTTCTAAAATACAAGTTTGAAAAAGAGCAATCTTCCAGTTTAAAGTGACAGGTTGATGGAAAACATTTTTTTTTACAAACTATCCTGTCTATGTTAAATATACTAAATACATTTTGGACATTTTTAGCATGGTTACAGTATGCTTGAAATTAACTCCTATGAAAATTTCTTAAATGAGTTTTTCTGTATTTTCTTACAGACACAGTAAAAAAAGTTAAAATGAGGGCAGTCAGTCTCCTTTTAAACAAATAAAGTACAGATATGAAGCTTTTCATACATACATAATTGTTTTATTTTATCTTATATGTTATTCTAATGTGAACTGAATTATCTGTTTGGATGTTTGTCACATGAAGGAACTGCAAACTTTCCTTTTGTTGTACAACCTTGTGTTGTATAATGATGCATACATTTCCATACCCTGGAGCATTCTGGCTGCTGTCTTTATTTGGTTTAGCTCGTGTCATATTTTCCTACACTTATTTCCAACGTTTAAATTTAGCAGCTTGTAATCTGAAGCTCATATCTATGCAACCAAACTTACAGCCACATGTATTTATTCATTGCGTTTTAAACAATCTGGCTGCACTCGTAGCTAATTTGCTATCATTGCTAACTATTTGGAGGGCTTTTGCTTAATAGTCTATCACATACTGTATGTTCAAAATTGCATTGCACTCTGAACTCTTTCTGCATTACCTGTGAAAGATCATATTAGTGACACTGTATTCACCACTGAAACTGAACACGTTTTTGTTGTTAACTTTGTAAAATTAAAACAATCTACCCAATGCACACATCTATATGAGTGAGGTATGGCGTGACTTTTCTAAAGCTGGCCTCATTGCAGCCTATTAATGCAACTGGCTTCCATTCCTCTCACTCTAAGATGCAGAAGCGTATCAACTGTATTTTGTTTCTACAGGATGCCACTCATTAGATCAATACCTTGGCCAAGATAGAAAACATATCAACTATCCAGACACAGTCATTGGGACAAACATATACAGTAGCAGTGTAAAATCGTATCACCTTCATCCTTCCAACATCTTTATATCCTTTCAACCTACAAACATTGAGCATTTATCACCGCTGGCTCAAACAGCATGTTTTTCAAAGGATGGATAGTCTGTATTCTCATAGCTATTTTGCAAAACTGTCAGGTTCAAACATACAAGGACACTTCCTTTGTTGATATTCAACACAGATGGCTGTTTCAAGGCCAAAATGATCGGATCCATCAACAGTGCCAGGACTGTGACCCTTTGTAGTTTCTTAGTCCATTAGTGCTCCATGTGCAGACCACTAATGTACCAGTGGATGTAAACAGTGACTAGCTTGCTCTGGGGTCACTGCACCATCATCTGTTACTTTTCAAAATGAAATCACATTTCCTTTGTCCAAACTTGTTTCATACAATTTGTCACCAAAAAGTGTGAAAACAGCAGCTTTCTGAATTTGATTATTGGTAATACTGTAATTAGGGCTGCAACTAACAGTTATTTTCATTATTTATTCATCTTGATTATTTTATTGATTAATAATTTGGTCCATAAAATGTCAGAAAATAGAAAATGTTAAAACGATTAACTGATTATCAAAAAAATATTAACAACTGCATTAGAAAATATTTAGTTCCTTGATAAAAAAGATTTTGGCAAGAAACATTCAGTCATTGAGCTTAAAATTCCCTCACCTAAACTGTTAAACATGTGTAGAAGTTAATTATTATGCTGTTAAGAAAACTGGTTTTATAATCTGCAGCTTAAATCATGAATTCAGCAACTACGGTGCCACATTTTGTTTGTTAAATGCAACGACAAGCTAGAAGACAGGTGCGGGGCTATAGCCAAGAGACCACAGAAAGACAAAATAACTTCAATGAGGAAAGAAAATACCCACAAAGAGACACAAAATAACCACAAACACATGCAAAATGACCACAAAGAGACATAAAATAACCACAAACACATGCAAAATGACCACAAAGAGACATAAAATAACTATGAAGATTCAAAACAGCCATAAATATACACACAAAATAACTACCATGAGACACAAAATGACCATACAAGACACAAAATAACTACAAAGAGACACAAAATGAGGACAATCTCCACTGTAAACTAAATGGTTTTTCAACCAACAGCAGCACCTGAAGAGTCTGACTCACCTACAGAATGTCACTGATAGAGACACAGTTTCACACATTCATTCAGGCCAACCCTCTGGCCCTGTCGGTAGATGCTGCTAGTTGTACTACCAATACAATGCCTATATCTCTGCTACTATTACTGGCTCACTGAAAGTCTGTGTGTTGTGCTCTTATAGAAGTGATGAGGGCCATTTGTCTCCAGGAGCCCATTGTCTCATCATCTGTCCTATCTTTCTTGTGATAAAATAAGGATTCAGTATTCCTGAGATATTAATCTTTGTCAGTTGTCGTTTTAATCCTTACATATGTATGCTGTAATGTCCACAATATTGAGATTATTACTTATTGAACAGTTGTTTCATTATCCAACTGTATAGTTGTAGAAGTTGTGGTAAAAGTTGTACTGGGAGTAGTAGCATTTGTTGTAGCAATACAGTAGGTTACAATACTATACTGAGTATTAGCATGAGTAGTAAATGCAGCAGCAGTCATAGTAAAATCTGTAGTAACAGTAGAAACAGTACTACTAGGTATAGCAGTAGTAGTATCAGCAACAGCAGTATTAGAAATACTGTAGTAGTATTGTATCTGGAGGAAGAGGACCAAACTCCTGGTCATTATGTACAACCCCTCCCATCCCCTACATGACACTGTGGCAGAGAAGCTCCTTTAGCAACAGACTATTACAACTAAGTTGCACTAAGGAGCGCTATAGACAATAAGACTGTACAACTCCTCCTCCTGCTGGCTCATCACTATGATCAGAGACAGGGCTGCTCTACATGGTGTCAGATCTCCATTTATGTTTCTTTTATAGATGTCAACTTTTTGTTTTTTTTGTATGTATTTTATTATTCTATATTTATTATTTTATTTTCTATCTCTGTCTGTTTCTAGCAGAATTTGTAGTTTTTGTGGTTGCAGGTTAATAAAAAGCATTAACACTCAACACACAACAATTTTATGACATGACAAGAGATGGGCTAATAAACAAGACTGGCAGACATGACAGAGAACATATTCCATAGAAATTACATTATGGCTGACACATCTATAGCTGCTAATGTGGAATTGAATCCAAGTGTCTTCTCACCTCAGCTTGAGGTAAGTAATTATCAGATTTTTTACTGTGTGATCTGATCCACTGAGACATTCATATCGTCGCATTATGCCAGAGCTCAGTTTCTCTGCTTCCATCGAGGAACATAACTACAAGTATTGTGGTTTTGGATGGATGCAGAGACGGCGCAAAGCCTTAAATCCTACAGTTACAGTACAGTATGTTCCAGGTTATTTCTGGTTGGCTGACCTACAATTACTGCAACTCCTTACAAAAAGCACAATGCATATTGTGTTACAAAGCACATGCAATTTTATTTGACTGTTAGGCAGGGAGCTGCAGATGTACACATGAGAATATAAACACGGACTATGAAAGTTATAAAGGCAGAGGCTTATACCCAGAAACATACAGTGAGCCAGGCATTTTAGAACAAGATTACAGAGTAAACACAGTAAGAAAGCACTTGAAACAGTATTTATTGTGTGTTATTTAAATACTAAATTTACTTCAAATACAGAAATTGTCAACAATATAGTCAACCCCTTTAAAGGAGGCTTTATTTGAAATATTGTATTTAAAAGTCTGTAGTGAAGTTTAATGGAAATATAGGGGGATGCAATGCAGTTTGCAACATTTTTGTAAAAATATATTATAACAATAATTCACTTTGAATATTGTCATTCAGTGATTCTTTTTTTCTTTTGCAAGATTTTATATGTAAAACATTCTAAAGGCTAATACAACATGTTACAGTGTAAACAACCTTGAAACTGATACTTTAATTCAAATTTGTACTTTTGATCTATTATTTTTTTATTAAAATGACTACTTTTACTTGTAACCTAATTGTTAAAAACACTTTCATTACAGTATTGACCAGGTTCTAACCTTTACTGCAATTCTACGGAAGAAAACCAAAGCAAAATAGAAAATACTTCATAGGGAGTTTACACTTAATACATTTAATTTACAGTTTACATTTTAAAGCCTAATAAAATATTATTTTAGTGCTTCTGTGGGTAACAGAGGTAATCATGATTTTATGGTGCCCCTAATGCACTTTTAGGATATTTTAATCTTAAAGATATGTGGCTGGCTATTATGTTATATTATTATGTAATATCCCAAGATAGTTTTATAGTGTGTTGCTGGAACTGAATAAATATCTTTAATAATAATATTGCACCTCATAATGTTCCCATTGTATTGTATTAAACAGGTTATTTTAACACTTATGGCACCGTCGAAGCCTACTAAATAATAATAATAATTGTTTTGGTTTTTTTCTTATAATTTTCTAAAGCGCCTTTGGTGTTGAATGCAGTGTTAATAATGTCGTGGCGCCTGCTTCACAAAGTTTGGATGGCTGACATTACTGCAGTGCCTCTCGGTGTGATCTCGGAGCGGCCGGGAGCGACTGCCTCCCTCTGCTGCACAGTGAAGGCAGCGCTGCTCTACTGATCTACTGACCCAGTTTTGAAAGAAGCTAAACGAGAGAGGACAAACCTCGCGGAACCACGTGACAACCTAAGCTCCCCGAGAGCAGTGAAGGTTAGACGAATGAAAAGAAAAAGACTCTGGCAGCTTAGGGCAAGATGGCGGCCCTGTCACAACAAACTACATGGTTATGGTGAGCGTGCTAAAAAATGTAGTTGTTAAGGTTGTTGGGGAGGAGGGGGCCGGTTGGCTCGTTGCCATAGTTACAGTCACGTGGTTACATGAGGTTTGAACTGAACAAAGTACCCCCCCCCGCTCCGTGCGCGTCCCGCCGGAGACGAGCACGTAGTACGGAATAATGAATGGACGGGCTACCACCGGTTGCCAGTCGGTGTTTTAGGTACAGTAGGTTAGTAGGCAGGTGCACATAGTAACGCGTTACTTCCAGCCATTACTTCTTCCGTTAGGCCAGGCGCTGTCGTTACCGGCAGAAGGAAGGGGTCGCTTGTGTCGTCGCCCCTTAATGTCACCATAGAGTTGAATTAACAATAGCCCACCATTAAAGCCCACTCTGTTGCCACCTGGGTCGCAGACCACCGGCCCCGTCCATCGTATGAAGGCGGTAGAGAAGTTCAGAAGTACTTAATGGAAGTCTAACCTCTGCTTTGATTTGGGGAGGGGGGAAGAGGACACTAAAAATGTAGTCTCCCCCCCCCCGGTTACATTAATAAGAGCAACAACACAGCAAACTACTGCCGTCCCCAGGCGACCCGTCCCCGACCACCTACCTGCTGGTCTGTCCGCCGTCCCGTCAGAGCCACCGGCCGACATGCCTACAGACTGGAGCCGGTGTGCCCGGTGAAGGCTACGGAGCGCCGCCGCGCATGTGGAGCCACCAGCTGTAGTAGTAGTACAGAGGAGAGGAGGAGAGGAGGAGAGGAGGGAGCTGCGGAGAGCCGGGGTGTTGTATAATTGACTTCATTTTTTTTTTTTTTTTTTTACAAAGGAGGCGGAGTGGGGGGGTTGGGGGGCAGAAACGTGAGGGATGGGTGAGAACGGAACACCCGCGTCCTTTAGGAAACACGGAAAGGAGTGAGGAGTTCACGCATGTCTCCTCCCCCATCGCCCCTTTTCCGTTCATTCATGCCGGTGTTTACTTGATGGAGTGAACGGCGTTTAACCGGGACAGCGGCAGCCCATTCATTTCTCTCTCATGAATCAGCACACACACACACACACACACCTTCTGAAGGAGGCTGGGGGACAGCAGGGGGGTGTATTGTGTGCAATGGTCGCAGCAGCATAAGAAAGTGTGTTTCAAATGTTCATCCACCGTTCAAATGACATCTGGTTGTATTATTAGTGTTTAACTCTCGCATCCCGGCTGCAGCGCTTATAAAGTCACGACTAATAATTGTCTAACGACGGAAGGTCCAACAGGAAACGTCTAATGAGATTGTGACAACGCTGATCTAATCATTTTTGGATTCATATCACACGGAGGCGGCCTGGTCCTCGACGGGGCGGCGGGAGATTGTTTCCTCCGCTGTTACGCTCGTTTTGGTGACCTGAAAAAGCGTCACCGATCTGACTTTGCTTTACTCTCTCGGTTTCCCCAAAACAGAGCGGAGATACAACGAGGAGGTCTCACTCTGCCCCTCTTTCTTTCTTTCTTTTCCTGGCGCTGTATGTGATCAGCACATTCACAGCCACGGGTTAATAACCGCGGTATAAAAACAACCATATGGGAATAAACAGATTGTGGGATTTTCTATATTTACAAGATTCATATGAGGACACTGTTAGAGTTCCCTTATGTTGAAACTGCATTCCAGATATGTTTATTAAACATACAATGACTGTTGTGAATAATAATCAGTGTCTGATCTGGTTTTTCCACACAAAAGTTTAATGAAAACAAAGAGTCCTTGCTCCAATGGCCATGTGCTCGAGTTCAACCGTTGCTGCCTGTCCTCTCCTCTCTCTCCCACCTCTCCCGTTACTCTTTGGCTGTCTGTACACATTAATGTAGTGACCCCCCCCCCCAAAAAAAAAAAAAAATTACATTTGCTCCTCCCTTATGGAAAAATCCTAAAACTAAGCCTACATGCAAATATTGTTCATTTCAAGAGTTGAACTGCAGGACACAAAATGTCTCCTGCTTTACTTTGAAGTCCATTATCTCCTGTAAGTTACATATTGGACCACGATTGGCTTCCGAACTATTTGTGATGTTAAAAAAGGTTTTCTTTCTAATTTTTGTTTCTATGGGCTACACTGACCTCCTTCATAAATAATGCCAAGTTATGTACAGTACTATATTCAATAGGGCTGCACAATATGGTCAAAACATCATATTAATCAATTAGTTTGACAGATTTTGTGACTGTGATATGATTTTGCATCCCAAACTTAATTTTCACTGAAAAAAGCTTTTCATATCATGATGATGTGACATTTTGGGGGGTCTGTAGCAAACAAACATGTTTTTCTTTAATCTGGAGACACATGATTTGTAGGCCAGGGCATCGCTTCAGAACTACAATATCACACATTTTACCTTTATCAAAAAACTGCAGTTTCTGTGATTTGTCATATTGTGATTTCCATAATATTGCAATTCATTTCTAATATTCAACTCTCATAAAGGGGACAGCAGAGATGGTCGGTAAGTGTTACTGTGCTTTACATGAATATATTAAACATAATTTTTGACTCAGTATAACATTGTAAGAATGTAGGGCAAAAACTTCAATGCCCAGGCTTTTGTGAAAACAAAAATATTAAAATATTTGTAGCATTTGTTGTATCTCTTCATCAATTTGTCAAACACAACAAAAATCCGAGTGAAAACCCGAAGTTTAAAAAAACAAAACCGAAGTGACACATCGCCTCCAACGTTGACGATCTTCGGCCCTCACCTACATAGTGTAATTCGAGACCTTTGCACGAGACTTTACGTAAGAAGGAAGGCTGCACGTGCCAGCGAGAAACGTGTTGACCTATATATTATATAACTCGACGGTCACGTGGCCACGGTTGGCTCGTTAACCCATTTCAGGACAGTCCGCGGAGAAAGTCCAGTGTCCCCGTGCACTTCACCAACCGGGAAACACCGTGCGTGGACAGGAAGCACCAAAAACACGGATAGTGACATTGTGACTGACTGTTAGTGGAGCTTTAGAGACATTTCAAGTTACAGCAACAGTGAATCCACACAGCCTGCACACACAACTCTTTATTGGGAAGAGTTTGTTTTTATTGATTGTACCATCATAACTGACTATTTCAGATTTAAATATATTTAAATATATCACCCCGAGTCCATTGTGGCAACTTGTGTGGAGTTACACACATTCTAAGCAGATAAATCATAGTATATCTTCTGTACTTTGTCGCCTTTAAAGCCCAGTTTAAAACAATACAAGGTCAATAGAGTAGTGGGGGGGGTTGGTTAAAGAGGGGCAGTGATTTAAGGATGTAGGTCTCATGTGGTCTTGCCTGGTTGTGCTGTTTGTGACCTTTCCTCGTCGGTCAGCCCCACCTCTGGCTCTCTTTACACATCCATGAGGAGAACACAGTGGTTTGTTTTTTTTTTTTAACTCATGACAGCAGAATGTCACACTTTCTCTCTCGAGGACTGTGTGTTCCTGGTTGGGGTTTGGCATATAGTTACAGAACCAGCAAATGTTTAAGGTGTCCTCGTTTCGTGGTCGTGGTACACACGTGGTACACACAAAAAGTCAGCTTTTAACCTGAGGAAAACAACTTTATATAAGCCGAACTATGTTATCCCTATAGAGCCATTCTCTTTTGATTTAGGTCAGTTTGACACCACCTGGAAACTACGCACTGACTCTAAAGGCTTCGTCATCTTACTTAGGGTCAATATTTAGCTAATTAAAGTTGTGTAAACTGAGCTGACATTACTCTCCACTCCAATAAAGTAAAATAAATTAAATAAAATGGCAATAACTTGGCTGCCTTTCAGCTTCAAGTGAAAACAGTGTTTAAATGGTGAATTAACAGCCAGAAAAATCAATATTAAGTAAAGCTTAAAGTAAACTCATCTAAAATATACTGAAAATGTACAATTAAAAAACTTCAAATAATAATATACTTTTATTTATAAGCTTTTTAAATAGCTCCTTACATAAAAAAAAAAAAAAAAATTAATGATCGATAAATTTAAATTACTAATAATATGAACTAAGTGTAAGTATAAGTGATAATGGGGTCATGACATGGCACCGTCACCTCTGCATGAGCTGGTGCGTTTTAGTAACCTGGTTGTTGTCGGCTTTCTGCAGTAACCTGATTTCTTAATGTAAACCAGAAACCCGGTTTCCTTAATCGGGGGAAGAGATTAAAAGAAACCCGGTTAACACAAGTAGACTTTTGCTGAGAGAGAGAGGGAGAGAGAGAGAGGGGGAGGAAAAAAAAACTTGATCTGTTGGCCACTCACACACGTAACCATGTTTGTTTGTAAGGGTGACCGACACGTGAGGACGGTCAGACAGTCACGGCAGTGTGGAGGGATGAGTGCCAACAGCTCTACATGGAGGTGCAGACTGTCTAACATAAATACATAAATGCATCAATAAATAAATAGAAAGTGGGAATAAAAGTAAAATGAATAAGCACAAATCATTTCTCAACAGCCGGACACACAGTAAGTAAATGTGTCATCAGTTAATAGCCTGGGCCTACTACTGTAGCCTCTCATCATTAATATGCTATTAAATATAGCCTATGGAACATTGTTGGTCTCTGGTTTACAGGGGAATGTGATTATTGTATGTACGCCTGAGGTTTGCAATGCAGGTTATTAAAGTGTGTGACCACCTCGGCCCCCAGCACACATTTTGAATATTTTACCACACTTATTTACCTGCAGTGCCTCTTAAATCATTTTTAATTACATCAGTTAGCACCATTATTAGTTTTTTGCATTATAAATTAAAATGATGTTTGTGTAGTGTGACCAAACACGCCCACAATAGTTTAAAAGAGTGACATTTATTAACAGTATAGGTTTTAAAGGTGCCGTGTTTACAGCACTGTCTCTGCCCACAGAGAAGTGTTAAATATTCTGAGATAAAGGTTTTCACATGACAACAGTTGTTTAATTCTGAGCCAGTGTCCATTCATCAGAGCCTGAAAAGACACTCATGTACGTCAAGAGCGCCCTCTAGTGGCCTCAGTGAGTCACAGCAACAAGCTGTGCTGCTTTGCAAAAGGAGTTTGATGTTCAGTTAACTGTTCTTTTAAATTTCATTTATACAATTATAGGTCTGTTTCAGACATCATTACTTGCTTTTACTCAATATTTGCAATGAAACAGAGTAAGAATGAGCACTGGAAACATTTTATTGATTGACTATGCTGCATTTCTGTAAATTTAGATAATTAAGTAAAAAGTCTGACTGTAAATCCCACATTCACACAAGGTAAAACTGTATTTCATTGGATCAGTTTACTTTTTCTGTTTTGTATCTACCACAAAGTTTGTTTTTATTCACACCAAACCTCAGATATTTCAGTTAGTTGTAAGTATAATCATTTAAAATGCAGGAGACTACAGTAATAATGTAAGGCTGGAAGACATATAATTAAACCAGAATTTAGAGCACAAACATTTTGTCTGTAATCAAAAGAAACGGTGTCTTTTTCCATTGTTAGTTGCAATTCTGTTTCAGTTCTCCTCACTTACGTAATGAGGTCAAATTGAGGTGAAAGGCTGCTGTTGGATACATAATAAAGAACTGTACTCACTCTTATGGTTGACTAAACATTCTACTTTCAATTTCACAAAATGTATTTGCTTCCTAAGTATGATTTTGAAGACACCTTCAAAAACAACAAGAAAGAGTCTCATGATATGGAAGCCAAAAACTGCTGTGCTTGCAGTTTTTTTTTTTAAATACTCGAGATCACAAGTTTATGTATCTCACGACAAAATATCAAAAACTTATTGAATGAGCTCAAAGATGCCTGTAATATAAAAGATAACTTCATGCAACGTCCATTACGGAAGCCCAGAACGGCTGTGCATGCAGTTATGTTTTTAATGCTGTTATCTCGAGAAGGAAAGTTAATTACTTTGAGATAACCAGCTTTGTTATCCTCAGATAATGAGATAACTAACCTGATATCAGGAGAAAACAAATGCAGATGCTGATACACTGTAATGCAATTATTAACGTTATTTTAACTAAAAAAAGAACCCGAAAATTTTAAGTAACCCATACAAAACTTTTCATTTCAAAAAGATTCTTGATGAAGCAGCTTAGAAAATAAGTTTAGTAAGCTTTATAAGTTAATGAAACATTCCTGAATCAGTACTTATTTAGTATTTTGTCTTCACAGTAAAAACAAATAAAATAAAAACTACAAAAGTAAGTCGCTTGAATAAATGAATAAAATAAAGCTACTTGATTAAGATTTTTGTTTTTTTAAACTTACAAAATTGAGTTAGTTTTACTTAAAATTTTCGGCGTATGATAGACGTAGCACTGGTTCAACAATATGGACTGCGCTGACAGCATTAAAAAAAATTTGTCCTTTCTTTCTTTCAGCTTCCGTACTTCCAACTCCTTGACATTTCCCACTCAAAGTAACTGCTGATTCTGAATGTCAACATTACTCACTCTCTAATTCTTAACCAACTGAGCAGCTCCAGGTTGCATTCCCTTTCACATCTGTTTGGGACTGAATGGATTATGCTCACAAGCATTTCTAATAGTAGTGCCATGCAGCACAAGATTACTGAATTAACTCCAACACTTCAGAGCTTTCTCCGGGCGTGTTTATGGGACGTGTGGTCTTTACTTAAGCCCCACCTGCTCCCCATCTCCCAGCATAAAAAATAAACTTTTAGGCTTGTTGTGTTTAATTTTATTATTTTGTGCATTTTATCAACATAAAAACTCATCAACGTGAATGAATATATTAATGAGCATTTCCTCCTTCACTCCACAGACAGTTTCCTTCAAGTGTCTACAACAATATGTACACAGCATTACACATAAATACCTCACAACATAGTCCTGGTCCGTGGAGGGGGAGGAGAGGGGTGGGGTGGGGGGTAAACCTTAAATTCTTTCTTTTACAAGGGGGGGGGGATTACATATTACTAGCTTAATCACAGGGCTTTGAGGTTTCCGAGGACCAGTTACATCTAAAGTAGATTCTGGATTTGAGTGGGCCTTTAATCTGATTTATATTTTACGTTTGTGTTAATTGCTTTTTAAAAAGGATAAATACACCTCTTTAAACATCAGTCATGAAACATTATGTGACAGTGATCTGACCAACAGCTCACAGGGTCAGTCAGTAAGTTGGTTTGGTCCATCAGAAATGAATTGTCTAGTTTAACTCGCGATAAACGATTTCCTGAACTCTTTTCAACCTCGTGGAGAAATGAAGTCGCAATAATTTAGCTCCCTTCAGATAAAGTGGCACAGTAATGGTTTTCAAGTCATCTCATACATATACAGAATTGTATGGCTCCCCCAATACGGCATTTACCCTCCTTTTTTTCATCTCCTGTGCATCTACTTAAGAAGAAAACAAAAAATGTAATAATTTCTACTTCTTACAACACATGAACATGAGTTTGACATTGAACGCACATCACCTCACAACAAAAAGCACTGAGTATCTACTTCATACCTCACTTCTCACACAGTCACACTCACTCACACGCTAGTTTTTCCATGAACAATCTTAACTGTTTGGCTGGGAAACAGGACGCTGTGAATACAGCAGTTTGGCCTTTCCCAGGTTGTGTCAGTGTGTTCCAGTGATTAGACACAACCGGGAATCTGCAGCGGTAGCCATCAAAAGAATCCCCCCCCAAAAAAAAAAAGCAAGCCTGTGTTACAAACAGAGGGCAAGCTTGAAAGACAAGCATTTATAAGACAGGCAGGGTCTAATGAAAGCTGCTCTCCACCTGCATTATGGGAAATGTAGGATTCACTGTTTTTAGAACTTTAGCCATACTAGGGACTAAAAAGGGAAGATATCTCAGCCTCTGCTGCATCAATTTTGAGCATTTGTTTTAAAAACTGTCTCTTTGTAAGTGCAATACTAATTTGCTGGAGTGCCCCTTTAAATTTGAGGGAAATATTAAAAATCATCCAATTGAAATAAAGTGAATATTAGCACAAAATCACATTTATCAACACCTTCAACAAAATAATTTGTCAACCCTAATTTGTACAGACTATGTACTTTTTATATACTTTTTAGGCGGTCTTTATAGTGCGTTCTTAGCCAATTTTAACAGGACTACCAAAAAAAATTAACTATGAGAAGAGGGACTGGTACAGGTGTATTATAATAACCAACCTCCAACTTATCAAACCACAAGACCACTTTCTCTATCAATCCCACAGAAACAGCATCACAAACAGTTTAATAAGGGATTCCTGTGATGGCTACAGCTGTCCAATATGATACAGTCCTCAGTACGTCTCCTGTCCCTGTATGTACATTTATAGCTTCTCTTGCATTTTGACACTTAACAGACGTGCCGACTGAGAAACATCTGTCTCTGCGCACTCATTTTCTGACTCGTGTAGAAATAGAAATGAAAATTAATTAAATTATTTCATAACCAAGTTTAGCTCTCTCGAAAGGTGTTTTTTAAGGTAGTTCTGAGTTAAGTGCAGTAAGCGACAGCTACATCTGAATTTGTATTCAGACCACGACATGTGATGATCAGAGTTCTTTGGTAACTATTTTTAGCGCTGTGTCTAGTCACAACTCTGAGCAGACGATAAATGGGTTGTTGTGTTAAGAAAGACAGGCCCGCTGTTAGCTTTTTATGTTTAGGGGTTTTTTTTGAGAAAAACAAAAAAGAAACATTAAATACATCCAATGGATACTTAACAAAAAACATTTAAGAACCTCTAAGACAAAAACCATACATGTTTCCAAGTATCTACCTATTTTCATTCATCTTTACTTGACAAAGACCCTTTGTCCATTGTGTTTGCCTTGATGTTTTTATGAGCCCATTGTTTTCTTATGTAACCTATAAAAACCTGTCATTTTCTGTACTTCCTTTGTTTCATCACTCTGTTTAATCATCTTTATCACTGAACTTATGTTTTATGACTCTGCAGACATATTCAATGACACATCAGAGCTTTCCATTGGCTTTAAGAGATACAAGTTGACTTCTAAAGCTTATCATTTTTCCCTTTCGCTTTCACTTTTCCCCTGTTGTTATTGTTCTCCTTCAAACAGCTTTATTATTATTTCTAATAGCAATTAATACCTTCTGATTAATCTCAGAAAACATTTCAGAAGTATCTTGTTATTATTGTTTTTTAGCTATTTAAAAGGCACTTTGCAGGTTTTTTCCACCCAAGAGGGAAGTGACTGACCCTCGGGCTCATTAGAATTAAAACCAGGGGAAATATCAATTACTGTAGCACTAATCTGAACAAAACAACTGGCTCTAAAGGGAAGTGACACACTCTGCACTTTGTTTGGCACAAGGGAACGGGCAACACTCCACAGTAACGGATGTCGAGCACAGGGTAAACTGCATTCAGATGTTTCCTGGCAACAACTTGTTGTTCCTCTGTGAGAAAGAGCAACAGCCCCTGAGGCAACGCCACAGGAAGAGTTGCCCCACGGAGCTGACACAAAGTCACAATGTGTATCACCACCATCAGGGTTCAAGGAGGATTCCAGCATGATTTGAATTTTCGCTCATTTGTTTTTGATTTTCCATCCCCTTCTCTCCACAACCGTCACTGAAAACAACTAGACCCGTTCGATTCACTCTCCTCCATCACTGTGCAGAAGAGGCAAAAACAGTTTTATAATGATAAAAACTTTTGGAAGAATTCTGGTTGCTTTTTCTTATATAAATGTATTGTTACACGTCCTACAGAACCCAACAAGACTGACAGTCTACAGCCATGCTAGCAGCTCTGTGAGGCTGCACTTGTTCACAGCTGTGCTTTGAGTTAACGTCAGCATACTGACATCCACAGACAATGTTAACATGTTGATGTTACCCAGGTTCACCATCATATTTAGCATGTTAGCATGGTAACATCTGCTAATTTGCCCTAACCTCAAAGTACAGGTGATGGAAATGTCATTAGTTTTAGAGGTATTTGGTCATTAAACAACAAAGTGCTGAACAAACTGTTATTCTGACCCGATGAAAGTTATTACAAATCACACTGAGGGGAACACATTTCATGGAAATCCATCCAATAGTTGTTGAGATATTTCATTCTGGGCCAAAGTGATGGACTGACATTGCCATCTCCAGACCTACACTGCTAGCATGGCTTAAAATGTGTCTATAAACCTAAAGCATATCAATACAGTGCAACAATTTTGATGCTAATTGAGCTTCCATTGGGATCCACTAGCATTTTGCTAACAAGAATATTCTAGTATATAATATAGCTGATTTTGAGGGTTCAGGCTCCACTTCCTGTTACAAACAACCCAATCGAGCCAACAGATGTAAGATTTTGTCCCCCTTTTCGCTTTTAAATGCCATCTTTGCCAGTGGGAGCCAAAACCCTGGAAACCATGCTGGAACGTTCCTTTGAAGTCCATGAACAGAGTATAACAGTATGGGCGAGAACAAGTTAGGACTACCTTTAACTCACTAATCTTTCAGAGTTTGACTACAGTGTATAGAGCTCGTCTTCAGTAACAGAAATTCTGTTAGCATCAGAGCTAATTTAGCCGCCAGTGTAGAAACTACCGCTGTGAAGATGTCGATGCAGTGATTTGTATTCCATCCTCACTCCACACTGTTGCTTTTAGGCAGTAAAAAAATCCTCTCCAGAAGCGATATGCCGCTGAACATGCAGATATGCTGATTTAGTGTCCTAGTTAGTGAGCTGGCCTGAGAGCTATGGCTAAAGACGGCACGTGTATACGATATAAACAACCGAGGTAATGCGGTAACGCTCCTTAATTTCCGAGCTCTTGGCGGTTCTTGCAGCGGCTGAGCAGACCTAAATAACTTTTGATGAGGGTTAAATTTATACTGAGAGGCTGACAAGCGCAGCCTTCAGCACCAGCGGGGGCTCCACGGCCCGACCCTGTGTCCGTAAACGTCTGTTTTCTCCACACAACACCGTCTCCCTGGTTGGTGTGTCAGGCCTTCCCTGCCTTCATGTATGTGGGGATGGTGCCTCGCTGAGTCAGACCCTCAAAGCGTTTGTATGTGTAGTTGAGGAACACCCAGTCCTTCGATTTAAAGTCCGGCTCTGTTGCGCTGGCTGTTAATAAACAAAACAAAAGGAGGTGTTACTTTACGTGAGGGCGCTACGGATCATACTGTGTAAATGAGAAGCCATGAAAATATTAAAAGAGAGTAATCAGCGAGGAGCAGTCACTTATTGTCAATAATAATGTTCCAAAGAAGGTGTTTTCCAGCAGAACATTTCATAAGACGAACCTGGCTGAAGGATGTCTGATTCAGGGAAGTCGTCAAAGTTTGAGGTGTCGTCGATGCTCTTGATTTCAATGGAGATGGCTGCTGGCCGCTCCCTGTGGGGGCAAGACAGAGAGGATCATGGACGGTTGAGGAGGAAGGGAAGAAGCTTTGCTTTGTGCATAAGCAGTTACCTTTTCAGACATAGAACACGCAACATCGCTGCCTTCATCTATTTAGAGTCATTTGTTAGTCAGACATAAATGTTCCGTATGGTTTTATTCAGACATTTACAGAAGGAGCCAAGTGCCGGATTTTCAGGGGGTGTTCAATTGCTCTTTAATCACATTTCCACCCCAAGGGCAAAAATCTTCCTAATAATGTAAAATCTTAACTTCTTATTTTCTCTCAGCAAAAGGCGATTCTACTTGTATGCATTACAGTGATGTTAATCAGGCTTTATTCTCTCCATACCCGTTTTACCTTGTGTTGCTTTGGCCTTGACATTAATCTGACCGCACTTGAGTCACGTTGAAGTGTTCCCGAAATGTTATAGGTCTGACCCACTTAGACTGTCATCTGGACTTTTACATAAAAGTGACTCATTCAGATATGAGACCAATATGTTAAATTGCTACCACATTTATGTAAGGTGGTGTCTGTCTGAAAGTGGCTTTATACTGAGTATTCATTTTGTCAGATCTTTTTCTAATTTAATCTTAGTCCAGTTGTTTTTATCATATTAAATCAACCGAATCCTATTTTTAAGTCCAGTTTTAGTTGACTTCAAGTCTGGGCATTATCGTCTGATTTTAGTCATAAGATTATATTGAACATTTCAGTCCATCTAGTCAAACCAAAACCAATCATTTCTTGTCATTTTAGTCAAACGCATGGCACATGAGATTGTATCTTATTATCTGATGAGAAACAGGTTGAATGATCAAGAGGGTCTAGTGTTCTGGTGGTATCAATTTATGGAATATATCCATGGAACATGTTCTGATTTGCATCTTTATTTTGAACCAACACACTTCAATTACTGGCCCGGGGCCCAATGCCCTTTTTAAAACCATTAGAAAACAATGAGTGCTGTACAGACAATAAAATGTCACCAGCTGTTTTATGGCCACATTGCATCCCTTCCGATAAAGCAATGCCTTTGGGTTTTTTTCTCAGCCTTACTGTAACGAAAATGGGCCCAAATATCACCTTGTTCCTTTCGCTCAAGCCTTGTTGTCATTGTTAACCTGCTTTCTGTAAAATGGGTGGTGTAAGTTAATCTGACTGTGCTGCCGGTGTAATCGCGATCAGAGTTATTATAGTTTGGTATTTTCCATTAGTTTCATTCTAAAGAAAGATTTAATCAATGTTTTTATTTTGTAGGGGACTTTTGAATTTTCGTTTTTTTCCCCATCGAAAATAATGCATGCTGATACAGTCAGGTAGTGTTTAATGATGTTGGTGCTGTTATTGTCTCATCTTATTCATGGCAAAAAGTTATTTATTTTTTATTTTACCTTTATTCAACCAGATAAGCAAATTGAGAACCAATTGTCATTCACAATGACGACCTGGCCTTAAGGCAGTGACAGGCCTTCAAGTCGTTACAACAATTAAACACAGATACAAAAAGGTCACTGATGAACATTTCTAGTCATAGTTTTCATTAACGATATTAGAACTATTCATGCTTCATGTACCTGATGTGCTCCCAGTCCACTGACTCAAAAAACTGATGACTCTTGATCTCCTCCACGCTCACAGCTCCAATCCTGTTCTCAGGATCAGTGCAATACCTGAAACACACAAACCAACAGCAGTCTGATTAAAGTCCAATCTGTCCAATAAACCTTTATATACACATCATTCAGACATATAGTCACTGTGTACACCAACATGTTTGCCCATGTGGCCTTCATGTTAGTTTTTAGAAGAAAAAACTGAAATAAAAATGTATCTTTTCTCAAACCTTAATATCAAGTCTTTGGCCCTCTCTGAGATGGGGACTTCAGGTGGGAAGACAAGGGTTTCCTTCCAGTTCATCACCTTCCTGTACGTCTCCTGCGGTGTCTCAGAGCAGAACGGAGGATAACCTGAACACAGACAACGAGCATTTTAGAAAACGCTGGCGGTACCCCAACACTGCCTGCAATAGTCCACTGACTTGTAAATAACTTGTTGTAATTTCACACATTATTTCATTTGTGACATCTGCAATGTGTGAAAGGATTACACATTCAGAAAAACAGTTCTGCTGTAAAATAATCTTTCTTACACACAGACATCTGCATGCTTACCGATGAGCATTTCGTACATGATGACACCCAGAGACCACCAGTCACACAGCTTGTTGTATCCCGTCTGCATGAAGACTTCAGGAGCAATGTAGTCTGGCGTTCCCACAGTAGAATAAGCCTGAGAGTCACATAGAAACAGAGAACCTGAGGACTCTGGGTAGGAATATATACACATTAAACACTGACAGGTCAATGTTCAATTAATGTTGACATGAAGTTACATTAGCCAGGATTTAGAGGCTGCTGTGTCAATTTTTGCAGAGACCAGGAAGCTGCTTTTTTCCCCCTTTTCTTCTCCTGCATGTTGCAGCAGGTCTGTGCACTATTCTTTCCCTCCATCTCTCTAGCGTCTTATGCACTTCTTTCATTCATAAAATGCCAAAGCCTTACCAGCTGCCTCCGGTTCTTCTTCCAGGTTTCTGCTTTCCTCTTGGAGTTCATATTTTGAAAGGCTGCCAGACACAGGAGAGTAAGAGTGATTACTGAAATATTTACAGTGTTTTTGCAAAAGATCAAAGCAGAGTCTCTCTGAACATTTATTATAGGGTTTGGATCTGGTTCCAGTGATGTTCGGTTTTTCTTGTCAGTATTAGATTTTTAAACTCACAGAAATCACTGGGCGGGTTGTGCGTCAGGTTCCTGTAAAATTCTGTGCGATGCGCCTTCTTCAGTCCCGTACACAGGCCGAAGTCTGACAGTTTCACGTGTCCCTGGTAGCACAAACACATTTCATGTCATCTGAAGAAAGCACACACACACACACACACACACACACACACACACACACACACACACACACACACACACACACACACACACACACACACACACACACAAAAAACATCTGGGTTTCTGTCAGCGAGTCTCACCCTGGAGTCCAGAAGCAGGTTGTCTGGTTTGATGTCTCTGTGGATGAAGCCCAGCTGGTGGATGGAGTCGATGGCCAGAACCGTCTCTGCGATGTAGAACTGGGTGGCCTCTTCTGACAGGGTGTCCTTCTTCATCAGCAGGGTCATCATGTCACCTGGCAACAAGGTCAGAACTTTTAAAAATGATAATACAAAACATTTTTGTGCAGATTAATTTCGCACTATAGCGATTCATGCTGTATCCCGTTAAGTCTGTGATGACCTCAAACACAAACAAAGTTATCAGTGCAAACCTCCAGGCAGGAACTCCATGATGAGGTAGAGGTTCCTCTTGTCCTGAAAGCTGTAGAACATCTTGACCACCCAGGCGCCGTCCGCCTCCACCAGAATATCCCTCTCTGCCCGGATGTGGGCAACCTGCAGGGAGACGGTAAACAACATAAGACACTTGCAGAACGAAAGCGTGATCGCAGCAGCTCTAACAGCATGCCTCGACATCCCTGGGAGACTGTGGTGCAGACAAATACTTTACCTGTTCTTTCTCCAGCATGTCTGCTTTTCTCAAAATCTTCATGGCGTAAATGTGACCTGTGTCTTTTTTCTGCACCAAACGGACCTGAAGGAGACAACATCACAGTTAAATTCATGAGGAATGGTATTAAACATTTCTAGCAATGAAATGTTCTATTTAAATGTACAAGGGCTTTTGTTTTGTACCTCTCCAAAGGCACCTCGTCCAATAACTTTGAGGGACTCAAAGTCGTCCAAGCCGAGCCGCGTCCTCTTCAGTCGCAAAAACTCGGTCTCCTTACGGGCGTGCTGTGAGCGGCGCATTACTTTCTGCAAAATATGGACAGATAGATAGTGAGTAATCAGAGGAAAATTTAAAAGGAAAAAAACACCTTTTTCTAAAGAATGTCGGTCTGTAAGCGAGATGACAAAGCGTACTGTACCTCCTCATCTGGCAAACCCTCTTCATCCATGGCCTTCTCCAGCTTCTTCTGCCTAGGAATTAAAAAAAGAAGCATACAATGAAAATAGTGCTTTCATACAAATCTGAAAAGGGCTAAAAAAAAATATAGCAAATTGTACGATGAACGAGTGAGACATTTTGGAGTGAAAAACGTACAGGGTCAGATTAAATGTCCTAAAACTGGTCAGATCTTGACAATGAATCTCCTGTTGGTTTACGCAGGGTGTAAACAGTGATTCAGCTGCCTTTTACAAGCGGCACTAAACCGTGTTACCCGGACTAGAGATCAGCTCACATGTGGTAATGTGAGAACACGACAGGCAGATTATGAGATGCCCTTTGTTGTGCCCACACCTGCGATGAAACACCTCTGCACTGTTTCCTTTTCCAGCAGCGGATGGACTGACACTTGATGCTTAAAATAACAGATACATACATGCAGAGAGGTAACTGAGATAACTGGCTGCACTATAGTGAAGGTGTAGGACAACTAGTACTGCATGGGGTAATTAATACAGGCACATTGTCCAGAAAGTAAAAGGTAAAGTAAAATAAACTTTGTTTATTGTAGCCTTTGTTGAACAGACGTACAATTGTCTGGAGTAATACTGATAAATAATGTAACTGGACGGTGTGTTTCCATACATTTGTATGGCAAAAGTGCAGGTGGTCTAATATCAACAGGTACTGTCGGCTATATTAACACATTAAACGAGTTTTACCTCATCTCGCGCTCCTCGTGCTGCGTGAGCAGAGTGCTGTAGAAATTTTCCAGTGTCAGCTTGGCCACAGTCACCCTCTCTCGGGTGTGGTTGCTCATGGGAAGGGCAGCTGCAGTCCCTCCCGTCATGGCCATACTATCCTGTACGACAACAAACAAAAACCATCAGGTTGTGCACATCAGTCCAGTCACTGTTTCTACCTGTGTGGTAAACGTCTATCTGAATTTTACTATTGATTTTCTCCACTTCTACAATATTACTTTAACCTGCCAGTGAGAAGAAACAACACTTTCATTCTCTTACTACTTACTAATTAAAATCCTTTACCAATAAACCACACGCTCAGGAGCTTTGCTGCTGCAGCCTTACTTTGTCTGATATGACAAGTAGCTTATGGCAGCTGATTGGTGGGAGTATAAATCAGCACTAGCATTAGCATGTTCCCAGTATCCTTGCATGTTAGCAATTACTTCACAAGCTACAGTTCACTAGCCCTCTGAGTAGCCCCTACGTCACCAAGCCTGTAACAATGTCTACTTGCTGATAGAAATCACTTGAACACGTTCTCGTCTGACTGGTCCTTTATCCTGTAATCGTCACTCATTGTAACGGTGTCTCCTGCTCGCTTGCTTTAAATGTGTAGGAGGTTCACACAATGCCCTCTGTTCAGGCCCCAAGTATCCTGCAATGACAAGAACCCTCACAGGCTTCCCACCCACCAACACAGACAGCTACAGGCCTGATGTAGTGGCTGATAAGTTTACCCCTATACCATCTGTGTGACTGCCCTCTACAGTATCTACAGTGAGTCAGTCAGCACAGGAATGAACAACGTAACCTTGCAACTGAGGTTAAATGAGTGTGTCCAACATTGTGTAATGTCCTATTAAAGGAGCACTCCACCAATGTTTTGTATTATGTATAAAGCAACAGACTTTGATAAAAATCGAAGCAGTGTGTGTCAAGCTCCAAAAACGCTGAATCTTACACTTCCCATAATGCCATTTGATAGTCTTTCATTTGACACTCCACTCCTGGCAGACAACTATGTCTTTTAAACTCTGTTGACATTGTCAGACTTTAGAAAGTGCCCTCCAGAAACACTTTATTACAACTGTTTTTACAGGCTGAGTAATACTGTCTGATGAATTAACTGATGATCGTAATGTGTAAAATCTGTTGAGTGCCCCTTTAAATATACATTTTAAGAGCTGCACTGGGTCCAATTGTAATGTAAAAACATCACAGTGCTGAATTTAAATAGAGAATATAAAGAATAAATTCATAAAGCCAAGCACTGAAATTCAAAGAGCAAAATGACTCCTAGATGGCAGTGAGCAGTGCTCTCTGTAAAGATCGATTAAAGCGCCTCAGCCTCACTCACACACTCACACACACTCACACACACACTCACACTATGGAGACATGCTGGGTTATGTGATGTGCAATTTATTGACGACATGCTGCATATTTCTGGGTATTGAAGGTTTTAAAACTTCCATATTCAAAACATTATATGCGTTCTTTTCCCCCTTCAGTGCACGAGGTAATCAAATGCAACCCGATGGTGTAACCTTTTCGGTTCTGACTGAGAGGCCACACTGGGTATTGGTAAATGATCAGGAGCTATCCATTTTACATTTCAATGAGAGCAGCTCTGGAACAGATCCCCTGACCTCAGACTACCAGGAGTCAGATCCCCGGTACAAAAATATTCTTGTGACCCTAAAAACAGTGGCAGGGAATCATGTGTTGGGTGGCTCATGGTCTGCAGGGTTTCATTCCAGGAACTAATCAGTGAAACCGGCACAGATAGTTCTCAGCACGCATTCCTTTGCGTTTTTTACACCATCTCCGATAATGTCAGACTGATTCTAAACCAAAAGAAAACAAACAAAGAGAAAAGAAAAAGATCCTGGAAAGGTGCTTGTCACTCATCGTTCATTTGCTAGAACAACAAATCACATAAGAAATAGCACTTTGGTCCGTATCCACGCTCTCTTTTATGAAACGTTTGGTCTCTCCCAGGCAATTTGGGAGCTACTTTCTCTATAAGGGCACATTCTGACATCTTGGATTTGATGTGTAGTCCTGGTGTGGGTGGAATGAAAACCACAGAGAGTAGAAGAAAGAAAGAAAGAAAGACACACACACACACACCACACACACACACACACACACACACACACACACACACACACACACACACACACAGGTGAAGTGGAGGTTATTTGAATAAAAACCAAACATGAATGATGTAAAGGACTGCAAGGACAAAGTCAGTGCTAAGAAGGGGAGTTCAATTCTCTTCTTCTTTAAATTAATAGAATATTATTTGTAACATATTATGTAATAGAGTGAAAGAGGAAGAGGGTGGATGTGTACATCATCAATCACTTCAGGAGTATGTACGGTATGAATGGGCTTGATTAGCTCACGCAGAGATAAAACAGCCCTGCAGTCCTAAGATAGGACCCATGTTTCGTCTAGTCACAGGTCCCTTTTTCCGTCCCGGCCCCAACAATCCCACAACAACAAGACGCTTCCTGACTTCTGAGAAAAATCACTGAATCACTGCTGAAAACTGCTCGGTTTGGGAGGCTTCTATTGGCTGGAAAACAAGGACACTGGCAAAAAAGGGTGTTGAGTTACTGAGGTCTGTGCAGATTTACTGGAGCACAACACTCCTAAGAAGCTCAACGTCATCACTAATAAAATGACAATCTTGAACAAACACAAAGCAGCACCAGAAGACTAAATACAGCTCCTGTGGTCTCATGTGTCCCATGTAGGCCCTTTGTGATGGCGGGGATCCTCTGTACCTACTGTAGGTACGACAACAGATCAACAAAGGCACACAATTCAATCAAGGACTGGTGTTCTTTTTGATCAAATTTAGGTCCCTCAGTCAGGGTCGCTTGGTGGACAATGTGTGAGCATGCTGGGTAGTGCAGTGACGAGCTGAAGTAGCTGTATAACCGCAGGAGATCAGCAATGATCGATCACAATGCTTTTATTTTGACTTGATTTATTATTTTTATTAAGAGAGTTTATCAAAAGTCCCTAAATGTCGAGGTTTTCCAGGACACGTGGAAACCCTGGTGTTACCATGGTAATCAACATCCAAATAAGTATTTGAATGCTTTGGATTTTTTTTAAAGACAGGTTGAAACCTGATCCTGCAGCGTTTCCCACAAAGACTTAACTTGGGCGGACCGTCGAGGTATATTAAGGGCTGACGACCCATTTTACACAGAAACACAGGGAGAGAGGAGAGAGAGAGAGAGATGTTATCTGGTATTACGTTAGCAGACGAGAACAAACAAGGAGACAGAGGACACTAGCTTGCTCTCCATCCCTGTCATCAACCCCTTTATCCACAACCTAATTATTAAAGCTCTACATTTGTGTTTTAATTTTATATTGTCTAAATCAAATATTGAAAATGATTTTTTTAAAAGTTGTATTCATGGTCAACTGGGGAATAGAAGTCCAAAATTCACTCTCCTTTTAGCTCTGTTTTTGGTTTCCACTAACTCCTTTAGCTGCTAAATGGTCCACTATGTATACCAGCTAGCTGCTAACTTTGTCAGTCTGTCTGTTTTTAGAGCTTCTTCACTGAAAACAGCTGCCTGTCGCTGCCAGAAACGATGAGAGTGAAGAGAGTTAAGAGGAAAAGTACTCACTCTGTTAATACACAGTACAACTATTGATTATAGCCTCTTTAATGATGTCTAATCTAGTCTAAATTACAATTTAGATTTAAAAAGTCATCTTGTAAAGCCATTTATTCAAAGATTACATTCATATTATTGTTACTTTATGTCCTTTCTGTGGAGGAACATACTGCCCAGGTCTACCAGTTAGCTGTACAGAGCTCAAATTGAGCAATGGAATTAATGTGCACACTTGAGTCATTGGCCTGGGTGGATTCTGTGTTCGTTTCCCCACCAAGGTGGAAAATTAAGTATTTAAACTGTTACACAGTTTTGCCTTAAGCTCAGACTGAAAGGATTCAGTTTGGCTTGAAGCTAACCAGATCCACCCCATAGCTAAACAAACTAGGTTATACCACTCAGGCACTTATAAGGAAGTGCATTATAAAAGCACGCTCACTGTCTGGAGAGCCTGCAACCTAAGAACAGGGGACAGGGGCCGAATCCGGCCGGCCAAAACTATAATCTATAAATAAGATCAAGTATTTGTTCACAATTAATTTTAAAAAAAGTTTTAAAACTCAGATGGCATTCCCTCCTCTTACTGAAACTGTTAAAGGACTAGTCCATCAAAATTATACAAAATATACTCATTTCCTCTGTCGTGATGCAGATTTGTCCTTTAAGAAAACACTGCCCCAGCCCCACTCTGAATAACAAATCAAATAAATAACCGTCCTCCCAGACATTTTCAAAACCATACATAGACAAGTATTTCCCAATGAATAGTGCTGACAGCGAGGTCTCTGTATGGATTATCCTGAGTTTTCGATACTGCATAGCTAACAACCAACAACAACAAACAACAACATAACAAGAAATCTATCATCCTGTTGACACACTGAAATCCATTATCTGAGCTGGCAGATAATGAGCTGTTTTTAATACTATGTGTGTGTAGGGAAACTTTTGATCTTTTTAAGTTTAAAGTTAAAATAAAACCCAGGCAAAAGATCCAGATAGTGTAACTTTTTCCTCACGTTAGGTGTTGGACTTCTCAGTCTGGTGTTTAATTACTGAGTTAAGGATGTGTGTGTATGGAAGTACACACTCACACACACTCACACACACTCCACCCTTTAAGTACTGTAAGTGACTGGACAGGAAACCCTTTCCGTCCCAAATGAAAGGGTTCAGTCATGACGCCTCAGAGAGGAATGGGGCGCACACACACACACACACACACACACACACACACCAAAAAAAAAAACAACTATACAAAATAACAGGCACTTTTGTGTTGAAAAGTCAAATTTAACATTCTGATGATGGGAACTTCATAGTGTGCATCAATTATTCAATAATATTCCATCAATAAAATGAACATTGTGGAGCATCACCTAAGATAACATAAGGCAATATTTCCATTATATATCCTTATTCATAGTTACACAGTGTTTGTTTTTCTAGTGTTAACGTATACTTAAAAATATGCTCCAAAATTAGAGAGAAATGCCAAAAAAACCCACTAATTTTAAATATATTTCAAATATATTGGCAGATGTGTACTGTCAATGTATTTCAAATTAAAAAAGGGCTAAATACATGTAAAACTAATAACTTATTAGTATGTTAAATGAGTAAAGTAATTGCTTTTATCCCAGTGTGATGAATTCCACTATGACCTGCAGAGATGGTGTTCAGTGAGCTGTTACACATATGAAGGTCCAGTCTGGCTAATGTTTCACAGCTCACCTAAACTCAAACTTCTGGTACGTCTGCGTTACTATCTGATACCAGTCTGCCACTGCTGCAAGGCACATGGCGGCCGATACTACATTCATATTAAGTAATTAATGAATTAATTAATATGAATTATAGTGTTAATATTAGGTGATGAAATACAAACACTGGCTGAGTTAGTTGCCGTGTTGCGTTAGCTAGCTATTTGGCCGCTATATCGTTATTCCCTCTGCGGCTGTCTGGCAGGTTCCATGACAGCCACAAATAAAAAATCTCGACAGCATGAAAATAAAAAGCATTCTGTGTGAAATATTTTTCACCTACCTCCGTGTCCTGCTCCAGAGTCAATTATTGGCTTGCCGCCACCCCACGACCCAGAAGAAAGAAATATATTGTGTTTTTTCCCTATTTTCTGCCTAATATTTAGGCAGTTGAAGGCTCGAGAGGCTCCAGTTATTGGCCACCCTTCAGAGGAACTTCTCAGGCTGCACAGTAAACATCGCCGATATTAACGCCAAATCATAACAAAAGTCCCCTGACGTTGCCAGCACGCTAACCTGAAATAATTTGAAAACATTTTACGGTCTTCATTTTGTACCCCCTGACCTCAAAATGCCGCGCTTTATCCGTCTTTATCGCTATAAAATATGAAATAAGCAGCGCTGCTTCCCGGGACCGTTGGGCTCATCAGACGCTCCGGCCACGCAACGGCGTTGTATTTGAGTGACGTTAGAATGAACCAATCAGCGATAAGGAAAATGATCTGTGGTTTCCATTGGCCAATCATATGCGGAATATACACATGAATGACACACGTATCAGCCAATGAGAAGGTCTGAACCGCCCTGCAATGGTTGTGTTCCAGGACGCAGGTTCATTTGGCTAGCAAGCATTTGTAGCTATGAAAGAATATACTGTAGCTACAGTAGTTGTAAGCTCTGTTACATAATTTTATTGGTCAGTGCATGCCCTTATTAAAAGAAAAATATTATTGTGATTCTTTTTAGAACTATATTACACAGACAACACTGAAATAATTTGTTCCTTCACACATAAATAGCAAGTGCCATATAAACTACAGGAGGGTATCTAAGGTCAATAAAAGGTCACATATGATCAAACATACAAATTACAGGTTTTGAATTTCTATAGTTGTAGTAAGAGACATTTACTGAAAAAAAAACATATAAGACTGATATTATTATTATATTGAAATATCCCTACTTTACTATACATGACAGCAAAAATGTAATCTATACCCCATGGACTGCTTTCACCTACTGACAACACAGGAGATAAAATGCCATGAAGTATGATAAGATACATATAATATGATAGAGCGGCCAGACAGGCAGCTATAGTCTAGGAATATATATAGAGGACATATTTCTATTAATGCAAGATCAGAGACCATTGTTTAAACAGGACAGTGCAGATTGTTTTCACATGACAGTACAATCTAGAAAATAGATTTGTTTCATCCCAGCGAGGGTGCTTTGTATTCACCCTGTCTGAATCCTTTCATTTCCTTGTTCACTTGTGTCTATATGCTAAAGGTCCATAGTTCAAAGAACAAGTGTATGCAGTAAGGAAGTGTCCTGATTACTACTGAAAAATGCAGATAACAAAACTGGAACACCAACAACAAACTTTTGTTGACCAAAACACATCGTAGAGCAGTCCAGGCTGGTAGCTCAAGCGTCCCTGCCATAAATCTCCTTATTTGGACGGGCTGAGTACTTTTACTGTTAGAGCCATGATGTCAACATACACAGAGGTGGGTGTACCCTGCTAACACGTCTGGGTGTGGTGTCCATCAGACAAGGCTGTTTTTATATTTCTCACATCAATGTGGTCCACTGAGCTGTGACGCAGCCCCTATATTTAGATTTGGGATATAAACTCTCTGGCCTGCAGCCTATGCTTTGCCAAGTTCAGTGTGAAACAGACTGAGCCACATTTGTAATGAAACCGAGACGGCACATGTGTGGAAACATTGCAGTGACAGTTATGGCGGTTTTCAAATGTTAACAGTTCAACCTAAGAAGGATTTTCATACCTCAGATTATTTATTGGATTGTCCAAATCATCTTGTTTTAAATCATTTAATCACTACCCGGGTCCTCTCAGGCTGCTTGGGCTTTAGAAAAAAAGATGCATACAAAAAAGTCTTTCTCTTATCTTTAGAGACTTCATAAAAAAGGGTGATAAGAGCTTTTGATGTCATAGAAACACATAATGTGGCAGCTTATGCAATTCAAGTGCCACTGTTTCCCCCCCAAAAAAAGCATAAAACACACCCCAAGAACTCATCTTCAATGTGTTTCTGATCTTCCTCGCCTTCAATCTTCTAATTTCTCATACTGAATCTTTCATTTTCTAAGTTTCTCTTCCCTACATAACATGCTATTCTTATCTTACTTATGAAATTGTCTCAGACATCATGAAATATACTTAAACCACAGCTCAGTTCCTAAAAACATTGGACATTTTCAGGAAATTGTGTTCTATTTCAGATGTTTCGCTGATGCTCCCGTTTAGATTGACAGAAAATAGCGAGTCATCCATCCTTAAAAAGTGTGGTCATACTAAAAATGAGATCATTCCAACAAAAGCACTGAGTGTCAAGTTATGAGCTCTCATATTTTCTGCTTCATCATGATTTATCATTTGTGATTCTTTAATGAAATATGGGCCGTAGTACCATGATAGACTCACCTGATCAATTTCGGGCTGATACAGAATAAGGCACCACAAATGTTTATGATTAAGGACTGAAAAAGACAACAGTCCAGGCATTTTGGATATGATCTAGTCTTTTTACAAATAAATATGATGAGCTTGTGAGCACTGCAACAATAAAAATCCTCCATGCTCTGGAGAAAAGTGCTTCTTCTTATTGTTTTCCAATAAAAAGATACAATTAGTTAGAATAAATGAAAACCCCAAAGACTTTGTTCAAGCTTTATTAAAAAAAAAAAAAAGACTCATCAGTTGTGGAGTTGCAGTGAGCTGAGCAGTTTTGTGTTGTGAGGTTTTTGAGTGAAGATACTCAAAAATTTGAATTTCAATCATTTCATTCATAAATATCTACAAAAACAGACGTCATCAATTTACAACATATACATAAAACATAAAAAAACATGACAGGGTGACATATTTAGATCAAAGCCTTCTGGACTATAAAGAATATTTCTCTTTCAGCAGAATGGTCCACACACAGACCAGTGTGTATGTGACAACGTCTTGTACTCTTTTCCAACGGGTACCCAATGCCAACGTCCTATGTGACAATAACACTGTAATTAAGCAACCAAACGATGTTTCAATGACTGTGTGGCATCTCACATTTCCTTTATAGACAGATTCAGCATATTTGAGTGTTTTGAGGCTTGCAGCTGATGTTTGAGGGTTAACATAAAGAGTGAAAATGAGAAGGAAATGACAGAAAATTGTCCAGAACTGCATCATGTTTGTTGCGGGGTCAGGATTCAGCCGGTGAAGGGTGGCTCGGTGCTCCGTTGCGGGTGCGTAGCTGAGACTGGGCGATGTCAGCCAGGGCGCTCTGGATCTTTTCCAGCAGCTTGTCGCCGCGGTAAACCACCTCCTCGAGACGAGCTGCTGCCTCGTGGTTCTCCTCCTCCAGCTGCCGTAGACTGGCCGCCTGACGAGGGGTCACAGCCAGTCAGATTCATTTACAATGAAACATGAAGGTATTGTGCATCAAATGAGTGTATTTTTATTTATTTATGACTGTGACCTTCAGCTCTTACACTAAACCAAAAACATCCTTTGTTCGAATTATTTATGACAGAAGGTTTTGTGATTGACGACTCCTTCCCTCTCCCTAACTTGGCTGATGCACTTGTGACAACGGACATTAATAGCCAAACTATTTAAAGTCTTTGAGCTACAACATAGAAAAACAACTGTGTTATTGTGCTGTTAAGACAAATGCCAGTTACTTACGATTGACTGGAGGCTCAGAGAAAAGAAAAATCAAACGGGTGTAAAGGAAGTGATTCACAGGTGTGCTCAGAGTCTCTTGGGATGTTAGTGTGCAGCTGATACTTTCACTTATTAAATACTGTATTGACACAGTTACTTATAACCAATAACGTAAAACTTCAATTAAAAGCAGGGTCCCAAATAGACGCAGGTCTCCTCTAACAGCCCGGTGTGGCTACACGTTTTGACAAATAAGCACAAGTCTTAAATCCAGACGCCTGGTCTGGATTTTATAGAAACTCTTTGGATGTATAAAACCTCTTAAAGTCCACTAGTTAGCCTGCTTGAGTGAGTTCCTAGCTGCTTAGATCTCCTACACAAATATAAACTTTCGTCAATATGAACATGCTGCACATTGTTAGATCAGTTAGATTCTCCACAGTTCAGTTGTTCAGTTCATATTACATAAACCACAGGCAAAGTATCAAATGAATGATTTGTAATTTATATGTCAAAAACCTATAAGTAATATTCATACTGGTTAAAATAAACAATATGATAGTAGTGAGCAAGAGTTTTGTATAAAATTAATTAAAGGCCTGTCCCATATAGATGCCTGTTCCAAATATAGGAATGTTGAGTTCAGTGACTGAAGCAAACAAAAGCCTTGACTATTAATTGAAGATTTAAGCTGTGCACTACAGGACAGCTGCTGTTATGAGAGCCTCTCCTATTTCCCTGTCTGCAGATATGTCCTCGTTTTTATTGGTAAATCCGTCTATAGTGCTTATGAGCAGAAGTTATGTTCAGATATTGTTGTGGGTCAATGATAGCTGAATTCCATTTGGCTGCTTTATTGTTTATGCTGGCTCACTGTTGCACTGTCATGACTAACTGGGATACAGAACAGAGTCATCATTGATGTAATTTAGTAACACGTGTGCTTCGTCTATTACAACAAGTGACAATGTCCTGTTGGACTGACACCATCCCTCTACCGGATGCCTTATTAAGTCTCATCACCAAACACGATATTGTGTCATGCTTTCATGTTACATGTGACAAAACTGAGAATATTTGCCTACCATTATTATCCATATTGTACTATTTTTGTGGTATATGTAGATTCACTGTACAGTTATTTGTAGCACTTATGTAATTCAAAACCAATACAAACTTCCCACTGGGATTAATACAGTACTCCATATTTCTATTTTTATGTTGGACAGAGCATCAAACACTTCTTTAGTACAGTAAATGAAGGATATCCATGGACAGTATGCTCTCATATCCTCTAGTTTCAGGAGAGGAGCCCAGCAGCAACACTGTTGATCTTTCCTCCCTCAACTTAACCAAGTGACAGAATTAAATTCTTTAAAGGTCACTTTTGTCTACACTGCTACAGATGACAAGAACATATCAAAATGATTTGTTTTTGGTAAAGTTGTTATTATGCCAAAGTTTAAGAAATACAATGTTCAAAGAGTTAGAAATGGTCTTTCTCATCCCATTCTTAACTTTTGAGTGATGTAAACTAAATGTACTTAAGAATAACTTTAGAATCAGAGTCATCCTTATCATTGCATACTGATAAAATGATGTTCTGGAGACTGTGGATGTAAGCTGTAACTAGTAACTGGTGTAACATTGAATCTACTGAATAAAAAGGTGCTCAAAAATACATTTAGAAGTCATACTCTATATCCTAACAGTCATTCCAGATATATATCACTTGCATACCCTACGCGGATCATTTGAGTTAATCTAATATAACCTTCTAATTTCAGGAAAGGAATCAACACAGAAATAGCAGCAACCTTCCCTCTCTCTTTCCACTGTAGACAAAATAAGAAATTCAATTTCAGAGCTCATCAGAAACTCTCATTGGCCCTTCAACAACAGCCGTACATTTTCAGAACCCCAAAACACTTACAGTTGGTCGGAGTACAGTATATGATAAACTGATTTATTAGTTTCAGAAATTAAAAAAATGTTGTTTGCTTTATACGCATCAGCATGCATCATTTTCTTTTTCAGAGTCTTGAGCTGTCAAAGCAGAAAGCAGCTGTTCACCTGGCTCCCTCTGCTGACTGAAAGCTAGAAATACTAACGTGTCTGTGTTCATCCCATTTTAAGCAGAGAATTCGTAACTGGAATGCGTGTCTGAAAGGTACTTTCACGTGAATGTGCTGACCTGCAGAGCTGCCGTGGACTCCTCACTGGGGAGAGAGTCGATTAGTACGTCCACATCTTTGGCTGTTCTGGCGATCAGGGCTGCAAATAGCTGGGCATATTCTAGAGAGAGACAAACATTTGGATCCTAATGTTAAAAGAAAATAAAAAAATCTCTGTCTTGTGGGTTAGCAGATTATCAAACAGTTAAGACAGATAATATTAAGATACAAAGATATAAAAACAGACTAAAGATTTTCAGTGTTTTACATAAAGAAATGTACACAAACGATGTAACAATGTATTTTCTCATGCAACACTACCTAAAGATACAGTATTGTAGCTGCATTGTGGTTTTATATAAGTATTGCTAAAAACAATCTGCAATGATTCAGAAGTGATCCAGGCTAAGGGTATTGCCCAATACTGATGTACTGAAACTAATGGGGCTAATTCTTCTAAAGTGTATGGTCACATAAAGCTGTAACATCAGCTCTTGACTCTCAGTGGCAAATTTATACAATTATATTCTTTAAGTCTGACATTTTTAGGTATTGTTTATAAAATTGTGTTGTTGCAAATGATACCTGTGACTGGGACATTGAGTGTTATCATGGATTAGTCTGGCAATACACCTTCAGTTTACTAAGGTCAATATTGGATTGATACATCAATGTAAACCAGAAAGTGTTGAGAGACAATAGATATTATATTTTATGAGAAAATAGAGAGGCAAATCCCAAAGATGAGGGATTAAAGGGTTTAAAAGAGGAACAAATAAACCACCTTCGGTTGGGTTCGCTGGCTGATCTTTGTTGATGGCCGTCTGGATGTTACTGAAGGAAGCTGGAGGCGCACATTGCTGCAGGACGCCGATGGCATTACAAAACTGATCTGCAAGCTGGACACACAAAACAAATACCATTCAGCTCAAAGTCACACTTTCATTCAAGCAGGAAGCTAATTGTTGACGCTGCTAGTCAGTTTGCTACATAGTAAATATGAGCCACTTCGTAGTTCCCATGTTTTAAGAGTGCAGCACATACATGGAAATGTAAAATGCAAACAGTAGCAGATGTTTGTGTGTTCAATATCACCTCGAGCTACAGGCCCTCGGTCGTTAGCAGCCCGGTGATGTAGCAATGTTAACAGGTTAGAGGAAAAACTGGACTACTGCAATCAGCAACCACCTTCAAATGCTACATACAGTCAAATATATAGTTGTTTTGGTTAGCTATTGTTTAAAAACACCCAAATGTTCCTTACCGAATTGACAGCGTCTTGGAGCTGTGTTAGCCTGTCCGCCATGTTTTCTGTGATTTAACGAAATCGCGCGAGAATTTCCTGATATGATAACATCTCGCGGGATTGGACGTGATTTGGGAAGCCTTGTTTTTGCATATTATCGTGTAGAGTTAGCTGTAGCCGCTCCACTCATCTCGAGACTGACTTTACAACAAACGAGTGGAGATAGAGACACATATTTGTGTTTTACAGAGGAGTAGTGCTGCACCACAACCTCTACTTGTAGCTCCTCGATGGGGACGAAGTAGCCTGGAGCTAATGTTAGCCGCTAACATCAACAGGAAGTAGCGGACTAGCTAAATTCCAATGGCTTGCACTTTGAGTTCTCCAGGTACAACACTTTATTACTTAACCGATTTCATAACGCTAGAGATAAAGGAGTATTTTGAATGCCAGGCGACCAGTTATACGAGCATTTTTAATGTTTGTAAGGGACTCAGGTGGAGTAGCAGGACAGCTTTACTGTGCTAAGTCAGCTAATAAGTTAGCAAAGACTTGTTTGTGCTGCTGGTGGTCTAATACTGATTAGTCAGTTAACTGAAGCAGATACACACAGTGTGTAAGTGGGTTTACGTTTACTACAGCTAAGGTAAATATGGCGTACAAGTAACTAAATACATCTCTTACAACAAGGCAGTGTTAGCTCGAGCGAATTAGCTGACACAGCAGCTGTCATCCAAGGTGTGGGAGAAGGAGAGTAGGGTTAGCACCGAGCTAATGCTGTTTGTGGTTAGTTCTCTGATTAATCTTTTATTGATTTGGTCATTGTCTTGAGCAATTCATGTTAGTTGGATTTACTTAAGTGACTCGAGTTGGGCACAGTCTAACATTTCTGTTAGTGTCACCCTTCACTTAAGGTCAGAAAGCTGTGTAATGAATAACTTGATGAGGAATGATGTGCTTTATCTAGCCCAGTTTACTACCTGAGATAAAAGCCTGATTAAAAAGCACAGACTTGTAAATGGAAGTTGTGAGGGTTGGGCAAGTTTGAGGAGATTAAATATCACTGTGTTTGATTTCATATTCAGGCTGTTTATGTATTTACATGCAAGACTTTTGAACCAGTCATCAAGTAGCCATATTGGGAATAAATCAAGTAAAATTCATTGATCTTTACAGAAGAAAAGAATAACTAAACTACCCCTGCTTTTACAACACTATTTAAGATTTTATTTGTCATCTTACCTGTAAGGCACTGAATGGATTAGTCTACGTGTTAACCTGCTGTTTACTACTCTGAAATATATTCCCTCCCCACAGGCATGAACTGTACCTTAGAGAAGGTCCTGGCTGATGCCAAATCATTAGTGGAAAGGCTTCGTAACCATGACAACGCTGCTGAGATGTTAATCGAACAGACGACATCGCTCAACAAGCGAGTGGATGCCATGAAACAGGTACGGTGTCACATGATGTTGCTGCCAGTTAAAGATGAATGTTCTGCAAAATTTCAAAAAGCTAACATAGACGGAGTGAAAGTAAGTATAAGGGATGTGATTAACTTTTAAGAGGCTTTTTTTTTTTCCTTTTTTGAAACATGTCTTGACTTGTGAGGCCAGCAGCAATAAAACTGTTGAAAAATTGTTGTTCAATGGCAGTTGGTTGGTTTTCTCTTATTGGCAGTACCAGGAGGAGATTGACTCATTGAACCAGGTCGCACGACATCGTCCCCGTTCTAGTCTGGTTCTGGGAATCCAACAAGAGAACCGCCAGATCAGAGAGCTCCAGCAGGAAAACAAAGGTAGTCTTTGATATTTAATGTTCATCTTGTTGTATGGCTGCTTTATCCAGTTTTGAGGAAAACGGGACAAAGAAATTAGGTATTTGTTAAAGCCATCATCCAATTTTGGTAGCGAACTCCTGTTGGTCACAGCCAGACCTTTTGTATTTTTTATAAAATAAGTGAGGTGTGGTTGCTTATAACAGCAGGGCGACATGAAGCTGACTTATGTTCTTGTAGGAGTTGTATGCAATATTGTGTCCTGCACAAACCAAGCCTGTGCTCACTCTTCCTGCAGAGCTACGGACGTCGTTGGAGGAACACCAGTCTGCGCTAGAGCTCATCATGACCAAATACAGGGAGCAGGTGTTCAGGCTCCTCATGGCCAGCAAGAGGGACGACCCCACCATCTTGACCCAGCTGAAGGAGCAGCACACCACGGTCAGTGAGGCACACCCTAACCCTTTAATAAAGTAACTTAAAGGCACAAAAACACCAATAGAATGTTGCACTATTTTAAACATTTTTAATACTGTTTTTATTTACATACTTCTGCAACCTTTTATTTATTCTTATTCACTTTTTTTCTAGGAAATGCAAGCACACATAGACAAGATCAATGAGATGGCCTCTGTGATGAGGAAGGCGATAGAGGTGGACGAGGGGCGGACATGTGAAGACGAGGAGAGGATTAAACAGCTAGAGGTAAAAGTCCTGCCCTGTTCAACATGTACTTCCAACTATTCCAAATACACAAGAGACCCTAGTTGTCCCAATAAAATTCCAGCCAGGGTTACAGACTCTTGTCTGTGAACAGAAGTGACAAATCAAAACATGAGAAGAAAATCCTAGATAGCTTTTTTGTCTTGCTACACTTTGATAGCTGTCGATTCTGGCGAGCAAACATGACACAAGGAATTCTAGTGAGAAATAGCAGCTATTGCAGAAGTTATAATGCTAATGTAGTGTGTATGACGTCACCAAAACAAATCATAGAAGCCCCCTCATCCTGGATAAACCAGACACTAGATGTCAGATATAATATTGCATTAGTCCAAAATAATCTGTCATAATATATGACATAACTTGTAATATCACTTTTTTTTTTTAAACACACCAAAATGCAGAAAAAGATGCTAGGGTGTAATTCAGAAATTGTGTCATCACATAACTTGTCCAGCAGAGCGCGCCCCAACCCATTATTTGCAATACCGTGGAAGCAGCTCACTAATGGTTGAACAAAACTGACATTAAAAAGATGCAGCATTAAGTGAGAAGCCTGAAAGTAACTAGTAGACCTTCTGTTAGTGGTGGTCTCATTTCTTCTGAATGTTTGGCTGTTTCTATATTTTAGCTGGAGAACAGCGGACTCCGAGAGCTGCTGGGAATCAGTCGCGAGGCTTTCCTGATCCTGAAGAGAGAAGACGCATCAGAGAGCACGTCACTGTCGCCGCTGCTGACCAGCGCTGACGTCAGCTTACGGAAGAGTTAGAGAGCCCGTGGCGACTGCCCCCCTCCCCCTACTGCTGCCACTACTGTGTACAGTGTGTACAGTCTGTTGCCACATACCACTAGACCTTTCACCCTGCAGATTCTTCCAACGATCGACCTTCCCCTGAAGCATTTACAGCATGATGGTCCAGAGCTGCATCCCCGACCGGTGATTCACACACAAGCAGTGTGCACATACATCCTTCTCTCTTTTTTGTTGTTTTTTTTTTGTTGTTGTTGTTGGTACTTCTGTTATGTTTGCTTTTTTTTTGCCAGCATGCATGAGTCTGTGGTGTCTGCAAGGTTTTAATGTGTGAATGGGTAAAAGAAGGGCTTGAGTTAAAATAAACCTGTAAACATGAAATAGTCTCTGCTGTGTTTATGTGGATTTAATTTACCTCTCAAATGTGTGACACAGTGCAGATTCCCATGGTTCTAGTTCTGCTTGGTTGGCCTGTGCAGGTACTCCACTTCTCCCTTTCACTCTTCATGTTATTGTAACACATCGTCAACAAAAGCTTAAAAGCAGGAATAGAAACATTATCTAACACACAGGATCTGCTGTCACATCCTACTACCCCCTTCTGCTGCAAAGTACTAACAAGGGAGTTAGGAGCATATTATGGTGTTTATTTCAATATTTCAGGAAAAAAATTCTGTAAATGTAAATAATCAAGCATTATTATGTACACAGAGAGTAGATGTTTGGAAAGACCTCCCACTCTGGTACTACAAAGATCCACAAACGTCATTTTAAAGGACCCTTGTGTAGGATTTAGTGGCATAGCAATGATGTTCAATTCAGTTTTATTTGTATAGTGCCAAATCATAACAAAAGTTATGTCAGGACAGTTTTCTAATAGAGAAGGTCTAGACCGTACTCCATAAAAAATGATTTACAGAGACGCAACTAACTGCACACTGCTGGCTAGATGTTAGACACTGGACCCTTAAAGCCTGTGTGGAGTTTACTTTGGAGTTTGCCATATATGGCAAGACATTACAAAAGGGAACTCACCAGTCATGAATAGCCGCCAAAACAAAGATCTAAACGAAGTAAGGGGCTGCTAGAAACTGTTTTTGTAATCAGATGAAGTTGTTAAACTGATTAGTGATTCATCTTGCTCACATTATCGATCTCAGTGATAGCAGTGGGCGGGGGTTGGGGAGCTATCGCGGGATCTAGGGCGCGATTCTCGCGGAGGCATCGTTCAGCCGTCAAGGCGGCAGAGGGAGAAGAAGGGTCCCAAATAGCCGCCCAGCTCAGTCAAGGATGTTGCGTTTGCAGGGACCTCTACTACTCAAACACAGGAGACTGCGACTTTACCAATGATTGCACTGAGCGACGGAAAGAAGCGTGTTGTTTACCGGATAAACGAAGCGAAGGAAAATGTCTGGTTGGATGAGGAGCCCGCCGCCGCTGCTGCTGCTGCTGCTGCTGTGTGGAGTTCAAGCTCAAGTAGAAAGTGAGTTACTACAGACAGTATTTAATGTCCTCACGGTTCACTGTTAGCTACGTTGGTTATCTTTGTCATCTTTAAAACGGATAAGTATAGGGTCATGTTATCTACCTTTGTAGGACAGCAGGGTGAAAGGTCGCTTTGTGATTCATTGATACTGTACTGTATGTAAATCACTTCAGTGTCATTGGGCTGAACTTGTTTTTGTTGTTGTTGTTGTTGTTGTTGTTGTTGTGCAGTTTTAGCTCACTTTAGCTTGCAGTGGAATATTTTCTCTCACACAGACCCTGAGTCCAGTTTATACATCCCAAACCCCATTTAGTCAATTGAATTCAGTTCAGAGGGTTTATCTGTTACACAGGTTTTAATGGGATCTAGTGTATGGTGATGTTATTGGGTCATCGTAGATACATTCTAACTAAAAATCCTGTGATATTTATATATATGACAGTTTTGGACTCATATTTAGTAAACCTCCATCTAACATGTATTATAGTGTAACAACAGGGGCATCAGATGAGCTGTTGACAGATTAAGTTCAATTCAGCATATTAGAGTAAAAGAAAAGTCTAAAAGTTGAATAGAAAAATCTAAGTTAAGCTAACATTGTCATTTGGATTTTGGCCTTTGAATCAACACAACCTGTGGCTGCAAGAAATGGGGTAGTGAAACCAAATGGAGTGACGGTATTTACTCTGATAGGTAAATAAAGACTTCCTACTAGACAGCTGAATACCAGCAATAACAAGCAGACTCGACGCTCTACTATCTGCCATCACAGCTTTAAGACTCATCTAACCAACCACACAGAAACTTATTTTAAATTTGATCGAGGATTTAGTGTTTCCATTCCTGATTTTCGTTTTGTCAGGGTGGGAAAGCCTCAGAAATGGCCTCTGAAGAAGACATTATAAAGTCATACAATAGAAAAATACCAGACAGTTAAGAGAGTAAGTAGGATGTGAAAAGATCTGAATAGATTCCCAGCATGTTTTTCTATAGTCCACATCGTGCTGTAGGTAGACACAGAGCGCTGGATATCCTATATTTGATTTTTAAAAAAAGCTAATATGAGTACAAAATATTTATGTTTTAACCATGAAATAAACTTTATGTTATGGTTTCTACCTCACTCTCTCGGGCTCATGTTTTCCCTCTTGTTCACATGTCAGATAAATGCTGTAGCAGGTCGCTCCTGAGCTGGAGTCTGACCTGCAAACAGTCAGCACGTGCACCCTGCAACTAATCCACAGATCTTTACTTTTTATACTTGACATTCTTCCTCTCTGTACGAGAGACAAATACAAGACCCACACATATGAGCCAGGTTGTATGGTGATTTTAAAAGGTCATAAGTCATGTTGTGCAAACTGGGTTGTGCATGTTGCAAATAAAGACAGCCAGCAAACGCAGCTGTCAACTCTTTCTCAAATTGAACTGGCCCACTGAAATCAGAGTTATCAATAAAAGAGATAAAGGGTGAGGAAAGTTCAGTCTCACAGTGGTTGGTCTCAGAGTTGAGCTGGAGAATATCCTGCAGAGGATGGCAGAAGTGATAGTTGCAGTCATTGTGAAAGGTGCTAAGGTGGACCGTATGTTTACTACTGACAAAAGTTTTTGCAGTATTGTATTTCATATTATAATTTCTTGGTCAAACCACACTTGCTTCTCAGATCTAACTGGTTGCTGTTGCTGAGTAATCGTTAGAAGTGGTCATGGTATTACACAACAAATCAAGTATGGCTCCCTTTCTGCACATTCCTCTCAGATAAACCATTAATGGTTACTTTAGAGTTAATACATCCATAGTTGATGAATTGCTACTGTTATTAAAATAGAAAAGAAAAAAACAGCATTGAGTGAGGCAGACGATCAGAGGAAGACGTGCTTTTCTGGCCAGTCCAGAGGTTTTCAGAGACAAGTTGAAGATGGTGTTTGAAAGCACATAGGGCATTTATTTACATATTTATTTACATACTAGTGACAGACATTATCTGGTATTTTAAGATTACTGTATGTGCATTGAAAGATACCTGCGCTCACAAGGTCAATAGACAAATAATGTCAGTGTGGCTGCTGTGGAACAATGTTAGCGCTCCCCCTTCTGAGTTTTAGGAAGGAGGTGGGAAAAAAACAAACATCCTGAATGTTAATGCGTTTCTCTCATCCTGAATGACAGCAAATCTAATCTAAAACTGTTACTGGCTAGCATTAATATATTCTTATGTTACAATGTATAGACTAATGCAGTTAAATGACATCGCTTCTGTCATACTGTACTCCACTCTCCTGTAAATACCTGTCACATTTAATATTTAGCTAGTAAAGCATAAGTAAATGTGTTACTCATTAGTTTTGATTATAATTTGCATTATATTAGATGCACAATGTAGTTTACATTAGCCCGCCATCTGCCGCCCTGCTCTCTAAATATCAGCATCATTAAAAATGTCATACAGAGTCGACCCACCACTAATACATATTTAAAAGTCTTTTTTAACAGCTTAAATTAAAAGCTGATATGTTGCTTAAATGCCAGTAGCAATGCAGGCCAGAAATGGACCATTTTACAGTGTAAGCAGCCATCAGTCACAGCCCACAGTCTGGACGTTGAACACGTTTATACAGCAGTTCTTTCAAGCAGTGAAACGAATGGTGATGGCATTCTTCAGCATTTCAATATAGTGCCTCCTTACTCAACACAGAGCGAACTTCTTCATTCAGCCTTTTCTGTAAGATCCCTCTTTGGTGTGCTGATGACCTTGTTTTAGGTCGCCTACTTGGCTTAGCACCAACTGTCTGTGATGTCTGGGAGTTTATAGATCGCTGCATGAGGCCTTGTGACCGCCACAGTCCGTCGTTGTTCTTCTCCACAGTAATTTGACTGAATTTAATTGACTGAAACAGGATAATGAACGTAATGTCTGTCATGTACATCCATAGGCTGAGGTAATGGTGTGACATTACTCTTGTAAACTTGGGAAGATCATGAGAGAGAAAAATATTAACAGGAAAAAGCCTGCCCTGCAGTCAAGCTTGCAACCTCATGTGCAGATGTATCTGGTTTTACTGTTTGCCTTTTAATTTCCTTGTGCTTTTTTCATGCAAGATTATTTTGTCATGTGTTTTCCATGTATCATTTTGCCGGTGTATTGGAAGCATATGGGTATGGAATATGTTCCTCTCACTGTCTTCAACCTCTGATACGGCAGAGGCTTCTTGCTGACCTTTAAATTGCGTTTTCTTAGTGTGTTCTTTAGTTATTTATGTTTTTATTGTGATATTTAAGTCAATAAACGAATGAACTAACTAACTATCCCAGTGATTTTCTAGCATTAAACAGTCGCTATGTCACCTTAAAAACAATCACAGATTCTAATGTCTTAGAATACATCCTGTAGCAGATTGGTTTATAGGCAGCACAACACAATCAATCTACTACAATACAAACATGTGATTTATTGGAAATAAATCTGACTTTTCCCTCTCTGTCGCAGACCGGGTGATTTTCCTGCCGGGAACGTTCCAGAACGTGAGCGTCTCCCAGAATGAGACAGTGCAGGCCGTGGTGTCCAGGATCCCCCCTGAGGTGGCTTTCATCACTCTGCAGTTCCACACGCAGCACCGCAACGCCACGCTCTCCTACACCAGGGTGAGGAAGTAGATAGGCCACTTTCTAATCTATTGGGCACAGGGTCCTTATTTTAAGAAAGGAGAACCGAGATGTGTGTGAGAGGATGTAGATAAATATTTGTTTTGTCTGGAGTAGGGATGTGACAATATACGATATTATCGCGTATCATGATAAAAAAAACACTCAGATGAATTTATCATGGTGAATTTTCCAGTATCGGGATAATCGTGAATATCTTTACATGGTTTGACTGGAAAAAGTTGTCTGGCATTCCAAAATCCTAAACCTGTCACTATGGCTGAAGGCTTGGTTTGCCCGTTGTATCCCCTCACTAAAAAAAGTTAAACCGGATGTGTGGAAATAGTACAAAAATAAAGAACAGAGAGATGAGGATCTGTGATACAATAAATATATGTGTTTCTTAACTAAATGCAAGGTAAAGTGATTCCAGTATGTTTTAGTGCCATTATATATTTTCAGGATTATTGCGATGATATCGTGTATTGCGATATTTCTGGACAAGATAATTGTGACAGGAAATGTTCATATCGACCCATGCTTAGTCTGGAGGCTGATGGATTGTAATGGTAAAATGAAAGTTTACAGAAGTTCAGCTAAAATGTGATACATTTGTGGTGTCAGTAGCAGAGATGGCTGGTAAAGGGGCCAACCCATGCTGCGGCTCATTGTTTTTAAGTAGCCCCGCTTTTCAGTCCTGTTACCCATAGCTCTGCATTGACCACCACTGGTTTTTCTGAGAGCACATACTGCCGTGAAACTGGAAGCCAAGGTGTTCATGTAACATAGCTGAAATGAGGGATAAACATAGTTTATACACTTTATTTTAGGCTGACACCAATGTCATGTCATGCTGATTAATATAGGCACAGACAAGCCTTTCTTCCTGTGTTCTTCATGTTACAGAGATTGCACCAGTACCCTTAACATGGATTTATAGAAGTAGAAGCAGTAAAGTTAGCGGGACTAAGATGAAAGCTTAGTGACGGTACGAGTTAAAGATGTTTACTTTTCTGTTAAATCAGCAAATCAAATGATCAATTATCATTTTCTTGAGTTAATTGAGCGATTCTGTCTTTGGCATGGAGTAGTGAAAACACAAACTAAACGGTGAAATCAAAGGTATGCTTCATGCTATAGGAGCAGGCAGTTAGTTCTACCTCCCAAGTTTAATGAATGAGTCTTTGTAAGCGAGGTCGGCTGACCCGCTGAGAGAAGTGGCAGTCAGCTGATGTACAGTCCACCGGTCATGAGCAGCAGACGGGGCGGCCCTCGAGGGAAAACCTCCTGGCGTCGGTCCCAGAAGTCTCAAGGGGGGGGGACAGCTCGGTTTGGATCCACGCTGCGCAGACGGGGCAGATAGGCTAATTTAGTTCAGCTCTGTTTTTGCTGGTGATGTAAACGGCGGGAAGCAAGAGAAGGAAAACAAATCCATGTCAGATTCTCAGTGGCAGTAAATCTCTCCTCGAAAAAGAAGGAGAAAAACGACAACTCTGCTCATCATCACTAACACCAACACGACCAAATCTGCACAGGAAATTCACAGCAAAAAGAGGAAGTGTGTTTTCAGAGAGGGGTTAATATAAAGTGCACACTACACTCTTCAGTTTCCTTTATATTGTTATCTCTCCTTCACTGATTTCCCTTTTCTCTTTATTTTTATCACTCACACTCATTTGAAGTGGTAAACCACAAGATCCCTTTTTATGTTTGTTTTTGTTTATTCTGCCAGGCAGTGTGAACGCTGTCTATTTACTCTTAACTGGTTAACAAACCGTGTGTATAAAACCAGACTTCAGCATCTTTAAAGTGGAACTAGGTTGCTTTTATGAACCCACAATATGCTCGGTTGAATCACTGTGGTGTGTGTGTGTGTGTGTGTGTGTGTGTGTGTGTGTGTGTGTGTGTGTGTGTGTGTGTGTGTGTGTGTGTGTGTGTGTGTGTGTGTGTGTGTGTTAAGCTGTAAATATTTTACACACTTGTGATTACACTGGTTTGCAGTTCCTCTGCCTCAGATAAATTCAGTGAAACCCACGTCGAATGGAGTATCTCTACCAACTCCAGCACAGTCCAAACAACACGAGTGTCACACAATGGAGTTGTTGTAGGAGCAGACGGACTGAGAGTCGCACTGTGCGGGTACAGTGCTTCGATGCTGCCAGGCCCGTCACACAACCGTAATTCAGCATTTGCTCGCTGAGAAATATGTGGCAAAATATACAAGGCATGTTCCCTGAAAATGATACTTTGGTACAAGGCCTAAATGTTTCCACAGTGCACACCTTTCAGCCTCATTGCCCTGGGTTTGAATCTGAGCTGCAGGAGGCATGCTGCAACATTATGCATGCAGGAAACCCTGTTGAACGCTGTGTGTAACCACAGTTGTTGCACACAGGTGACAACTTGGTCAAATATTCCATGGAAAGCAAAATACAAAAGGTGTTGATATCCCAACAGGTGTAGAACACGTAGCAACGAAAAAAAAAAAAGAAGCCACTTCATTGTGGTCTGTTGACCGAGTGGTGGTACACGTTGATCAAATTGGATTTTGTTCTACTTAGTCATTTTTTCCATGTGGTAACACACGTCCTATTGTCGTCAGCCAAATAGTTCATGTGAACTGGCAGTTTATCAGTTCAGGATGTGGTGGTCTCTGTCACACACTCATTTGACTCATTCTGCTGTCAAGAACACACACATTTGGTTGAATTACTGAACATTAATTACGTTTGACTTTGACTGGAATGCAATAATGAACTTTAACATTGAAAATTTTTCATAGTAATTTAAATATGAATACTCCATGGCCAATTTAATACTATATAACAGGTCTTTAAAGGAGAAGAATGAGGTTATTCTATATTATTCTTATTCTTAGTAAAAAAAAAAAGAAAATCTCAATGCTTTACAACCACCACAAAGATATAAATCCTTAAAAAGGTGTCACAAATATAGTTTTTTGGGGTTTTTTTTAAGGAAAAATAGTTGACTAAAGCAGCTGGGCAGTGTAGTTTTTAGCAAACATCTCAAACGGGAGTAGATAGTGCTTTTTCAGCCTTGAATCTTGGCAATAAACTACAGCGCCCATCAGACTTTGGTTTCACACACATTCATTATTAGTTTTGGTCTTTTCATGGGATTTATTGGCAATAATAAAGCCACTGAACATCACCAGACTTCTCCTTTTGAAGTAGAGCTATCTGTGAAACCTCCTGGGCTTATTTAAACCTCTTCCATGCTCTGCCTGTGAAAACAGTGAATTCAGTTTAATTGCAGGAGTTGTTCAGCAGCTAATACAATTGGTACAAAAGAAGATTCCAGGTACTTTACAGAGCGTGTTTCTATTTTTAAACAGACACGAGCATTTTGTTGACCTTTTGGTGGCGAGCAGTCTCATGAGCCTTATCATAAGCTCAGCTGTTTGAATATTTCACTGCTTTAAGAGACTGCAGAGAATCATAATCCTGAGCAAGTGATATGTACAGCTGGTTAATAACACAGTAATCCATGAAACAAAGAACCAAGTGTGTTGTGATGTTTTCAGAGGAGAAAATATGTATTATTGCTGGCAGAGGATTGTCTCATCCTCCGTCTGTGTCATACTGTCTGTGTTTTCTGTATCGGATCGTTGTCTCTCACTTCCCACTGTGGAGTTTAGGCATCCATCTACATTTTAGGGGACACATCTGGAGAGTGTTTTGTTCTTCAACATGTGTCGATATCTGGAATTTTTTTAGCTAATAGAACCTGTATTGTAGTGACGCTGTTTCAAGTCGTCACTTTGCTGTTAAAACTAGTGACTAATCTTCTTTAGAATGTATGTGGGTTTCATTCCATACTGGATTGGCAGAAGGGTGGGGGTCATTGGGTTTTTAGCCAGTGGTTGTCCACCATTTTTGTTCAGAAATATTGCATGGATTGCCCCGAATTATGTACAGATATTCGTGGTCCCCAGAAGAAGAAACCTAGTGAGATTGATGATGACTTCTCCTCTAGCACCACCAGGACATTTGTGGTATTGAGTGAAATACAACAACTATTGAATGGATTGATAGAAAATCTCCTCATCCTGCTCCATCAAGACTTTGGTTTATCACCAAATTCGTGCAAAACAAATGACATTCCCATCAGCCATCAGGATGCACTTTGAGTTTAGTGGTAATTAGCAAATGTTTGAAAAAAAAAAAAAAAAAAGCTAAGATGTACATCTATAAATTAGCATTGCCATTTGGCAACATTACACTCAAAGCAGCCAACACTGTGCCTGAATACAGCCTCACAGAGCTGCTAGCATCGCTGTAGACTGATTCTGTTTAAATTGCGATCATACTGTTTATTTGCTGTTGCATATTGTTTGTGCTGACAAGATGATGTTTGTGTTTGGTTCAGATGCCAGGCCTGGGTCTCTCTCTGACGGCAGTGGACTCGGGGCTGCTGTCGGCTCTCCTGCCGAGCCAAGTCTCCCTCTCCCTGTTCCTGTCTTCTCCTGACGGTGAAACTGTGGCGGGCACCGGGGTCATCCTCCCGTACTCCAGCACCGGTACTTCCTCTCAAACAGTCTACTGGGCAATAATGTCATGCCGTTACAAAACACGTCAGTGTGCTTCTCCTCTGATTTGTTTCACGCAACCTGAGTCTTGCGCAAGAACACAAGGAAGTTGCAGCTACCGTTCATGAAAACTTGTTTCTGCAAACTACAGCAGCAGCTCTCACTGCAGGATTAAAAAATAACTCTCAGTTCATCGTGATTATGGCTCACTCATGCACACCATGACTTGCATTGATTGTGCATGCTTGCTCATATGCCAGCCTAATGTGTTGAAACACCCTTACAGCAAGTCATCCTGACATGGCAGCGTGCCACTAAGCCTCAAGCGAGGTTTTTTTTTTTTGTCCTCTGTGGGCCTGATTCAGCATCTAATATCAAATGTGTTCTCTTTTAGACCCGGTCCCTGGAGCCTGTAACATGGAGTTCAACCTGGACATTGACCCGAACGTCTATATCCACTACAATCTCTATGAGACAACGATCCGTTTTGCACCAGCAAACTTAGGATATGAGAGGTAACGCACCAGACAGGCTGGAATCGTCTGCTCGACTTCCTGTTCAGCCCGTTCAGCTGTAGGCAGCAGCAACTCGTCTGCCAGGACCCGCGTCAAACTGCCTCACTGTTTACTTGCACTGAAATGATCTCATGCTCTATCTGCCACACACACACACACACCCTCCTCCTCCTCCTCCTCCTCCTCCTCCGCTGTGGCTGATAGTACTCACTTTGTGTTCTTAAGAATGCCTGTTATGTGTCAAAGCCATCTTTGGGGCAGATAAAGGTTTTGTTTGCTTGTTCAGTCAGGTTTGGTTTGTGCATGTTTGCCTGTTGCTGTTTTGGCTACAAGGAATATCTTGTGTGATGCTAACGATGTGGAGATGGAGAGTTATTCTCCTCTGGGGGAATTACTAGTTGTCGGACAGTTAATCGCTGTTTTGTGGAATATTTGGAAATTCCAAACGGCCTGCATAAAATGTGGCAAATTTAGTTTTCAACTCATTGGCAACATTGGTTTGGACAAACACTGGTGGCTTTGTTGACTGCCTTTGGTTGTCAGTTCACGTCAGTTAAAACTGGACTTGTTTAACGTGCCTGACTGGTGGAAGGTATTATTATAGCATACCACACCTACCCCGCTTTACCGATTACACACTAGAGTAATGTACACACTGTACATTACTCTAGTTGTCATAGTAAACTGTTTTTGCAGCTCCTATCTAAGAAATCAAACTAGTTTCCTTTTTTTTGTACTAACAGGAAATGAAGCAATAGGTGCTGCAACCATGGATGTATTATAAGAACTGGTCCAAAATGGCGCCCAATTCACTTGAGTGACAGTTAGACCATTAGACAAAATGTTTTTCTAGCTTTCTCAGCCCATTGCACACCATTTCCATTTTTAATCATGGCTCCGGGACTTTTTTTTAAAATGTAAATCCTGAATAAAAATGTGAAAACGGTTTCACTGACTGCTGGAATATCATATATATACATAAAATAAATATATATACACATATATATGTATATATATTTATATATGAAAATGAACAAATACTCAGCAGTTTTCTCAGTTTTGAGCTGTGTGAATTTTTAGAATTAGTTTCTAGTATGCAACTGGGACACAGCTAATGTCCCACAATGCAACACACAAAGAAAAATGAGGGTGTTTAGACAATTTGTGGAGAAGGGTGCTGCAGGAAAAAAAAATTTAAAACCAAAAATAAAGCATGAAATCTTTGAAGTACTTCACTTTCTCTCCTGGCAGCAGTCTGATTGTCAGGTGTTAATTCGTTGGCACACGTCTTCTTGCATCATTTCCAAAATGTATTTTGTATACTATCTGCCCCAAAAAAGTCTGCTGTGCAGATATGCACAGTGTAAAGGTACAGTCAACGATTCAACGTTCAAAACTCAGGACTGAGTCTAAACCAGACTCCTGTCTCACAAAGTTTTAACACCTTCCCCTACAGCAGATGCATGTGTGAAGGTGGTATACTGAGTAGTGCTCAGTTATATAAGACTGCTGTCACAGCCAAATCTCTGCTTGTCAATATTCACACACTCATTTCAAACTACGAACCGATAAACCACAGAATTAGAAAGAATGACTTGACATAAGTACCGTGTTATGACAAGTTTCACTTTTACTGTCTTCACACTCTCACCCACTCTCACACTCTCACAGCCTTTGTTCAGGGTGTCGGTTAAACAACATTTAAACATAAATGTCATTAAATGAAGTTTCCACACACATTATAGGCACTTGTTTACCAGAGCGTGCACTATTGTATTATAAACTGCTAAAGCTAAAAGTACACCTGAGCTCATTTCCATCACACTGGAGCAGAAGCTCAGACAGAAACGTACAGAACTGAAGCCAACTACACTGACTGTCCTCGATCTCCATCAGGGGAGTAGCTCCTCCGGCCTGCGACCAGTCGACAGAAGGCAACACGCGCTGGCGGCTTCAGTATGACGTCTACCAGTACTTCCTGCCTGAGAACGACCTATCAGAGCGCAGCCTGTTCACCGCCATCCAGACCGTGGCCGACATCCAGGGCATGATGGAGAACGGAAAGCGGGTGGGGCACCAAGAACGTGTATTTTCTGGAGTGCTTATGTTGTTGTTCAGCTTCACACCAACTGCAGCTTTAACAATAGCAACAACAAACAACTCTCCTCTACCTCCACGCAGGTCATGACGCTGTCATCGTCCGATTTGAGCACGGCGGTGTTCAACTCCATCCCCGGCCAGGGCGTCATCTACTCCGTCATTGTCAGAGACCCGCTGCTGAACACCTCGGCCTCCTACGTCCCCGTCCACACCTACGCCTGCAGCTTCGCTTCCACTCTGGACGGCTGTCAAACACTGGGTGAGCTCCTGTGTGCCTCAGACACATGATAATAATCTAATCTCCTGATATTATATCATCGACTTCAGAAATAGCAGGGAGCTTACTGCAGAGGGAATCCTATAGAGGAGGAGGTTTGACCTTTAGCTATTTTTTTTTTTTTTTTTTTTTAAACACAGTTAATGCTTTATATTAAGCTTTTTTTTTTTTTTTCCTAGGAAAGGTATCTACAAAGATTTTTTTCACCATCGCTGGCTTGGCAGGTCTGTTTGTGTGCTTCTGTGGGCACAGATTCTTCAAATGTGGTGAGTAGTAGTTGAAGTGATTTTTATTGGTGTGTTATCATAATACATATTAGGATACTCCAGAGGACATCTTCATCAGTTTAATCACCCTTGTGATAGTGAAACCAGAGTTAATTAAAAGAGAAAACAAGTTCCTTTAAAAACAGAGAACTCAGAACTCATGTCTCTCATAAATGGAGCTGTTTGCAGTCAGAGTTCACCGTAGGGTCAACGGAATAGATCAGCGGGGGATCAGAGGTGATGTTTGCGAGTCGTGACTTCTTCATAGGAGCTTGAAAATGACTCAGACGGAAGCAAAGGCTCTGACTCAGAATGACGATGCACCTATGCGGATTCCATTTGCAAGTATTTGTAAGAGTGAATATCAGAAACCCAGTGCCTCGGGTGGCCTGCCTCACATGGTCTCCCTCGCATGTGATGCAGAGACGTATTTGTTCCGAACTGAACCCATGACTGAGCTGCCTCCGCTGCCAGTAGTTCTGGCAGATCTGAAAGTGGCCGAGTTGTGTGCGGTTCCATCCAACCTGGATTTTAAGGAGCATTAGTGCTGTTTGTGTGGGGTGATCAGGCTAATACATGTCTGACCTGCTTCTGGGAATGAATCACTGTAACGTTTGAGTTTTATTCTCTCTCTCTCTCTCTCCTTTTTCCTATGTGTCTTTCTCTCCATCATGCAGAGCTGTTCTGTATGGGATTCAGCTTTGCAGCGTTTTTCTTCTTCGTGCTGATCACAAGGACCACAGGCCTGGACTATAACAGTGAGGGTTTTTTTTTTCTCTCTGTCTGTTCACATGATTCAAGCCACGATGTGTAGAATTAGTCTGAATTTGGTGCCCCCTACGTTTCTGCCTCTGCAGTCTGTCTGGCCCTGTCGGCGGTCATCGGCGTGGTGGGCGGGGTCCTCCTGGTGATGAGCTGGTGGCGGTTCGGTTCGGTCATGGCCTGCATCATCGTGGTCGGACTGATGCTCGGCTTCCTCATCGCCTCCACTGTCCTCTTCACTCCTCTGGGTAGGGAAAAAAAAACCCCCGCTGTGTGGTCCCCCAACACGACCCCAGTCAGCCATTAGAATATGTATTGAGTATGTTTCTGCGTGCTGGTCTCTCCTCAGGTGACCTCGATGTGTTCAGGCGCTCTGACGCCGTTTTCTGGGTGACGTTCTGCTGCATCATGATCATCGTTCCGCTCTTCTTCGTGCGCTGGCCCAGAGAGGTAACAGATGTAACACCTCGACCCACTCGCTGTAGTATGTGGAGCTCTTCACTTTGGCCTCATCTAGTGGTAGGATTAATTATGAAGACATGAGCCAGGAGGCGAGTAGCTAGCTTAGCATAAGGACTGGAAACAGAGGGAAACGGCCAGCCTGGCTCTGTTCAGAGGTAAAAAGAAAACCACCCACCAGCACCTCTAAGGCCGTTTAATCTGCACACAAACAGCAATGAGAAAGAAAGACGCGTTGCCCACTTTGGCTATTTTTGTTTCACTGGTTGCCTGGCAACCTCACAGTGATGACAAGACTCCAGGAAACCACTGCACGCGGCCAAGAAATAGCACGTAACTGCCCATAAACACGCTAATAGAGCTGGGTGGTATACTGAACACCTACACCTGTTTGTATTTCATATAGATTATAGTTTAGGGTTTTTCTGTAGTTTTATTTTGTTTTTCATTTTTGTTTTCAATTCAGTTTCCAGAGTGGTTTGGCTCGTTTCAGTTTAGTTTTTAATTGTTTAAAAATGTTTAGTTTTGGTTTAGTTTTTATTAGTTCCAGTATTTTTCTAGTGTTTTTTTATTATAACATGGGGGGGTATTTGTCAGGGGGAAAAGTTTAGAAATTCAGAATAGGTATTACAGTACAAACACACTGACTCACAGGCTTGTAGACATCCCAGATCACAACGAACAAACATAAGCACCAGTGCCTCCTCAGGCTGTTTGTGTTGACAAATTTGACCAAACTGACGAAGACATTTCCTGTATGTTTATTTTAGTTTAGTTTAGTTTTAGTGAACTATAATAACCTTGCAGTGTGTAGCTAAAGCAACCGCTGTGGCTCGCTGTGAACAGCACTACAGTCGGAGCAAGCTGTGTAGCGTGTAATGAGAGCAGAGGTTTATTAACTGCGTACCCTTCTTAGTAACAGTTAGAACTTTATAACATAACAATTAATAACCCACAACTAACACGCTTTAACGGGGCAAACACCGTGGCACACGGCAATTTGTGGCAATTCTTGTGCACATTTGAGAAATCTCTTTGAATACTGAAGTACTTCTGAATATTTTATGTCAGTTTAGAGTGTTTTAGAACCATTTTAAAATATTAAAGGCAAAATAAAATACAGATATACTTACACATTAGTTGTCCTCAGTGTTCATTTGAATGTTTTATTGATGTTTTAATTGACCTACCAATCACCAATATTCCAGTATTTAATGTGTCTCAGCATCAATCTTTTACAGCCAGCTAAACACCTCAAACTCAGTAAGAATTAAAGAACAGTGTGTTTCTCATGTAACTTGACTCTTTTTGTGTTTCTTTAATATCAGGGAAACATCACCACGTGCGGCGTCGTCGGAGCTTACGCCGTCATCCTCGCCGTCAACGCCTACATTTACACCAGCCTGTCCTACATCACAATGAACATCCTCAAACGCTTCCTCAACAACAACTTCAGCGCGATGTTCACCGACGTGCCCTTCCAAACCATCGGTGAGTTCACGGCTGAAATCTCAGCAACGCCATCACACTCAAACATCCGGTCTCGTCTTAACACAGTCTCCTCTCTTCGTCTCTCCTCCACCAGACTACGTCATGATCACGGTGTGGGTGGTGCTCGGCGTCAGCGGCATCGTCCTGCAGCTCTACCGCGAGCGCTCCCGGCCGTTCTTCCCGCCCAGCCCGTACCTCATGTGGCTGCAGGAACGCGAGCGCCGCAAGACCAACGTCCTCGACCCGAGCCACCACTTCCCCCCGCTGTCCAACCGCCTCCTGGCCAGAGTGCGGCAGCTCACTGCGCGGACGGAGCCGGTCGGAGAGCACACGCCCCTGCTCCTGTAAGCCTCGGACGCCCCCAGCGGCGGATTATTTCACACACAGTCGGGGTCTGAACCAGGGAGGTAAAGATCCCTGGGGTGCATATTTGACCTCAGAGGCTCAGACTAAGAGAGGTACGGCTCCTGACCGTCTCAGAAACGCAGCATAAACAACCCCAAGAGGAACTGTATCACTGACGGTCTACAGGTGGATTTTAATTTTTTAAATCTCACACGTACAAAAAGGTTTTGTACACAGACTGACGCCACTTCTATTTAACACTTAAATGACATTTTAACTTGTCGAGAAGAATTAACTTTTGTAAGAGCTGAAACTTAGCTGTCGATGCTTTACGGTATCTGTTGCTTCTGTTCATTTTACTGTTTGCACTAAAGTCACAAACTACTAACCAATGACAGCACGAGGCATTTTTACCTGTGGAGAGTTCGGTTCATTCAGCGACAAAATGTTGTCGCCCAGCTGGCATCTTGAAGAGTGCGTCCACTCAGAACTTGTTTTTGTAGTTTGGTTTTAAACCTATCGCTCAGGCCTGATGATAAAAATACTGTGTGACCTTAAAGTTGATTTAAATCTTTAAAACTCTGGCTCCTCCTAGTGCTGCTGATGGCCTGAATGAAAACAACCAATCAGAGCCAAGAAAGATAGTTAACTTTTGAGTCTCATTCCAAGGTCGTCAAATATCGAAGCTGGGAATGAGACTCATCAACTATCTTGAAGTCACGAACCCAAAGAGTCTTTCTGTCTTCAGTCTGGCTCTGATTGGTTGTTTTCATTCAGGCCCAGTGGATTCTTGCAGATGCCATTCGGAGCACTAGGAGGAGCCAGAGGAACCTGATTTTTTCACAGATTATCTGTCTCATGTGCTACTGACAGGATATAGTGAAAGTTTCAGAAAATATGACAGAAAGTTATCTTTATAAAAATTACCGACTGCAGCTTTAAAGGATTTTTGGTTCTAGACTAAACTCTAAATGTGCCATTTATCCTTGAATGTTTTCAGTCATGACGGGGTCAGTAAAGTGAGGATCTGTGTCGCAAGCAACAAAACAAAAACTGACAAAAAGTAAAACACAATATTGCACAGTTTTTAAAATGTTTGCCTTTTCACAATAAGAGAACATATTTTTCTCCTCCTCTGCGTTCACTCACTCAGAAGTGATGTTTTACCCTCTTGCTCACTGTCCGCTCAGTGTTTTTGTAATTTGCACACTCGATTTTAACGTATTTAATTCTTCTCTGGCTCTGATGGTGCTGATTGATTGTTAGTCTGTTAAAACTCATGTGCCATGACTCTTCTCAGGGTTTCACGCTCAGCTTTTAGACCACAATGCACTGAGGCAACTGATGAAACCTTCGACTCTTCGGCCTGTGAGCCTGTAAATGTCTGTGTTTCATTCGGCTACCGAGCTAAACTTCACTTTTTCAGAAAAAAAACAAAAAAAAACAATACGCAGACTTGTCTCAATTGTCATTGAGGTCAATTGTAATGTGTAATTTAACATGTTTTGATATTTAATAAATGCCTACAGGTGAAAACTGGCTTTCTGTTCTGCTTCTAAAGGTACTCAAAGATTCCTCTCAGCAAAACGTTACAATGTATGTGAAATAAAAAAAGGCTAGGAGTATTTTACAAAGCATTATGAATATATATTCTGTATGTTCTGCATTCTTTAAACCTACATTAACTGATTTTTGTGCAGCAGAAACATCCTGTAAACACGAGTTGATATTGTGAACCTGTTAGCAAACAGCTGCTTTTTTACACTTCCAGCAGACACACACACACACACACACACACACACACACACACACACACACACACACACACACACACATTATCATTCATTAGGAGTTGTGTTTCTGGACACTTGATCAAAGTCCAACATTCACTCTCTGTTTAGCTCCGTCTCTACCAACTCCTGAGTGAAATATCTGGACTGAATGCTCCACTGTGTTCACCATATAGTGTAACTTTGTCACTCTGCTGCTTGGTGCTGGGCAGGTAGACGTCCAGCGGGCTTATCGACAGCTGCCTGCTGCCTCTGGAACTTGATGCTGGTGAGAGTGAACCAAAACAGTAAAGTTCCGGACCGTCAAAGCAAAACAATGAGCTAAAAGAGGCTAAAACGCTCTGTGCCTGAGGGGAACAGCTGCAGAGTTGCAGAATAATTTGCTGTGGGTTTATCAATAGAAGCAACACCTTCTGTCATTTGAGCGACTGCTGATATAAAACATTTATTATAGCAGCCTGAACAATCTACTCAGATTTTAAACATATTGCTCTCATCAGTGGTATTTTTATTCAAGTGCTGTACTTCAAATTCAAGGTACCTTAAGTATTTCAATTTTATGCAACCTTATCAACTACTCTACTACATGGCAGGGGCAATGATTGTACTATTTACTCCATTACATTTGTCTGACAGATTTAGTCCCTAGTTACTTACTCAGATTACAATTCTTTATACCCTTTCTGTCCAGGTAAAAACCGCATCTCCAAATTAGTTTGTTTTATATTAGAATTCTTCTGATAAACAGAAGGAGGATTAAGTGTTTATTACTCAGCAGTATATAAAGTGGATCAAATGAGCTCAACCTTAAACATCTACAGCAGTAAAATGCAACATACACATGAAAGCAGCAGTAATATTAATCCAGAAACACCATATATAACAGTGAAACACTGACAGTCAACTGTCAGTACTTTTTATACTTTAAGTACATTCTGCTGCAAATACTTACATATATTTACTTCAGTGAAGTTTTGAATGCAGACGTTTACTTTAGCTGGAGTATCATCACAGTTTGATATTAGTATTTTTACTTAAGTCATTGATCTCAATACTTCTTCCACTCCTTTGAGCCTACTTGGACCTACCTTGGAGGTTGGAGTCCAGAATGCCTGTTTAACTAATTAAATTGACTCTGGGCCTCAGTAAACCAATCAGTCGACAACAGTTGATTCCAATTAAGCTAACGATTGCCCCTCTTGACCTTTGCTGAAGAAGCGCAGTGATATTATTAAGTGTTGAGTATAAGTGTTTGACTGTTTATTTGTTGTTTATCATGAGAATCTATAAAAGGAGATTTTAACTTGTGTATTTACATTCTAAGTTTAAAAGAGTCACTTTTTCCTCCCATCCCTTCACTCAACCCCAGTGCAGTGCTTGTTTGGAGCCACTAGAGGGCAGCAGAGTACAACAGGGGACTTTTGGAGGACCAGTTAAAAAAAAATGATAATGAAGCTCACTTTTTTAACCTCTGACAAGCTTTTGGAATGGATGCCATTTACAAAGGTTTGATGAGATTTAATGGAAACACTGAAACATCTCTTCATTGTTCCACAGTAAATGTTTTCCATTCAGCCCGTCAACCTACTGCAGGTTGCCATGATTCCATATTTCATCCATCACTGGGGATGGTTTGTATCAAAGATCCAGCAGAAAATGGTTTGGATGTTGTCTTCAAATTACAGTTTACTTTATTATTTGCAAAAAAATTTGAAATGACTAATTGTTCTTTCTGTGGACTGTTGGAAACGACCTCCCACTTGTTTGAGCTGTCCTTATGTTTTTTAAACCGTTTTCATCATGTTTTATTATTTAGATGGGTTGTTTGTTTACATCTGCAACTCAAAACAAAATATAAATATTTTATCTCAGTATATTTTATAACTGAGTCATAAATAAACCTAATTAGCACTCTACCAACCCCAAGTCTTAAAAACTCTAATATATATGTTAATTGTTTTGTATTTTCTTTGTTTTCTTTATACTTACTAGGTATACTATACCTCTATTCAAATATTCTGAGGACTTTGTTCCAGGCGCAGTGAGTTTTACGGCTTTAGAGGGGGAAACAAATCCTCAGAAACATTTGGAGGACCAACGTGAAAGAGCAAAACGTGTTAAATCAGACAAAAGCCACGTAGCCAAGATAACCTTTTAAAACACTTGTCCATTTATTAATCAAAATGACAAAAAGGTAGCTGGAACAAGAGACACAATCAACAGAATCAACATTCAAATTCTGACAAACACGGCGGTTTCTGTAAAGTGCCAAACAAGAAAAAAGCCTCACTTATAATATATATACTGTATACACACACACGCACACACACATATACACAAACACCACATAGAAAACTAGATTCTTAATACACACAAACATTAGAAACCATATAAAAACAATGTCTATACCAAGTAGATTCTGTTCTAAATGATTCTGGCCGCTGCAGGGCCTCGAGTGTTTAAAAAAAAAAAAAAAGAGGCGTTTGATCAGTAGTTCATCTGCGACTCGGGCTTTCCTCTGAGAAACCAAAGTCATGAGTGCTCGTACACACTGTGCAATTTTCATCAGTAAAAACCGTTAAACCCACCCCGCCACCCCCGATCATCTAATACATTCTAATGCCGCTCAGAAACGAGAAGTTTCCAATGAAGGCACGCAACAGGAAGGTCCGTTCCTGCTGGCGCTTTGTCCGGCGCCACGGACACGAACCTCCCACCTAGATATCATTTATACAAAAATCAGACACAACTGTCCACCAGTGGAAGGTATGATCTCACTGGGGAGGAAAATACATCAGAAACCATGATTTGTGTTCCAGTTATGTCACTGAACTCCAGAAGTGTCACAGCTCTGGTCGCCTGTACAGGCTTCACAAGCTGCTTCGCCATGAATACCAACCGAATCCTTTTCCTGCAAATGTTCACATAAGTGCGTTTTATTAAGTCATGGCTATGTCCTTAAATCTTATGTTGACCTAAAAAAAGCTTTGAGGTTATTGTTTGAACGCGTTTTTTCTCCTAAATTCTATCCTTTGTTCTTTAAAAGTCAGTTGACACAAATGATTTTGTAACGGCTGTACGTGTAACGAAGGTGAAAATGTAAACATTGTGCAAGTTTTAGTGTTGACCAGGAACATGGAGCTGACCTCTCAAACAGACCATTGAATCGGAACAAAGACCACACATACAGAGCGGGACATCTTTGACCCTTTGGGATTAAAAAAATAAAATAAAAAGACTATTAAATAACATACAAAAACCAACAAACAAAAAGTAATCTGAAGACAAACAAATGGCCAGAAATGAGAAGCCTGATGAAGATTAGTCACATGATTCTGAGCTCCAACAAGTGTTGGTTTGTGATAGAAGCCGTGTGTGAGCAGCCTGCTGGCTTTGGCGAAGTCCTCAGAGACCGCCCCGTTACGTCTTCTGCCTCCTCCTACAGTTCATTTCAAAATACGGGTCCCCACTTTTGCTGTTGCATTGTGGGATCTTCTTGCAGGGCTCGGTCTTAACAGCTTTGATGTTGGGGCTGGTTTTCTGCGGGGCCAGGGCTTGTCCTGGAGTCGCTTCAGGTTTTTGACTGGACTTTCCGTTTATGGGGTTAGTGGTGGCTGCTTGCTTCCGCCCCGCCCTCTGTGCTGTGGCTGGTGTTTTCTGATTGGCTCTGCTGGCGGGAGAAAGGCCTGTGTTGCCCCCCGGGACCCGCCCAGGGACCCGCCCGGGGACCGCGGCAGTACCGCGCGAAGGGGCAGCAGCCGCCACCTTGGTCGGGGCCGGCCCCTTGGCTTTGGCTGTGACCTCTTTGCTCTTCGGCAGGGAGCAGGCGGGTTTTGGCAGCACCGGGGAGGCTGTCCGTGAGCTGGGGGTCCAGGTTTGGGCCGTTGTCGTCGCTCCTCTCGGCGTTGGCGTCGCTGCAGCTTTTGTGGCCGTCCGGATCCGCCTGGTCGCCTCTAGACGGAGGCGTGAGGCTGGGGAGCCGGGACGGCGCTGTGCAAGGCGAGAGCGCTGGCTGGCGCCCGTTGGTGGCCGGGCGTCTTTAGGGGTGGCTGCCCGTACTGGTGCAGTGACTGGGCGAGGCACAGAGGCTGTGGTGGGGGAGGTGCAGGGGCTGGAGGGTTTGGGGCATTTGGAAGACGGTTCGGGGCAGACGGGGCTCCTGGGCTGAGATGTGGGACCGCGTGGTGACGGTCTGAGCTTCAGTTTGGAGGCGGGGCTTGGATCTGCATGTGTGGGTGATGGAGATGAGGATGGAGTCAGAGCTCTGCGATGGACCTGCACACCCTGACCCCCCGGGCTGGGAGACTGTTTGGAGGAACTTCCCACAGGTGTGGAGGGCAGAGAGGAGGACCCTTTGGTGGTGATGGGCAGGGGCAGCTGGGTGGGCTTCCTGGGCGAAGAAGGTGTCCCCTGGAGGTTCTTCTTGGGTGCAGAGGCGGAACCTTTTCTGGGCAACGTGGGCGTGCAGGCCGGGGAGGGGGTGTAGGACCGACACGTCTGACCTGCGGCGGTCACAACCGGCTTACAGGCCAAGCCGGAGGAAGATGAAGATGATGAGGTGGAGGAAGAAGAGGAGGACGAGGAGGAGATGAGGTTGTTGACAGCGGCGAGGGGGTCCATGTCAGGAGGTGGGGGTGGAGCTGCATTGCCATGGTGACCTCCCAGGCCGGGAGGGCCTTTCTGGAAGGCCAGGATCTTCTGCTCCAGGGTGGTGAACTGCAGAACCCGCAGAGGGTCGTATTTCATCAGGAAGCCGCGCAGCGTGTCCCAGCCGCCCCCGACGCGCACCATCACATGTTTACCGTGAAGCATCTGGAAAAGTGGGAAAAAATAGGTAAGAATATTAAAAATCAAAAATCAACAGTGCCGTATTCCTGGAGGTTCCCAAAATAGCTGCTGCTGATCTGTAGATGAGCGCGTCTGGCTCGAGGCTTGGCACCGTGGACAGCAGTGTAATTATGATGTAATCGCCTAACGCTATCCACCGCTCTTGAGTAACGAGCTTACATGTGTCCAATCACAGCCAGACAGTGATGTAGTGAAGATTCTGCCAGAGCTCTCACATTCACACACACACACAGAGTTCCCAGTGTGTATCCTAACACACTTTTAATAGTATGTAAACACTGTATTAGTGCTCGTACTGTATACTGAGCCAGTGCCAACCTAAACTGATAATCTGCATCTGATATACACACAGATTGACCATCGCACTTTAGGTATACAGTTTGTAAAGTACTCAGATTACTGGAATTCTATTTTAAAAAATGCTTCACAGACTCCAACAGGGGAATGTCCTCTCTGCTTGGCTCTGTCAACAGTGAGGTCAAAGGTCAGAGGACTGCACATCGTCCTGGTTGATGGTCTTATTCCCTTAACCTCCATGCTGCTCCAGCTTGCTCTTCAACCGTCTTCTATTGTCTACAGATCCTGGCGTCCTTTTTCAACCATGTCTGCTGAACTGGATTCAACGCTCACATCTCCAACAGATGTTAGTTGAGTCAGAATAATAGAATATGAGACCCTGGCATGTGACATGATGTGTCTTTTAAAAGCTGTGACATGACCGGGCTGCTACTTCTGAATGGGACAACTCACTGAGCGTCTAGATTGTCTGCATTACTAACGTGAAGTGAGCCAACACGAGTCCGCCACCACTGCAGAGAGAGAGAGAGAGAGTGTGTGTGTGTGTGTGTGTGTGTGTGTGTGTGTGTGTGTGTGTGTGTGTGTGTGTGTGTGTGTGTGTGTTCAGAGCACTCACCCGAATAAAGAGGGTCTTGTCTCCCAGTCTGTAGCGTCCCTCAGACAGGTACTCAATGGAGACCCTGTTGGAGCAGTTGCAGGGCGGGTCATCCATGCCGTGCTCCTACAAGGGACAACAAGAGGACCATAAGGCGGCCATATTGGAGGTCTCACTGGCAGCAATATTGGATTATCTTTGCAAACGAATGAAGTTATTCCATAAACTAACATTTACAGTTGAAAGATAATTCAGTTTAACCTCAGATGGATGGAGAACAAAGAGAGGCATTTAAGGAGCTCCAGTTTTTAGTGAACAATAATGCAATTATCACTGAATGAAGCAGTGAGACAGTGAGTGATGAATAACTGGAAGCTGCTGATAGGAATGTGTGAAAGGAAAATGCATTTGGGAACAAATATACTAGCTGGTGGACGCGTTTATCCAAACTGCCTTCCACTTCGATGAGTGCAGTTATTTTTAGTGCAGCTGTCTCCTCTGGGAACAAAGCCCCCAGCCCTGACAGTGTCAGAGCCTCGTTTTACCCACTGGGGGAATAAACCCACCCAGCACTGACAGTGTTAGAATCAGTGTCCATCAGGAAGGATTTCTAACAGCAGCTGATGGAGGAGCGTCTGCACTGTGAAAGAGATGAAGTATTTACACAAATGGGGAGTTCATTGGCGTGTGTACTTATGGCTGTATGACGGCACGCGTGACGGCGAGTCACAGGGCGCCGGCAGAGAGTCACGTGGTCAGCTGGGATGCGTCATACCCCGTGGGGTGCCAATGGAGCGGCAGGAGCCTTGGCTCGGCTTCAACTGGGTCGCACATGTACCACCTATGCGGTGCTAACGTGATCAGCTGTAGCCCTTCATCACTTTACATCAGTAGTTTTCTTTTTGCTCGTTTGTGTGAGACTACACTGAGGTAGTGTTTTTTGGGGGGGCAGTAACTTGACCGGCTAGAAGGGGTGGGGCATTCTCGTTCCACACTTCCCGCCTCCAGGTGTTCTGTGTGTTTAAAACCATGGCGGTGTTTATTTCCTGTTCATATGTTGGAGCCGTCAGTCAGAACTCACCCCCGGCTGGTAGAGGCCGCCATGCTGACAGCACACAGTGAAGGTTTTGACGGCCGCAGGCGGCTCCTCTGTCATCAGCAGAGTCTCCTCCAACTCAATCTCCTTCTCCAGCTTCACCAGTACAGGAGGTTCCACGCCGTACCTGAGAGACACACACAGCGGCGTTCACACGTGCACCTCTGGCAATAAAACACTAAACCCATCTTAAACTCTTTGTTAATAATCATCTGAAGCGGCTTCTTCTGCGCTGAGGGACTTACTTGGAGACGATGCGGCCGATCTCCAGCAGACACAGACAAACCTGCCGAGGCTCCTTGTGCAGCACTGAGGCAGAAAACACAACAACGAAGAGACTTTTAATAAATAATCTGAAGAAGCAGCTGCCTCTTCTGAAGAGAAGGGTGGAAGAGAACAGCGATGCTGGGTGACATTATGAGCACATAAGATAAATGTAATATTCCCAGAGGGCTGGTCGGGTGATTCATGTAGAAGAGAAGTTTTGAGTGAAGAGCCCAACTTTAAAGGATATTAATTAAACTATAATATAGTGAAGAAGAGACCATTCCTGGAACAGCAGAGACGTATGGCTTTCTTCCTAAATCGCTCCAATCCGTTTTTTTGGAGAGCCATTACTTGTAATGATGTGATCCCCCATACAGAGTACTCAGGGTGATTGCTCTCCACAACAGATCCTATTAAACCATTAAGCAGTAAGGCTTAAACAGAAGAGCTCTGCAAAGTTATCAGGAGCTTACATCCACAGTCTGTTTACATCCTCAATATGAAGCCCAACATTTGCTCCAAAAGGTGTGGGGTTCATTATATATATTATATTATCAGTAACACTTCAGTGGCATCTCTGCCTCTTTCCCCCTATCTTTAGAGTATTCTCACTCAAGCACTAACAGTAAAATGTTCCAAATGATACGCATGAATGAGGTGGGTAAATACATGTTACAGTGTTTTGTACAAACCTGCAGCTAGATCCACATCCTAGTAAATATGTATTATTGTTTGTTCTTTATCAGGACTCTGGTGTCTTATTTTTACTTGGTCTCAACTTCCTTTTGGCCTGATTTGAAAACTTTCTGGGACTCAACCAATGCTCGCTAAAGAAAGACAACTTAAGAGGAATTATTATTGTTTCCAGTAGGTAGACAGTGGCCAAGCACATGCAGGAAAACTCATCATGATACTATTTCCAAAGGTTTTTAAATACAATAGCATAGCGTGGCTGGTGTCACACAGGTGTAATAAAGTTATCTGGATCCCCTGGAATAAAAGATTTACCAGAACATCTTTCTTGGATAAACAAAACTCTTACTTACTGGAATTTTTTATGGTTATATAAGAGGAAGGATTGTAACAAACCATCTCAATCTTTGCACCAGAAGTAGCACTTTAATAAGTTACTATGGGTTCTTGTAGATTTATGTGTACAACAAGGTCATATCAGCCAAAAAACAATGTTCTTGCTTCCTAAAACTCAGAAGGTCAGATTTAGGTGGCTGGATTTTAACAGAATTAAGGCTGCTGTACATGAACTGATAGAACTACAAATAGAAAGAATGAAGTAACTCCAGAATCTATGACAACAGTCGCACAGTTGCAGTGATATCTGCTGCAGCTCTTACCGAGGCCCTCTGACTCAAACAGGTAGGTCTCCTCCACACCGATGTGGCGACACCAGGCCAGGAAGTTGGCGGTGTTGTCGCGAGCGAAGAAGGAACCGGGAGAAGCGTCCCGCTTACATGCAACCTTCCTCGTGGGAAACAGCTGTCAGGAAACATAAACTCTATGAAGCATCACCAGACTCGGTGTGGGCATATGTGTGAAAATGTGAGAATACAGACAGGTTTCTAATAAGGTCATTATGAGAACACACGCATGATTAGCTATTAACGTCTAGCGATCTGGTCAGAGCCCTATATTTTAAGGTGATGCATAGTTTTGCACATATATAATACTTAACTCTTGCATTGAGACAGTTTTATATGAGTTTTACCTGAATACAGTGCATATCTACTCTGTGGTAGGTTTTAAAACAAGAGGAAGTTCACATAGTATAGTTTACTTGTGCAGGCTAACAGGAACGACATGTAAGCTAACATACATTTTCTTATGCTAACCTTACTTGTGTGTTGGGGGGGGGGGGTTACTCTCAGTAAATGGTCTGGGACACACACACACACACACACAATTCATTTCTTACAACCTGCTAGAGCTAACTGTGTGTTGTTGTCTTTGCATTATTACTGCTACTACCTGCTGCTGTCACTGTCATGTGTCAGGTTAGCTTTAAACACGTACACTGCATCAAACATTTGTAGAAAAGTGGCAAAACTCCACCTGACAGTCTGAGACAAACTGAACTTGAACAAATGAAATTAGTCAGAGTTTTTGCTCACACTGTGACCTGCAGAGCCCTCCCCAAACATCCCCCACGTGCGAGCATGAAAGCTGCCCTTTGGACGATTGTCCGAGCTATTCTCGTCGCTGCTGTCTGACTCACCTTGCAGAGTGCGGAGGGGCAGCTCTGGGCGATCTTAGTCTGCAGCACACCGATAAGCTGGCACAGCTTCACGCCGTTATTCAGCTCCTCCATGAAAAACTCTGCTCTCACCTCCTCTCCTGGACAAACAACAGTGAAAAGACAGAATAAATTGTACAGCACAATGCAACTTATCCAACTTTTTATCTGCATTAGTCCTTTATAAAAGATGTCCTCACTTTTTGTAGGTCAAAACCACATCTGCAATAAAATAAAATCAGCACAGATTTAATATAGAATTCTTCTTCACTCAATAGCGTTTCCCTTCTATGGTGGCTTTTGTTGTAGGACCTCGCAAAACCACTTCACATTGACAGTTCAACAGAGCACCCCCTACAAACTCCTCAAGGACTTATGGCACTCCCACGACCCCTTATTGTAAATCACTGCCCCAGGAAACTCAACAAAGGCCATGTGAAGTGAATTTACATTGGGGACAAAATCCACAACAGCTATAACATTAAGTGACAAAGATTTCTCCACAAAAGTTTATTTTCCACACAACAACAGCCGAGCCTCGAGGCTAGAAACTTTATCCGTTGCACGCCACCTGTTTCTGCACTATCTGGCCCCTCAGGATTGACTATCAGTTGGGTCACCACGGTCATGAGTAACTCATGCTGAGGGGTTGAGTACTTGCCCACATTCCTCATGAGAAAATCTGAACTGTCTGCTTATAAAGACAAAAAAAAAAAAAAAAAACCTGGTTTCACCAGTCAACAATAGAGTCAGTTTCCAGTCAGCTTCAGTTTCCTCACTGCTCCATTGTATCGTAAGGGACAATAGATGTCAGTATAATGGTAGAGACGAACCAAATGGGGGATTTTGTTCCACTCCTATTTCTATGGTTTGCTAAGGCCCGATTGTAAATAGCAGCATCCAAATCCAATTACATGGGAGACCCGTGTCAATTGTGCTTTGGTATTTTCCTAGCCTTAAGGGGCAAACTGTTAGCATGCAACTGCCCAGTGATGACTGCCATATGCACAGCTTTAAGCACATTTACTCTGTTGTATGAATACACGTACCTACATCAGAAGAAAAAAAACAAAACCCAAAAATGAACATCTGTTTTACGCAAAAGATGTCAAGACAACATGATACCAGACAGTCAGAGGTGGAAAAAAACCAAAAAAACAGACCAAATGAGACTAAACCAGTAAAAGCGGTACTTTGTGGCTGACACACAGCACTTACCCAGCATGCCGGTGAGCCAGATGGCCAGGTCCTCCTGCATAGGTACCAGGGTGGCCTCATGTCGCACTGCAAGCCACTGGTCATACTGGAAGACGTCTGCGAGGCCGGGGCCGTGCCGCTGCGCTAGTGGGCTGCGAGGGCTCCTGGGGCTCAGCAACGGGGCATCGAACCTCTCACCGAACCACACCTGGAGACGAGGAGGAGGAAGTTGAAGGATGTTTAAATGAAAGACTTCCATCCACGTTGATAGAAAGAAACATTTGTAACCATGTGTGTGTGTGTAATCAAAATCAACGAGGTCAGCAACCTCCAAGATCTCAGAAGAAGATAACATTAATATGATGTACATAATTTCCTTGTATGACTCAAAAGATTAGACACACACACACACACACACACACACACACACACACACACACACACACACACACACACACACACACACACACACACACACACACACACACACACACACACACACACACACACACACACACACACTCTGACACAATATTACAACAGATTAGTGTGGCTGCCCACTTATTGAGACATCTGCCTAATCTGATCTACTCTCAGTTAGTCATGGTTTTAAGATATTCAACTTCAAAAGGAACATTTCGAGAAATACACCTGTTAGCTCTCTTGGTGAGAGTCAGATGAGAAGATTGATACCATTCTCATATCTGTATGCTAAATGTGAAGCTACTATCAGCAGCCTGTTAGCTTAGCTTAGCTTAGCATAAAGACAGGAAACCGCCTGTCTTGTTCTTCATGAAGTCACTAGGCCCAGCCAAGAAATACTCCCGCACCGTGAAACCACAACTTATCATCTTAAATAAATTATTAAATTAAATAAACAAGATGTGTTCATTAGTGAGCTTCTGAGGTGCTGGCACGCAGATTTTGTTACTTCTGGACAGAGCCAAGCAAGCTGTTTCCCCCTGTTTCAGATCTTTATACCAAGCTATGCTAACCAGCTATTGGCTGTAGCCTTACATTTACCAGCCAGATCCATTTTCAGCAAGAAAGCAAATAAGCAATTTCCCAAAATGTTAAAATGTTCATGAGACCTGCGTTTATTGTCTTTCTATAAACTTAAACGCCTAAACTTACTACAGCTTTTTTTTAACTGGTTATGAAATAGTCTCAATTTAATACTGATGCCTCTATATAACCTACATAAACAAAAAAGACAATTGACTATTTCTGTCTAGTTATTTTTTATGCCTGCCATTGGGTGGGATTCCACTTGAATCAATGAAATGAGGTGGGGGGAAACACTACTGATTTTGTCCACAGGGTTCACTGGAATCAACACAAAATGAAAGTTTATTGTAGCTGCTTTAACTGCTTTTTATTTTAGTCCTTCCAGACTTTCACGACTCACGTCTGCTTTTGTCATTCAGACAAGTAAAAAAAAAAAAAGAAAAAAAAAACAGAACCAACATTATCTCTTCAGTGAGGTGTTGTGAGATGAGCCTGAGGATTTTCCTCAAATACAGTGAACAATTTGTGGGGAAAAAACTGTACAACAGGATAGCATTTTGGAGACACCTTATTATGGATTTCTTTTTTAACCCTGGATATAGGTTAGCAGTTTCTCCACAGCCAACTGTCTCTACAAGCCAGCAGTACAGCATTATCATACTCTAGTTAACATTCAGCCCTGCACTGTGAGAATATCAGAGGGATTTTAGTGACCCATCCATGCAGGGATGCCGTCATACCACACTCACTTCTATGCTCTACTGGAGTTCGCAGTGCGCTCCGACGCTGCCGCAGCGCTTCAACTTTTGACCACTGTGGTTACTCTGGGTAAAAACCACAACCTCAGCTTTATCCCCCAACAACCCACCAAAACCTCTTATTTTAGAACATCTTTCATTGTCCACTGACAGACAACCTTACAGTCATTATTTTCTTTGGTTTCAAATATAAAAAGGAAAAAACTGAGACAATTGAATGCTGTTGCACTTGACTGCTTAAATGGGTGTCTCGCAGTGGTTTACAGTCGGGGGCTCAGTGCCTGGAGCGAGCCGCTGATCCCGGCTCTTGACACTGATGTCCCAACATATCCATCTCCACTGTCACACCCCTCCCTCCCGTTCCCTTCTCGTCACTTCAGTTCTGCACTGACAATTCTTTCACATAAAAAGGAGAGAGGGATTATTCATGTGTAGCCTCAGTGTTCTTGGTTTTACAGCCACAACCTACATTAATGAAATTATTAAGTCAGATATATTTTCAGGAAAAAGATGGAGGAAAAAATGTTTTTTTATTCTTAACATTTTAATTGTTCGCAGGCAGCAGGAGGGGGTAATCTGGAAACCAGCAGCAGATGTGCACTATGACGACTTGTCCAGACATTACATAACCGCCCCCCCACTCCATCTAGTTTGTTGACATCTGTTTAAGATACAGCCTTTAATCTTTGTGTCCATCACATGTCGTCAAGCAATAATGGGACATTGAGTCCACTGTGGTGAAGGGGTTATTGTGCTTAAAACAAGGCAGAGTCTTGTTGAGGCCCTAAATTCATTGTGTGTGTTCGGCCTACAAACAGGAAACCTTCTGGCCAGTCGAACAGAGAGCTTTTTATACAGTAATGTACTTCTGCTGATGCTCTGAGCTTCCCTGCGGGTTAAATGTGTGTGTATGGTAGTGTGATATCGCTTCCATGAAGCATTGGCTCTAGCAGATACTGAATGTTTAAGGCGTGGCCAAGATCTCTTTATTTACTGGGGCTATTTAAAAAGGCAACTTGAGGGGAACTGAGGGTGTAACAAGTTTAACCTTTAAATCTCACAATGCTTCAATAGAAGAGATTGTCAAATTAAGGGGGGTGACAATGAGTCTATATTCATTCGGACTGTTTAAAATTTGGCCTTAACCTTACACCTAAATTATAACTTCAAGGGCATACACCAGTGATCGAGTATTGTACTTCTTCTATTCTCAAGAGACAGATTGAAAAAGGAACGGTCAAAATCAAAGTAGCAGAGGCTGAAATAGGCTAACTTTGTATGGTCCAAGCTGTAAAAACACTGGATCCTATAATTCCCATGCAGCCTAACAGCATCTTTCATTAGACGTCCTAAATGCGCACCTCTTTCAATCCCCACACCTCTAGTATATTATGCAGACTTTACTGTATGTTTCAAGGACAAGCAGAAACATTTTTTTACACTTCATACAGAACCCCAAGGACATTATACAACTGTTTTCACAGGCTGAGAACTCCTCGTGACAAGTAAACTGAACATAATGTGTGAAATCGGTGAAATGCCCCCTAATAATCAACTGGAGGCAACTCATTGGACCAACTTAATAAATTAATCATGTGATTTGATTGATCAGGTAAACTCTTAAGGCCAAATAATAAACAAAATGGACATCAGTGCTTTGGGATGTCTTTTTTGTTTTCTTCAAGTTCAACACTACCCGCCATCCTGGGTGACCTTTGAACCCAAAAGGGTGGCGGGGTGGGAACAAATATGTGCGACTGAGGAACACGAACATAAAAAAACAAAAGTGTCAAAAAAAAAAACCTGCCGTTAAAAACTGAGAAGGTTACCTCACTTCAAAAAGGGATGAGCTGACCCCCACACACACACACCCCCCACCACACACACACACACATTACATAACTCAGTTCAGAAGGGCAGGCTGCCCACGGCGCAGGTTCACAACAACATATATGTGTTTCTCCACATGCAGCTAATTAGAAAATAAGGCAGCGTAGCGTAAGGTTTAGAAGTTACGTAAATATACAACAGGATAATCCACCTTGTACTCTGTCACCTGACTGTATACAGGATCACAGCGAGCATTCAGTTCATTCAACTAAAATCTACATTGCACTGAGTATAGATTAAGTTTCTTTCCCCACTTCTGTCCTTATTAGATACTGGAATGTAGCTTGGTAATCCTGGTAAGAAATGCAGCGTACCGAGCAGTTTGTAACTGTACGTTTAGCAAGGGTGACTAAACTCCCTGAAACGATATTCAATAGCAGGAAGGCCAATGGGAAAAGAGGGTTGTAGCAATATGTTCCAAAAATGATCCTGTCAATCCACTATTGAAATTTCTCACACACACACACACACACACACACACACACACACACACACACACACACACACACACACACACACACACACACACACACACACACACACACACACACACACACACACACACACACACACACACACACACACACACACACACACACACACACACACACACACACCTCGTGATGTTATTTTCTATAGTCATTATATAAGCTGCTCTCATGACAGTATCATGTGTACGAAGTCATGTATATGAAGTCTGTAAACAACAAGCATGAGAAATGAAAGTTTTTTCACTATAGCTTTGTCAAATGTTCAGCTACAACTCCAACTAGAAGTTAAATTAAAATCAAACCAAAACACCTTTCCACCCCTTTATTAAATGTGAAGCACTGTTTACCCTCTTTGCAATTTTTGAAATCTTCTCATGGCCTCTGACCTTTCGGGATCAAGACTAAACCCAGAGCTGTTTGGTTTGGCCGGGCTGAACTAACGAGGTCATGCTGCCCTTTTCAAATAGTAATAGAGCTACTTGGGCATTCTGTTGGGTCACTTTCATTTCAGATATTTGTAATGCTGGGGGAAAAAAAAGACCACGTAACCTTGGTTTTAATAAGGAATTTAAGGAAATCTTGCAAGACAATTTTGCTGGAGAAGAGGTGGGTTATTTGAGGACTGCTCCTCCAACTTGTCAACTGTGATCAATCAGTGCCATCTTCCTCAGAGTTTGTGTTAAGGTTTTGTAGGTGCTGCTCTTTTATGTCTGTTGAGCCACAGTGTGCATCTCTGCTCATGCTGACAACTCGCTTCTTCTTCTGTCCATCACAAACACTACCAAACCTCCCAAAGGCTATATTTAGAGTGAGTGTTTAGAATAGAAAATATGAAAGCTGCAGAGACAGAACTCCCCAAAACAAAAATATACATGCCTTACAAATGGTTTAATTAAAGCTGCATGTATCAGTATTTGTACATGAACAATGGGTCAAATGTTTATGTGTTATGTGAAAGTGGTAGCTAGAAATGAACCTCTTTCAGCTTGTTGTTTTTAATATTACAGCAACTTTTTTTGTTTTGGTTAAGGTGACAAAGTTAGCAACAAGCTAGCAAACATAGTGGAGCATTTAGGAGCATAAGAGCCAGAATGTTCGTGAATGGAGACCAAAACAAAGCTAAAGGTGAATGCCGAATATTGAGTGAACATTGGATTTGCATTTATCAGGAGACCAGAAACAAACAAACTTGAAATTTTGCCAACTGTTTGCTACCACGTCACGCCATATTAGCTTTGTTAGGTGATAATATATCAGTGTTGTGTTTACAACTTGTTCCAATTCCCTTACTGAGAGAACTATTCCCCTACTAAAAGCAAAATTCATTTAGGTTCAGTTTATAGCGCTACATGATAAAGAAGCTACAAGAAGACAACACCTCCACAACCCTGCTCATTAATGTACTTCTAAACCTCGTCACTCCAGCGTTTTTGCTTTCCATTTTTGAACTTTGAAGGATTATTTGTTAAGAAATCCCCAACCCCATCAGGTAAATTCATAAACAGTGTGAAGCTAAAAACTAGCATTTGTCAGCTTTTAGTGAGAGGTATTTGTGGATATCACAAAAGAATTCTGAGATTTATTCAGACATCCAAGACGTGAAATCAAAACCTGCAGACATTATATTTTACAATGGCTGTGTTTCACTGTTGCATTAATAGATGTGCCCATATGCTACTTAAACTTCCATGAGTGCATACACTTTCAGCATGGGTGAACAGAGCAGTCAGAGGGTGACCAGTTATCGGATGTGACTGTGCTCTACATGGGCAGTGAAGCTCTGAGCTGAGCGCTGGAAGTAGCTGCGGCGTTACAGTTTCTGCAGCACCGCCACAGCCTGATATGGATCAATATCCTCACAGGGTGCCTTTGATAACACGCAATATCACTACTAGATTTATTCTTGTCTCCCCATCACAGACAGATAAATGGGAGACTTTTATTGCATTTGCTCCATTTTCTTTATAGAGATGCCTATTTAAAAATCACCACTGTTAGCACTGAATGAATTGGAATGAGATGTACTATAAACAGGAATTGTCCTTGAAGGGTTATTTATTTATTTATTTATTCATTTATATGTAAACTACTCTTACCAACATTTTAGACAAAGCAACAATGACTTTGAAGAAACATAAGGTAGCCCACAGAGATAATGCACCTTATAAACCAATCTAAATATAAAAACCCTCTAATTATCACATCTTTGGGGTTAATATGGTGTGTCTGAAGCTAGAGCATTTAACCACAGTTCATCAGCAGCTCGGGGGAGGCTTTTCACAGCCTCCTCAACACATAGGCATCAGTCTGAGAGGTTTCCTGCCACATGTTATGTGCATAGCACTGGGATACATATTTTGCATATCCACAGTCCAAGACGGGTGGGGAGCGCCAGGACTTTCCAAACCAGATGACAGAGAAAAGCCCTCCGCAATGAGGTGCTGCCATGTGACAAAACTGTAACACGATACGTTTGTTGTTTTGGGTTTTGGGATGGCTGACACTTTGTTGCTGGGAGGGGAAAGGGAAAAAGTGCTGTACATTCCACCCACTCCCCCTAAAAAATGTGCGGAGAAACTCCTCGGGGTCCGAGCAGTGGAACGTCAGACATGCATAACAACAACAAGACGGCATGCCGTAACACAGGTGGGTTCGCCACAGCTGTCGAGTGGGAGACAGATGTCTGCACTTCTTTATTTAATCTGAATAACTCTAGCACAGTCTGAGAACACATTCCCCCAATTTGGCACACAAATACTCTTGGTGACTCACTGTTTGAACACTAAGAACGGCACAGAGACCAAAAGAGGGCGCTATAAGTAGTACTAATGCATTGAGACTTGAAGTAAATACAATCGTGTGAAATTTCCTGCTTCTTGATCTTCAACCTGTACCACTTCCAATAAATTTCCAAAGTACATCTATTCCTATCTAGATGGGATGAGCCTACCTGGATGCCAGTCTGGACAGCCATGACTGCAATCACAGATGATTCACTTCTTCATTCTGTGGAAAGATAAGACAGAGAGATGGGTGAAAAAGAGATAATATCGACAAGTCAGTTGTACTTCTATTACGCTGCAGATCAAAGACAGTGTCAGTAAAGAAGTTCAAATGGTCGCCTCTGGGTCTCTGAAAAGGGCTTATCAAGATGCACATGGTATCTGATTATGGGCTAGTCAGGCAGTTGTGAAGAAACACATTGACATTTTAAGAGATTTTAAGATTGATACCAGTCTAAAGAGAGTAGGGGGAAAAGGGGAGTTATACACTGGAACTATTTCTTGGTAAACAAAAGCGAGAAGCAGTAACTACCCGGAGTCTTGCCATCACCTCGGCGTTTCCAGACAACCAGCAGAAACGCTGAGCTGATGGATAAACAGTTTGTCAAGAAATATTCCACCACGCAACTCCCTGTAAGACTACAAACTGATATTTTGAGATCTCTGTTTGTGTATGGTCTACACAAAGGCGGCACAATGTGTGAATTCAGTTTTAGAGGTTCTGGTAGGCAGGTTTTTGAGAGAGCCAATGGAGCCTTTTCCTCCTGCCAAATCAAACTTCTTAGGATTTCAACATCTTTAGTCCTCTATGACCGTAAACTGAATTCTTTTGGTTGTGGACAAACCCTTTGAGCTTTGAGCCACTGTGATCAACATTTTCTGACATTTTTTCAGTCCCTCCAGGAAGTTGCAGGTAACGCAAATTCAACCCTGTGAATTCTGCATGGAATTGCAATTTTGTCTATTCCACAAATTTGACCAATCGTAGTTTCCTGCGAGTTTCACCATTCATAGCAGTCCCCCTCGCAAAACATTGAGCTATACATCACCAAATTACTTAAATTTTATTCTCACTGGAACAAGTCAGCTTTGATTTTTAATTAACACAATAAAAAATAAATAAAATATTGCTGTCTTTTGCAAAAAAAATGCAAGAACACATAACATACATTGCAATTTTTTTTTTCTTTTTAGAAAAGCTGCCGCAAACAACTAATCGATTAAATTGAGGAAATGATCGACAGATTAATCTATAATGAAAACAATCGTTAGTTGCAACCCTAAATTAAAATGCATGTAAAGCTCACCCAGGGCTGGACGATTTAATCTAAAATCTATATCACATTATAGATTCTGATAAGTTATTTTTCTAATACATCATAACATTTTATTTCTCATGTTGGTTTACTACTATACGTTTGTACTGAATTATTATCACATGACCAGTTAAAAATTCAGGTGATGGTCTTTGGTTTGATATCTCTGGTTATTGTGGCTATTTTGAGTACACAGAATTAAGACAATTTATTTATTAAATGCTAAAATGCAATAATAGTGAAGTTAGGTCATTAAGAGAATCATGATGTTGGTAACTAAATAGATTTGTTTAATCATCCAGCCCTCCTCCAGAGCCGTCTGACTGCTGGGACACGGGAGTGAGACATGAGAAAACCCTGTGAATGACCTGCAAGCTTAATTGGTTTCACACAGCGACTTTTAAGCTTAATTCAGGACATACCCCGATTATCCCATCAAGTCCATTCAGTCTTAAACTAATTTCAGACAACTGGCTCGTCCATCTACAGTATATATCAGCCCTCACTATCAGTGATTCCTCTGCAAAAAGCCTCAGCTATGAGCAGAGAAGACAGCCTTCAGTCTTCTTCCAATTCACTGTGTAATGAGTGTGTAATCAACTTTATAAGACATGAATTCTGCAGGTTGTCCGGGTGAATCAGCGGGTAAAGTTGAATACCATGTAACTCTGATGCCCTGTATAGTGATAACGGAAAGTAATAACGGATGAACATTACAGAGGACAGTTTAACAGGATATAAGCTGCAAACAGGCACTCAGGATGCTGTGAACGGCCCTCTGGGTAAAAACCAGCCGGGATGTGGTTTTTGTTTGAGTTTTACTGGATTGGACTTTCTCACGAGGAAGTGATGGGGTTAGTCTGAGTGCTCCTCTCTGCCCTTTCCCATACAGGATGTGAAGGATTACCCCGACGCTCATGTCCCTGAGGGTGTGTGTTTGACAAAGAGAGGCTGTGTGGGTGGGGGGAGAAAGCAATCACAAGCACGTAGATTCTAATAACACTGATAATTTAGTCAACACAGCTGAGACAATAGTCCCCCACCGTCACCAACCCCCCATCCTCCTCAGACACGCAAATACCTCATGGAAACCTAAATATCCACACAAAAATGGGTTTGTGAAACTTCTAGATGTATGGTGTTTTCCACTGATGTCATCCTGCGCAGAGGGCTGAAACTGATATGAGAAACAGAAACATCTAGAAATGCCTCAGACACTAAAATCACATCCTCTGTTGTTCATCAAAAGGGCCAGCCTGAGAGTGCTGCGTCCAGTCATCTGACACCACAACTGCAGCTCGCGGGAGAGAAGATGCAAGTCAGCGGCCAAAAGGACGGGACGGGGCAGGAAGGATGACAACACAAGACAACCTACCTCAGAACAAAAACAGTACGGTACCGAGTGAGGAAACTGCACCAAACAACTCCGATCAGCCTCAAAAGGACATCCTCGTCAAAACCCAGCGCCACGCTCAGTGCTCTCCAGCCAGAGCGGCTCCTGCCTCTGTGGTTCCACGAGTGAGCGGGGAAGGAGAGGCAGCGAGAGCATGACAGGGAGGGAGGATGGATGGGAGGAGGAGGAGGTGCAAAAGGAGAGCCCTGACTAATGAAGTGGCTACGCTTCGCTAAGCCCTGACCGCCCCCCCGCCCCCCACCCAACAATCCTGTCACGGCGGGACCCTTTCACAAAGCCTCCATTGTTTTGTTAGCTTGCCCCCCCCCCACACACACAACCACACCACACACACACACACACACACACACACACACACACACACACACACACACACACACACACACACACACACACACACACACACACACACACACACACCATCTCCAAACCAGCAGCCAAACCAGGAACTCCCCAACCAGGATGCAGTGAAATGGAATGAGAGGGAATAGCGGAGGTGAGGTGGAGGGGGGTTACCTCCACTTCCTTTTCATCCCCCCCTCCTCTCCCTGTAGTCCCACCACAGCACTCCCACAACCTCCCATACCAGCACTCAGCAGAAAGTTTGACTGGAAAGCAGGAAAACAATAAGGGCCTGGTGTTTTCTGACGGTTGAGGATGTAGGTATCAAGGGAGATGGACTGTGGAAAGGGTTCCAACAGATTTTCCTTGGAGAGAGAAAACCCCAAGAAAGCAAAGAAAGGAACATGACATCATATGATCGACTCAGATGCACAGATGTTGGTTTTCTGCAGCTGTTCCAACAAGCTCTGTTTAATGAGTACAGTGCTGTTTGATGCAGGATTTTTAACAAGTAAGTCTAGTATGGAACAGTACATCCATGCCTCCGCCCTTGCATTCTCTCGTTTTGGGAACGTACTGTGGAACATAGTGAAATTAGCCTGAGATCTTCAATGTACCCTTGATGTTTGGTCAAAGACAATGGCGCAAACACTTTCATTCATAGTATACTTTAAACAGTAGATCAAACGATTAAAACTAAGAAATGAAACTGCATTTTGAGTGATTCTTGCACTGATTAAATTCAATGAAAGTTTCTAGCATCAAGTACAAGATGGAAATATCATTAACTGATCGAAAAAGGTCAAGGACCAGCTCTGAAAAGATTGATTTGTGGCATCTAGGCCAAGCCTGAAAAAGGTTTTCAAAGGGTCAGTGATGTCTTTCAAAGAAGTGTCCCCAAGGCTACAAAGCGGAATAACCCGAAACAGTGACGGAATTACGACATCTAGGATTTCAGAGGAGGGCAACGAATTTATAGAATAGAATGGTTCTGCTTCTTTTCAGCATGCAGGCGTTCGTGAAGGGTCACACTCAACAACACAGGACAAAGGGCAAATCTCTAGCTCTGGACTCCAGTTGTGTGCATCTGGGGCCTCAGCAGAGCCTGAGAGCACGACTCCCTACAGGGACCAAAGGCACCCACACACAGTCAAATGTCAAGCACAGAGGAGGGCGAGAGAATCGACGCCAAAAAGGGGAGGCGAAGACAAAACATGTTTTATAGTGGTGGTGAACTTGGGAGTGGCACGCTTGAAAGGGCAAGGCTCGACACTGTGACACTGAGCACTACCACGCACATTCCCCAACAGTTGCTGGGAGAAAACACAATGCTGGCACTCTTCTGCCATACATCTGTAATTTCCTCCGCCATCTCCCTGCTTCTGTCAGCATACAAGATTTTGGATCAAGACTTGGAGGTTTTTGAGATGATTTTTGGGGCCAAATATGCAGGCGAGCCTCTTTATGGATCAACTTACATCACTGATTGATGATCTCATGATGAACCATCAATGAACAATTATTTTTGGGGTTTCTGAGAAACCCTTGTTCAGACTTTTTCCAACTTTCCAAGGATCCCAATTCTCTGTTAGGATTACAAGAACATTAGCTTTTGTTCAGGTGTACACGTGTGAGCCTTTCCAATATTTCTAAAGCCCCATAAGGATTAACTGAGTGAATGAGACACAGGAACCTGATGCACAAAAGACCCAGGTCAGGTTTGGGTTGACTAACCTGTATTTCTTGTCAGAAGTGAAATAAAAGCTTTGTTGAGAGGTTTATCCCCTCGGGAACACTGCTATTTCCAGATTGAATGGATTCAAATACTATTTAAGCATTTACTTCAGATAGCTTTTCCAGATGTTACATTTGTAAAAGCACTGCAGCACATATATGCAATTACAGACACTGCTTTAGGTATTGTGTAATATTCCAATTATATACTGACTGAAATGATCTTGAATTCCCAGTGGCAATGCAGTTACAAAGTCTATGACCTGTAGATATGCTGCATGAATTCATAAATAAAAAAGGTTCATAATTGTATTTTATGGCTCTACTAAAATAGGTTTAGATGTTTTAATGTTCAAAAAACAAATTTTTCTCATACTGCCTATAGCTGAGCACCTATTTTCAGCCTCTGTCTGAAACGATCGGTTTTAGCTCCTGTCTTTTTAAGGCCCCCCTCCCGAAAAGCCCAGTCTGCTCTGATTGGTAGGCATTATGACGCGGATGACGCTCCGGCCCCTCCCACTTCCGCCTCAGCGTTCCGTTGTTTTCGGGCAGTTAGCTCCTCACTGCTACTGAGTTTAGCTGCATTTCTACCGTCAATATTAATTCAATAACTGCTTCTAAACCAAAAACTTCACCACCGGACATGTTAGAGCGGGAGTCTGACCTGAAATCACGGAGAAATGAACAACATCAACAATCAGGATTACAGCTTTCTGTGACGTTTTCCACAGGTAAATACTGATATAAAAACCTCTATCACATAATGTTGGTGTTTATACCTTAATTATGAGAACCAACACTGTGTTGTATGCTTGTCTTTACAGGTACAGCAGTGAGCAGTGACCTACAGTCTACACAGCCCAGTGAAGTTAAACATATTATATGCCTGCAATACTTTATCCTCTACAACATGTCAACATAACTGAAGGAATTACTCATCTAATAAAGTAACTTGTCTATGTGGTTTAAAAACTGCTAGTCTGAATGAACGAATAGTCTGATATTTTAACTTGAAAGTATTATTACCAAAGTTAACCTTCAGATATGTAAAAGCTGCAATTATGTTTGAACCCCATTAAAAATACTGTATATATACACACTGAATAATCTATAATTTATATTATATATTATGATGTCATTTATCTTCCAACATAATAAAGTTTGAATGTGAGACAGTAATGTATTGTGTTACAGGTTTAAATTTCACATTTTCATATTGATAGAACTCTTGTACATGCAGGAAATCTTCATAAAACTTCTGTGAAATAACATGTTATTTATATAAAACCACACTTATTACTGAATTTAAAAATGACCAAAACTCCTCTTAAAAGTAAAACACTTAATTTATATTTCATTCATATTCCAGTTACACATGTTGTAAGTAACAAAGCTAGAACTTTTATGTAAACTGTGCAGATCATGTTCTCCATCAAGGTAGTTTCTAGTATATTGAAGTGTGATCTAGTAATGGAGCTCTGCAGTCAGTGTTCATCTTCATGAGTCTTCCTTTGGATACCCAGACTGTCCTGATGCTGCAGCTGTCTCTGTCCTCTGATGAGTCCAGGAACACCTGAGCTTCATCAGGTCACCTGTAAAACAAGGCAGATTCAGTGTTACTTGTAAGACAGCATATAATATACAGTGTAATATAATATACAGTATAATATAATACACAGTGTAATATAATGCAGTATAATATAATACAAGTACAACAGCTCATTGTGGCTCACAGTAGTCCTAAGTTATAAAATAAAATAATAAAGCAGTGTCACTGGTGGGAGCTCTATCGTTAACTCCGGTGCACATAGGTCGAGTTAATTTACACACCGTACACACACACACACACACACACACACACACACACACACACACACACAACGAAGCTAGCCCCAGCTGGTTAGCACGTTAATAAGTTACACAAACAAAATAATCACCATAACTCACTCCCGGTATTTTGGTAGCTTTTAACGAGGGTTAACGATCACACTGTCCCTCATATTACAACATAAAGTCCGACAGACTCAGTAACTATAGTAACACAGTGACATCACAGAGCTGCTGTGTCCCCCCGGCACGAAGCTTGATGATTCACGGCATAAACTTTGTGTGAATCTCTATAAAAATATCAGCAGGGGAGAATATGGAGACATCTGCACCAGCTGGCTTAATAAATGAACCTCACCTTGTAAGTTTCATGTTCATCTTGCACACATTTAACAAACATTTAACAAACATTTAACAAACAATAACTACGTTAGCATCACTGAGGCTCCTGTAGCTAACAACGGTTAGCATGTGCTAGCGGTACACGAACAATGAAAAAAATTCTTAAAAATACTTACAGTGACTTCCTCTGCCGTCTCTCCACAGACAGTTGGTACAATCCCTCTTTCAGGAACAGTCTTTCAGCCGGTCCACTGTTGTACTGACCGAGGTTGTGAAAACAGTCCGACACAAAGTGGTTCAGACACGTTCCGGTTTTTCCGACATTGCCTCAAAAATAAAAATAAATCCAGTGGCTCATAGATATGTAAATTAGTGTTGGTTCTGTGCAGCCAATGACTGAACAGTTAGTCTGCTGAAGCCTTTGCCCAGACATTAGGCTGGCAGGCTGGGCTTGTTTGCTTGTTCTCTGCTAGCTTGCTCTTTTATAGTAACAATGGTGGAGCTCCGATAGTCAACACAGGAAGTAAACTGCGGTGGGTGGCAACATGGAGCCAAAATGACGTCAAAAACTCTGAACATATGAAATTGAGTGATTTATCTCCTGTATTTTGACTGAGGCATCCCTTAAAAACATGACTGAGTCATTTTTTTCCCCACACTTTGCCTGCTGATAGGCCCTCCAGATTCCCAAATGTACATAATCAAATGATTAAAAAGTTGGTTTTGCATAATATGTCCCCTTTAACGATTATGGCGAATCAATTTATCTTAATGCGTCCAACAAGGTTCTTAAAACACAACTTCAACTGAGCAGTTACGAAGGGGTTGTTCTGAAGGGATGTACCTTATAAACAAACCACAATTAACTAAGCCAACTTTCCTCATTAAGAGGCCTATTTTGTCCTCATAGTACTCAACACAATCCACTTTGTGCCAGGAAAAGGTGCTGAGTAAATAAGAGGAATTGCCTTTGTCCGGGTACAAATGAGCGGGATAATGGACTTGGAGTCTATTATAAGCAAATGATCTAGTCGTAGAGATTCCCTCTAGCCTGAACTAAACATAGATGCTGTGTATATGTGTGTGTTTTGTTGAGGGTGGGGGGTGGGACATCTGTCCGCATGTTCCCCACGCAGGTCGCCTCTCTCTCTGGTCGCAGCAAGTAATCATTTAAGAGGATCAACGCTATTCCAGACAGCAGAGCGCATCCGCCTCCACGACGTTCCGTCATCACAACATACACAGCACGTGGCGCATGCATGCAGCCCACGGCAGGCCGGCGGTTCATGCGAGCACCCGTGCATAAGTGCAATACAGAAATGAGAACACATTATGTAATGAGTTAAAAGTAGAATGTTCCGGCAGCGATGTCCTTTTGATTGTACACTATATGGCACTGTGTGTGTGTGTGTGTCAGGGGAATAAAAACTGATTTCACGTGAGAAAAGAAATTCTAACCAAAGTCAGCTATGTGCAGTTTTAAAAACCTCTGGGGTCTCTGGAGGTGTTCTGTGGAGGTCCCCCCAAAAAAAGAAAAAAGGTTTTATTTCATCATTTAATTCCCTGGAAGTTAGCACAATTAGAGCATGTGTTCAAGATAGCATGTGTTCTGCACAGCTTTCCCTCCTCCGCTTTGTTTGTATACCCAACAGTAACTCTGAGCCTGTAGGTTGGGACATCCAAAGGGACTTTTAGATGGAAAAACATGCCTTATTTAAATATTTCTCATAATGTGAGATAATGTTGCCTAATTTTACCTGAAAGCTTTTTCTTTGGAATACTGACAAGTTTTGAACCCCCGTATTAACTCAAAAACATCACAAAAAAGGAAAACATGTCCTATGCTCTACTTTTCACCACTCGGCATGTGATGTCTTCTTTTTTAGTCTTTATAAGGGTCACTATTCTTCATCCGAACTGCTTTTCCAATCAGGAAAAAGCATCTGAAACCCCCACACCCGATACCTTTCCGAGTCAGAAATGGGATTGCTCTGTCTAAAACCGAAAATTTAACCAGCTCTTTTCCCAGTCTTCACACAGTTACTTCCATAACTTTGTGTGTACAACCAAATACAACATCATGAGCGCCCTAATGGAGAGACTGGTATGCCTATTTGTACGCTTAATTGTGTCTCACCCGATATATGGCTTAAACTTGTTTGTTTCGAGCATGCTTATGCTTTTTCTACATCATATATTTTACACCTGAAAGCTTATGAGTTCGGATTCTACTGGACACAATCTGATTTGAGAGGTTTTTGATGTGAGAAGCCCTATTTTTAGGCGTTTAATTTGATAACTTCAGCAGGCAGAAACGGATGAGTAATATCTTTGTGTGTGTCCTCAGTACCCGTGGTGTGTGAAGTGGCTGCAGGCCAGCTCTCAGGGCCAGCAAACCTCCTGCGCCATTCCTCTTCCCTGCAGTCCAAAAGGGTTACTGGACCCAACTTCCCCCCGGAGAATACTAACTCCTCCTCTATTAAACTCCTTCCTGCTGAGCCCTTTGTGTCTGGACTTAATTACCCTGTCGGAGGAGCGTTTCATTTAGAGCCCGGCCTCCCCCTTTTCATTGCAGATGGGGCCCGGCTGCACTGTGTCGAGAGGGGAATTCATTCAGTTGAGGAGAATGAAAAAGTAAATATACGTCAACGGTCTGTTGTCAAACTGAGCACGACATCTTCAATCTAACTTTATTTTCTAAAGCAATTCTGTCCCCCCTGGGCCTGTACAAGCTTGCTCATCATGGTGTTCCATGGTAAAAGACTACCCCCCTTTCAAGCAGGATTAAAACATTTCTTGGCCTCCTTCCTCTTGTCCTTGTTGGAGCAGGCTCTCCTTAGAGGTGTGATACTGTGAGTAAAGTCCATCTTAAAGGCTTGAATGAGTGGGAGCCACCTGCCAATCCAATTTTGATTTGTTGAAGCTAATCCACAGCTCACCACACGCCACTGGGTCATCTCTGGACTTTCGAAGCCCCTCAGTGCTGACTCAGGATCAGGCTTCCTGCCTTCCCTTCAACAACCTTGACCAGCAGAGGAACTGATACCAGCTGATTCCAGGTCTGTAAAAAGAGATCAGTTTGCAGCGATCCGTACCTTGCATGTGAGCTGCCAAACGAGATTGTCACTGGAGTCAAACAGAAGATACAATCAGCCGTGTATTTACTCAAAACATGTTGATCCACTGACATCCCCTCTTTACAACTCGGTTGCTTTTCAAAAGGACAACTTGTGTAGCCTTACAAAAACTATTGGCAGTCACATGGTCATCGTCTTAAAATCCAAACACTTGGGATAATATGTTTAACAACCTGTGAGTAGAATTTAGTGGCATCTAGCAGTGAAGTTGCACATAGCAACCAACTGAATACCCTCTTGCCTTCTAAACGTGTAGAGAAACTACGGTGACAGCAAAGCCTACGAAAAAACACATAAGGCCCCATCTAGAGCGTGTTTTGTTTGTCCAAACTGGGCTACTGTAGGAACATGGCGGTCCAACATGGCAGACTGTGGAAGAAGACCAGCTCCCAAACACACAAAAAAAACCTCCTTCTAATGTAAAGAAAATAAAATTAAAACAAAATACCTAAGATGACTTGATGAAGATATTTCTCGTCACATGTCACACAAACTTGAAACAGCAATAATACTGTGAGTTTTGGCCATTTAAGGAAAAGATGAATGAATGGGCTGTGTGTGGTAATCAGGTGACACGTCACATGCACTGGTTTGTTTACATTTTGGAGACATATCTTCCTCAGAACTTTGACTCTGAGTATATTACTCAACAGAGCTAAAGCCAAATGACAACAAGACAGTTTTATAACGGATTTCCATCAGGGCACCAGTCTGTGCCAACTGTAAAGTCTGAACCTACAGTTTAAACATTTTCCATTTTCAGAGTCATCTTCCTCATTTTTGAATTCCCTGCCTACATGATGTCAGCAGTCACTTGACTGTGTCAATCAGCAGTGACCAACACACAGGCACGGCATCTTTTAAGCTGCAGCA